ACCGCCTTAAAGGCATTGCACTCACAAGCAAAACAATATTATGTATTCTATAACCAATTAACATTTCCAGTCTAAACAAACTTAATGTTTATTTGTATGCATTACATCCTCAATTGAAAAACGTCAAATTTTGTAATCAGTTGACAAGTGCCATGGCAGATGTGACTATTCAGATGGGATTTAATGATCTCAATATTTCATTTTTTTTGACATTTTTTAAACTGTATATTGTCTGTACTCCAAGAATGTTTTCCGTCTTGTTTTTTTTTATATCTGTGGTTTTTTTTTTTTTTTTTTTTTTTTGGCTTTATTTTGTTCATTTTGCGCCTGGTCCTTTTTGGGCCTGTTTTCTCTGTCAGTGATATCGATGCGAAACTTGACATTCATTTGGGAAGACATAGCTAAATGTGGTGGGCGGCATGTCTATACTATTTCGATGTGCAATTATATAACATAGTGTTATCAAGTATATATTACTAAATTTGGATGTCTGAAGATTCTTCTCTTCTGTTGACTGGTGACGCCGCGTTTAAGTTTTAGAACTCCTTAACGGGCGCCGTTGACGAAATACGGTATGCAAACTCCGTGAAACGCCATATTTAATATGGCCACTTGCAAGTGAGTGTGGTGTGACATTATGTCTTGTTATTGTATGTATTTTTCTTTTATCTATTTCGTGGCGCTAGGACCCATTTTCTCTACTGGTACTCCTATTTATTCTAGTTACCGGTAAACAGATTCTGTCTGCGGGCCTAAAATTTTAAATACAGATAAATACTCATTAACAATTACAATCAAAACATCACACATTGAAACTTATTTTCTATCCAAATTACAGAGGTCGCTATTTAACAGGCCTGTTTGCTACTTTTTTATTTACCAAAATTACTCCCCTTGTTTGCTATAGTTTTCCCAGCTACACTATACCAAACATCCTCAAGATACAATCACAGGGCGAATGGGGAGATACTGTGGTGATTCAATGACTAAGACACGTTGTATATGCAGTTCCGGATTTACCTATAGTCTTGGCTGGCCGAAGCCTATTGCCTCGATCCCGGCGGTAGCTGAGAAAGTTTTTCGGGATTTTTCAGAATGGTTTCCCCTTGTCAGTGAAGCAGATGTGGGGTCTACCAAGGATCATCGTCTAGTATTTCGATCGGGACGAAACCCGTATACATTTTGGCGTGCTCGTGAAAGAACCCATCATGACAGTTGAAATTTAGTTTAAAGGACAATATTGGTGCCAGTCATTATCACATATGTGATAGAGCTGGTTAAACACATTCCAAATATAATTTTAACACGGAGATCATTGCTACGATAGCTGAGTAATACAGGTTTCCTGAATCGGAAGTGACGAACGCCAAAGGAAAACACGAGTAATCCCTCTATATAGCTGACTGATGTGACGAGTGATAACAGATGCACAGCCGAATTTCTGCTATATAGAGGGATTACTCGTGTTTTCCTTTGGTGTTCGTCACTTCCGATTCAGGAAACCTGTATTACTCAGCTATCGTACCAATGATCTCTGTGTTAAAATTATATTTGGAATGTGTTTAACCAGCTCTATCACATATGTGATAATGACTGCCACCAATATTGTCCTTTAAGAACGATTGTTATACATGATGAAACTAGTTGTCCGAAAAACAATTGAATAGTTTCATGGTTGGACTCCAGCCTGCAGGCCGCGTGGATTTCCGGAAATCCCAATCTGGGAAAACCGACGTTAATCTGTGACCGGAAAACACGTATCTGACGACGTGATTAAAAGTTTGCAAAATTTTTTTATGAGTTTTCATGAATTTCGCCGGAACATGGACACGATAAAACCGATGGATACATTGTACATAATAGCTCACGGGATATAAATGTAATATTGGTAAATGTTAACGGGAAAAAGTTTTGCAGGTTTCGTTACGCGGCCTGCAGGCTGGAGTCCAGTCATGAAACTATTCATTTGGTTTTTTTTTTCAGACAACTAGTATCATTATGTATAACATTCGTTGTGAAACTAAATCGGAGAAATTTTGATTTGACAGTTTTTACGTATTTTTGAAACAGGTTTCGAAGTGTTTTGGTTCTGTTATGCAAGATCCTGTTCGGTGTTCCAAAGTTCGGTGCTAAGACCACCTAAAGATAAATCTTAAATGTTCCTATTATTAATTAGAACAGGTTTCGCTTTAGTTTTTATATTTTACGCTCATATTTATTGCTTTAAATCTTCCTAGTGCAAAAATGGAAAATTGGACCTTTTGACCTCCGGGGTCACAAAGAACAAAGGTGAATGTAACAAGTTTACATTTTTATTGAAAAATTGATTACTTTCGATCATTTTCAGCAGGTCATAATTCTTATCCGATTTAAAAAACCGTATTATTATATCACCGTTAAACCCTAAGGACGGTTGAGTTCGAATTTCGTGAAGATCGTCCCAAAACTGACAGACAAAATGGCCGCCGTTCGTTCTCAAATAGCGTAAAAATATGGTATATCAAGGTTGTGGGCCCTATAGAGGTCACAATTTTTATCTGATTTTGTTGAAACTTGAAATGTAAGTTTATAACCCAAAGATCTCGGTTCCTTTCGATATTCGCGCATATCGGACCGTAACTTCCTGAATCATGGCCTCTGATTGTACGAAAAATCACTTTCTTTTTAGCTTGTTCTCTATCCATCTCTCGAAAATGTGGGCGTATCCTGCCTCGCAGCCGCTGGTTGTTAAAGCTAAGGCCACGATATCGTCTGAAACCATTTCTAATGTATCCATAGGCGTAGGAGCCGGGGGGGCAGGGGGGGGGGGCATTTGGCCCCCAAAAAATTTATTTTCGGGCAATGAAAAATTCGACGACCTTTTTTTTCTATTAACGTTTAGAGAAAAAATATAACTAACTTATTTCTATGAGATCCACACTGCCCAAAAAGTATTTTCTCGTCTTTTTCTTGTCCTCTGCATATGCCCGAAAATATGCCCGAAACTCTCTTATGATAGGTATGCCCGAAAAAACGGTATTGCCCGAAAATAGGTATTGCCCGAAATACGGGCATCGGGCCGGAAAGTGGCAGAGGAAACTAGCAGTAAAACGCGTTTGCGACCGTCAAATATTCCAAAATTTTCTTGGCGGGTCATTCGCCTCTCAAAGAAAACCGGCGCCGCTGTCTATAAATCCGAAATTTTTCGGGCATTTCTAGTTTTGCTTCTCTAACTGTCATCGAGCCCTAATAAAACACTAATTTTACTTTTCTTGTAATTGAATATCACGAATTTGTACTGAATTGACTATGGATTAAAACATTTTGTCTGGAGCCACTCTACATTGTGCGACATTTTTCAGGCATCGATTATTATTTGTGAATGCGGATGCAACAGTCTGATTGGATGGTTAGAATTCAGAGTGGGATTTCAGTTACAAAACCATTGGATACTTTTGGAGTTGCTTACACGGGCTAGAATAGCAGAAAACGCATTTACGGTGATTAAATTTTCAAATTTTTCTCCGGGAGGGTGAGGCCTCCATATACCGCGCGACGATTGATTGGTTGTTTGGAATTCGGGTCAGCCAGGTAGGCTATATTGGACCAAATTGAAGTTGCTGTATTCACAGACTGGAATAACAGGAAAACGCGTTTGCGGCAGTTACATTTTCAAAATTTTCTCCCAACGGTCCTGTAAACGATTGATTGGAATTCGAGCCACCACCTTAATAAGGCTATAATATATATTCGACAACTTTGAAGTTGCTTTGTTCATCGGCTGAAATAGCAGGAAAACGCGTTTGCGACAGTTAAATTTTCAAAATTTTCTCCTAACGGTCCCGTCTTCGAGGACTGTAAACGATTGATTGGAATTCCGAGTCAGTCACCTTAATTAGGCTATATTAGACCGCTTGAAGTTGCTTTGTTCACTGGCTGAAATATCGGGAAAACGCGTTTGCGGCAGTTAAATTTTCAAAATTTACTCCTAACGGTCCCGTCTTCGAGGACTGTAAACGATTGATTGGAATTCCGAGTCAGCCACCTTAATTAGGCTATATTAGACCACTTTGAAGTTGCTTTGTTCAACGGCTGCAATAGCAGGAAAACGTGTTTGCAGCCGTCAAATATTCCAAAATTGTCTTTGGGGGGGGGGGGGGTATACAAGGTCGCTGCTGTCTGTAAACCCGAAATTTTTTCGGGCATTTCGGGTTCTGCCCCCCTAACTGTCATCGAGCCCCTACGCTTATGAATGTATCAACCAACAAAAGTCCAGAAAAATGGTAAGGACAGAGTACTACACTTCACGTGGTTATAACCACATGACTACAAGAATGAAATGAGGTTTAACGTCCTACTTTTCTTCAGCAACGAATAGTGAAGACCTGCAAACAACTCCCGCACAGTGGTGGATCCAGAGACCATGAATAGGAGGGTGGACGGCGCACGCTGCGAGCGTCGAATGTGCGTAGCGCACAAAGGGCCTCCGCTGGAAAATTTCGAAAACTAGCAGTCCGGTTATGCCATTTCCAGCGATCTGGGACAAGAATCCGGTTGAAAATTATGAATTATATTGAGACTTTTTCAGTCAGAAATCCAGATAGGAGAGATGTGGGCCCTTTACTTAGTCCTCTTCTAATTCGAACTGTCAAGTATTCCAAGTCCAATGTTGAAAAGGAAAGTGTTTATAGTTGTTCCCATTGAGCGAAAAGCTGAAATCCAGTGAAGTGCACAGAAAATGTTAGAATTAAAAGACTAGGCACAATTAAATGCTACTGCCCGGGCAAAATTCTCAACCCACATTGCACGCATAACCATATAAAATATTTTTAAAGAAAATAACTTGTAACCATTTGAGTTTGAAACTCACGGAAGTATTGTTTTACGAATGTTGAGCTCCCGTTATCTATTTGGATCAGATTAAACATTCTAAAGTAATTTTTAAAAAAAAACAACCCGTTGAGATGGTTTATTAAATTTCTATCATTATGAGTCATTGACGATGTGTAATAAATCCTTACCTGTATAACACGGACTTGATTAAATATTATGAAATCCAATATATCGACACGATATAACTATACTTCATAGTCTAGTAATTAATTAAATATATAAATTAATATTCTCTGTTTAACACAACAGAATCCAATATCTTTGATTTTTTTTAAAAAAAACCAACACAACAGTCAGTTTAGGAATCGGCGGTTGTAGACGTCTTGTCGTATGTACGTTTTAATTTATCTACCTCGCTTCAATGTATCGCTAATTATGAATGCTATTTCACTAGCACAATGCGACCGCGTTCGATTTTTTCCTCCCATTAAGCTGTAGGCCACATGATACGCAGTTATAATGTGTAAACAAAGGCTGTTGTCATTATTAGGTTGTATATTCACGAAACATTAGGCGCTGGATCTATTATATTATTTATTTATACCGAGGGATCTCTGAACGTCAAGATAACTATTGTTAAGATCAATTATTATTTAAACAATATGCATAACCAAAAAAACTAACAAATTTAATATGCCTTTAATTAAATATAAATAATGCAAAATAGCCTATTTTTTATAGAGGAAGTTAGACATATTTATTCGAGAAAAACTCTGAGCATTTCGTCTATAAAATTGATCAGACATCTGCAAAAATCACAATTATAGATTATAGACACACACCCTACACACTAAAATAAACTAAAATAATATTATTATTAGTAGGAATATGACACAATAATTTTTACTGCCTTTCGTAATTAGGGTAATTGATTATCATTATTTCGTAATATTAATATTGTATACGGTATATATCATATATATATATATTTATATTACACTATGGAAACTATACGGCTCAGTTGCTATGGAAAATGAAGTCATAATATTTATATTGAGACGATGTTCAAGCATTTAATACTTATTTACATTGATCTTCGAAATAATTTTTAAAAGATCAGTATCAAAAATGTGAACATAAGAATACACAGTCATTGTCGATAATTGTTTCGTGACATTTGCGCGTAATTTGAAATTTATTTGATGTCATCGCCAGCCTCATTCTCTTATCTGCGAAGGGGGTGGATGGCTGAATGGTTAGCGTGCGCGCGCTGTATCATAAAGTCTGTCATTGAGTCGACTGGCGTGGTTTCGAATCCCCGGTTGTACGTGACAATGAGTAGGGTCGCCTGTCCAACCTCGTGGGTTTTTTCCGGGTACTCCGGTTTCCTCCCACTGCTAAAGACCCCTATGCGCAAGCGAATTATTGAAATAAAATTAAACCATATATGTTAGTCCCGAAATGACCTAATTGGTGTCGAGTGGACGTTAAACCCCATTTATCCCTCTCTCTCTCTCTTATCTGAGAAAAATTGAGGCGTCATGTGGCCAAGTTAGTAAGGGCCGTCGGTTCAAAAACCAGGAAGCCGATAAAGTTCCCTGGATTTTCAAGCGTGGTTTCTCCTTGCCGGTGGTGCAGGACGGGGTGCTGGCATAATAGTGTTTAGTCGTTCAGATTGGACAAAAGATCGAGACCGCATGTACACGTTGGGGTGTACCTTAACAAAAATCCTCCAAAATTGGAATTTAAAACAAGAGTAGCCTGTAGCGCCGCTGGCCGGACGAATATGTAGCACCATGGGTCTTCTGTCTGACGTGGAGAGCGGGAATATGTCGGAAACCGGTCGCCACATCTTACGTACGACCCATGCATCTTTTCTTACTACATATTTCTGTAGCCTTGTGATCGTCTAGAATTTGTCTCTAGCTGTCTTTACTTCTGCTTCACGTTGTGTATTTACTTCTTAATGGTTTTCTGAACACGTTGTCTTACCAGGAATAACAATGCGACAGTTTGCTTCAACATTTTATATATATATAGCTGAATACAGGTATACAAGCATAATAGATAACAATACTAGTTAAAACCATTTCTCTACCCTAGTCAGCCTCGCGGCTGTCTAGGAACTCAGATGTAAGCCCTCTGGAACCCAATAGAAGTCTGACTTACAGGGTTCCCCGGTTTCTTTTAAAGGTAAATGAATATCATGCACAATAACGCGTGATCATGGCCCTGAACTTGTGTAATTAACAAAATGATTGGTTACTTTAAATCAAATGATGCAATTAGAATAATTCCACTCACGTGTAATTCTGGTGGTAAATAATTGACATATGTTTTCGATAAAGAGCTCTTTTTTATGTGTCAACTGTCAATTACAGACTAAGTTGATTTAGTACACACTATATATGTGAATATGTTTGAAATTACTAACTTGCCAAAGATATTAATTAATGAAATATAAAGCCATCTTATTTCAAGAGCAAAAATTCTAGCAATATTATTACATTCGTCCGTTCCTTTAAGACTTTTTGCTCGGTATTGGGTAAAAGATCCCTTGAATCCTTTACAATAACCATACCAACATCTGTAGAATTATATAACTATTCATAAATATAGCAGAAATCTAGAAAATCAACATGTATCACCTCCCCCAAATGAACAAGTAGGGGACTCTTAAAACTTCTATGTGCTAAACCCTATAATTATTCATGCAACAGGCAAATATCAATGATACTATACTATATAACAAAACTGTGAAAACACAAACACACATATAATCAAAAATCAAAAGTTGCATGCAAAAGTTCTCCAAAAAGTTCATCACTGTAAAGTCCTATGAAAATTCACTAAGCCTAAACACAGAAAACACAAATTCTCTTTTTTTAAATCTTCAAGTGTCCTAATTTCAAAACACTATAACACATCACGTAATATTTATAAAGTTCAGATTTCACTTTAAATTCTGTCTCAGGAAATGTCAATTTGGTAAACTGGTAAACCATTTCTTCTTCTTGGATTTGTATTGGTCTGTTTCAGCTACCATAGTGTCAAGTTGAAACTTTCTTTTTTTCTTCTAAGTATGATTGGTTTGTACAATTTTATCCGTCAATCAAACATGTCATTGCCATCAGACCAAGAACTAACTATTCCTAAATCTTTATTTTTAAAACTTTATGTTGCTATTAGTCTAACATTATTATTAATATATTATTTCGAAAACGTATTAGCAAATCTTACTGTAATTAAAATTAAACTTTATTTAAGTATTAATAAACTTTGATGTACTTAATTATAAATTTTCAAACTAAGTTTGACCTCTTGACCTGAACTGAGTAATGGACAATTTTAGAATTACGTTTCTGTTTTATAATTTCCGTTTCTGTTTTAGAATTCCTACACTGTTATTTTATATTTCTCAGTCAGTAATGTGACCTTTTTGGCCTAATCATTTACAAGTTTGTATTTCGTTTTTTATAAACACTAACCACTATTACACAAACATTTCCTATCAGACTGACACTGACACAAGCTGAGCTCACACCTATGACAATACCAGACTTTAATTTATCTAGAATAGAACAGTCAATCAAATATGGCCAGTATATGAATGACATTCCATTTTATCCTACATTTATTAGTATTATATAAACATTATTTAGAATCATGTTCAAAGCAAGTGACGTGCACTTCACTCCCTCGGAACACCAGTCTATATTCTATAAACAAAACAATTAGAACATATACCTAACTTTTAATAATACATACAGTTAACTATATTCTATATATTATATTAATGCAATCCGTGACTTTTACACACGTCAAATTTAACACAGTATGAATACTATTGTTTATTATAATTCGACCTCATGTCAAATTACACATTCTACCATCTCGTGTCGACAGCTTAAAGCAATTAGCAGTATATATTAAACGTTAATATTACGTTTCTAAAGCAAAAATTTAATTGCATAAAATTATATACGGACAAAATCTACCGTATACTCCACTTTTCTAAAAATTGTCGCATTCTTAACTCTAACCTCCTATAAAACACGTATTAATGACTTTGTGATAATCTCACAATTTAACGAGCCTTTAATTTTAGTTTTTTCCCAGGAAAACTATAACCAACATCCCTAGATTAACCATATGGGATTTTTAACATAACCTAACTTTTTAATCAAAAGTTAAATTACAACGACTCTAAGGCTGAACACACATATACGAAACAACACAAAAACACAAATTAACGAATCACAGTAGAAACCACGGCCAACTAGGAAACTAGAGTTAATCACTCACAAACTTCATCCTTAGCTCTGCCGTCGTTCTCACTGCGATCCGGAGACAACATTAGTTCCTTACTTTATTCCCTATTCCGTTTCCTTATCATTATTATTTTTTTAAAACCTACTCCCTAAAGACCCTCACTTTAACTTTACTACACTTTCAAATTTACTACAGGTCATGTTAACCCGATAATATACATACCTAACTCATGAAATTATATTGTTTAATAAACCTATCAATCTCAACTTATGAATGACTCTAATTTTATTCTCTATACAGTTAAATTTTAAATACTTAGTTTCTAATCAGATTTTAACTTTAAATTAATATTATTTGGTCTTTAAACAAATTTAACACATTTAATTTACCCAATTTTTCGAATATCTTCACCAGATTTCTTTTCTTCCACCAGAATTTTTCTGTTGCTAGATTGTACAGGTTTTTTTCGTAACGTCTTCGAATATGTATTCCTCTTCTAAAGTGACTTCTTACCCCAAAGGTCGAAACTGCGTTACGGTATCAAATTAGAATATGTAAGACTATGCAGTGCTATGCAGTCACTGATTAGATGTGGAAAATATGTGATGCTTACTCTCTTTTCTTCTAATCTTCTTCCAAATTTTTCTGCTTACCCTAAAGGTCGAAACTCTCACGGCAACCAAATGGAATATGTAGCACCATGGGTCTTCTGTCTGACGTGGAGAGCGGGAATATGTCGAAACCGGTCGCCACATCTTACATACGACCCATGCATCTTTTCTTACTACATATTTCTGTAGCCTTGTGATCGTCTAGAATTTGTCTCGAGCTGTCTTTACTTCTGCTTCACGTTGTGTATTTACTTCTTATTGGTTTTCTTAACACGTTGTCTTACCAGGAATAACAATGCGACAGTTTGCTTCTACATTTTATATATATATAGCTGAATACAGGTATACAAGCATAATAGATAACAATACTAGTTAAAACCATTTCTCTACCCTAGCCAGCCTCGCGGCTGTCTAGGAACCCAGATGTAAGCCCTCTGGAACCCAATAGAAGTCTGACTTACAGGGTTCCCCGGTTTCTTTTAAAGGTAAATGAATATCATGCACAATAACGCGTGATCATGGCCCTGAACTTGTGTAATTAACAAAATGATTGGTTACTTTAAATCAAATGATGCAATTAGAATAATTCCACTCACGTGTAATTCTGGTGGTAAATAATTGACATATGTTTTCGATAAAGAGCTCTTTTTTATGTGTCAACTGTCAATTACAGACTAAGTTGATTTAGTACACAATATATATGTGAATATGTTTGAAATTACTAACTTGCCAAAGATATTAATTAATGAAATATAAAGCCATCTTATTTCAAGAGCAAAAATTCTAGCAATATTATTACAAAATATCCCGCAAGTCTCTACGTCTTCTGCCCAATCGCTCCAACAAGATTTTGATCGGGTACTTATGTATACGTCCAGGTTGTCATGTTCCTGAAACAATGGTCCGATAAATTCCTTTCTAGCCTATAGGGTCGGATTAGGTCTCATCAAACGAAACACTGGACGGGGATTGGGTCAGATTGTTGATGTTGTTCAACTTGCACAACATCATTTAAACAAGTCTAAACAGCATCACTATCTGCTAAACAATATTGCTACCTAGTCACTGTTATACTATGTAACGTGCTCCTCTCCCGTCCAAATTAACCAACAATTTAGCTATACCATCTTATGAAATCTCCCGCCTGTCGGATCAGAACAGTAGTACGTTAAACTCCATTTCATTTCTCATTCAATCTATTTCTTTATTCTACTTAACTGTCGAAAAACGAAACACGGTGAGCAACGCGGGTTGCCCTTAGCTTAGCGCCTATTTCAACTGTAACGTAGGACCCTATATAGAATTAACGAAAGTCAGGAAAATAGCTTCTATTGTGTGCAATCTCAATCCATTTGATATTAAAATTCGGTATGACTTGAAAAATAGAATCAATATATCATTTTCTAGTTAATTTTGGTGGTACAAACTTTGACTATTTTGATATTGTATAAGACAGGGAAAATTTTTATTGTAGTCATTGGAATACAATAGTAGTGCAAACACTTAGCCATGTTTTATTTAATTACATGTACTTAACTGGGGATTGGTACCAGGCTCGTAGGACACAGGCAGGCTATTGATTGCATACAAAAACCGATCTTCTATCCGGCTTACTTCAGTAGGCTATGCCAAATATTCACTAATAATATGTACAATTTTGTTGGCATTTCGGTACCCACGCCTTAGGCCTATATTCTTCTTTAATTTTTTTGTACACACTGCGGTTTTTCAATTTGTCGGGAGAGAGGGGTGTCTCAGTTCACTCGAATGGGTTACTGGCTTGCACATGTTTCAGTCTGGTGCAGTGGCGGCGCCAGGGGGGGGGGGGGGTGCATTTGCCCCCCCCCCCCAATAATTTTAGAAAATAAAAAAAAGTATTTGTGATACGTTTCGGTAATCAGTACCTTCTACGGTGAATAAATCCCACATCCCCACTCAGTCATAAACTTGCATGTTGTAGGCCTAGAGCATTTCCGACAGTCTATTTTTCAAAATTTTCTTGGCGAGGTCCCCAATGGACTCGCTACTTTGGCGCTCACAAGGGGAATTCGTTAATTCGTTGAGGTTCGCAAGTCCGTTCGTTTGACATTTTGTTCTCTTGTCGGATAAACTAGTGATCAGGCGACGAACGGTATCTGGGCAGATCTGTATATCTCGATGATCGGTGCATGACAGAATACAGTAAGACAGCATTTCCGGCAGTCTATTTTTCAAAATTTTCTGGGGGAGGACTCCTTACTTTGACGCTCGTGAGTGGGCTTCGTCGTGATTCGCAAGTCCGTTCGTTTGACACTTTATAGGCCTACCTCATCGATCAGTGCCTGAAATACTGCCAGGCTGCATTTCCGGCAACCTGTTTTTCAAACTTTTCTGGGGGAGGCCCCCTACCCCTAGTTGAAGCTCGTGCCTTTGCCCCCTTAACCCTGGACTTTGCCCCAGCTTTGCCCCTCAACCACCGACGGCTGGCGCCGCCACTGGTCTGGTGGGTATTCGAAAACTTGATTCAAGAGGAGAACGCTAGATCGAAGCCGTTCATACGTATATGACGGCATATGTGGGTAAGGGTTAGGCTTGGTCCGGGGTTGGGGCTAGGGTTAGCGCTAGTCCTGTTTACATCTCAAGACTGACGAAATCTGCAGGTCCTACCTAACTAACCCACAGTCATAATATTATGTACTAAAATGTGCATGACCGTCTCCGATTCAAGAGGCCATACTTATCGTACCTTTTCTCACAAAAGAGCTTATTTTAGCAAAATGGCCGACTGGGTCTATGTTACAGCTGCAGCTGTGGGTGTTTCGGTGGGAATAATGGTGTTAAGACGATTATTGAATAGAAATGTGTTATACAAAAACCACATTTTTCTGACAGGAAAAACTGTTATTGTCACAGGTGCCAATTGTGGCATTGGTAAAGCCACAGCACTTGATTTTGCCAGAAGAAATGCTCGAATTATTATGGCTTGTCGTGATCTTGCCAAAGCAGAGAAGGCAGTGATGGACATCAGAAAAGTCACACAAGATGGTCAGCTTATTGTAAAACATCTTGATCTGGCAAGTTTACAGTCAGTGAGAACATTCTGTGAAGAAATCCACAAGGAAGAAAAACAACTTGATATATTAATAAATAATGCTGGTGTTTTCAAGTGTCCTTTTTCCAAAACAGCAGATGGTTTTGAAATGCAAATGGGAGTTAACCATTTTGGACATTTCTTGTTAACTAACCTACTTTTAGATCTATTAAAAAAATCACCCTCAAGTAGGATAGTGGTAGTGTCATCTGCTCTCCATAAACAAGGAAACATCAATTTTGATGACATAAACTCGGACAAGGAATACTCACGTTCTAAAGCTTATGCAGACAGTAAATTAGCCAATATATTTTTTGCACAAGAGTTGAGTCAGCGTTTAAAATCATCCAGTGTAAACATATATTGTGTTCATCCTGGAATGGTGTGGACTAATTTAGGACGCCATGTTATTTCTCCAATTGTTCGATGGCTGGTGTCACCACTTGCAAGTTTACTGATAAAATCAAGTCATGAAGGAGCTCAGACAGTTATTTATTGCAGCATTGATCCTGAATTAAACAATGAAACTGGTCTTTACTATGGTAATTGTAAAGCAGAACCCTGGACACCCGCAGCTCAAAATGTGGATGCAGCAAAGAAACTGTGGGATTTAAGTGAATCTTTGACTGGGTTAAATAAAAAGATCTTGTGATTTATTAATTATGTCTTTCAACTGCTATTTCATAATGTATAACACACTGTATTTGGTATATCAATTGATCTGAAATGCTATGCAAAGTTGAATTTTATAAGGTTTTGATAATAGACTTATTAGTAATATATATATATAGTACTTGTTCATGTACAAAACAAAAACATAAACAATGCACTATATTGGTACAATTTGTTTGTTTTAAAAAAAAATGTATTTATTTGTTGATAAATTAATAAGTGATCATTCTAGTGTTCATTTTGTTAAAAGTGCTGTCACTGTATAGAAGACACCAATTATGAAATGCAGTGCAAAGATTTGGTAAATAACAAGACAGTCAGATTTTTGTACGAACTGATATATATCCATCAAAATATAGTAGGCGATACAGCTACTTTGTTGAATCAACCATAAATCGAAAGTTCACAAAAAGTACTAATAATTACAGTATATTGAGGGCCATGATTTTTTTGAAAGATAGGTTGCCAGGAAACAAAACATACGCCCATAGCAGCTAAATCGTCGTTAAATACATCCCAAATATAATTTTAACACAGTGATCATTGCTACGGGAGTTGTGTAACAAGCACTTGAAGAAACGGGAAGTGACGTCAAACATGAGTTGTCCTTCTATATAACTGACTGAAGTAACGAGCGGTAACAGACAAACGAAGGAGTTTCATTTCACTGATAATTCCGTTGAAGATGAAGAGTTGTTATATGAGACGATGAGAGGATATTTGACAATTCAAAAAAAGAATTGGCTGTCAGTAGATAAAAGATAACGAACAAATTAGAAAAAGTCCGTGCATTACCATGTTTTTATTAAGAACAGAATGAATAAAAACGGGGGAATGCACAGGATTTTTCTACTTTTGCTCGTGTCCCTTATCTAGTGACAGCCAATTCTATTTGTGAGATACCCTCTCGCCGTCCCATATAATAACTTTTCAACTTCAACGGAATTATCAGTGAAATGAAATTCGATCGTTTGTCTCTTACCGCTCGTTACTTCAGTCTTTTATATAGAAGGACAACTCGTGTTTGTCATGTTTGGCGTCACTTCCCGTTTCTTCACGTACTTGTTACACGTCTCCCGTAGCAATGATCTCTGTGTTAAAATTATATTTGGAATGTATTCAACCAGTTCCATCACATATGTAATAATGACTGACACCAATATTGTCCTTTAAGTTTAGCCTTTAGAGCTTCCACAAGCAATTGTGGACGCCAGACCAACGTACGGGGGCGACGACAATATACGAGTATACAACCACATTTCAATGTGGGCGTAGAAAAATAAAACCATCAAAGTAAATTTGACGGGTAACAAAAAAAACCCTAATAATTTTAATAAATAACTTTATTTACACATTTTAAAAAAGTAAAATTATGACAACCAGTCTTTCATATAAACACAGGTTATGGGAGATATCACACCACCTTCACGACACTGATCAACAACCTGAAAATACAAAACATATCATTTATTTTGTAGATATTAATTATATTACTGACAATACAAATCATTTGTCATTAGTATTGTAATAATACACTTACAGAGCAAGAGCATATGAATTCCAACAATAATGTAATGTCCTTTTCGGTAAATTTATGGTACCTGACTTCATTCAGAATTAATAACTTAAGTTATTGGAAACTTTTCAGGGACAAAAACTTTGAATTATTATAGAACTTAATTTTGAGAGCAATATTTATCTGTATTTTCAAATTTTAGTTGAGATCCAGTATGAAATGAAATGAAATGGAGTTTAACGTCCTAAGATCCAGTATGATATGTTGAAGCTGACAAAAATGGTTACCGATAATTGGACACAAGAATTAATAAATTAAGTCAATGTTAAAAATATGTCCATATCAATTTTATTTAATGTGCCATTATATCGTATCATGATATAATACCCTCGACTTTTGTAATTCGATGAAACATTATTTTGTGCAATTTGAAAAGTAGGGAGTATCTAGTATATTTTACAAAATTCAATTTTTTGTCTTTTTCAGAATCATTTTTGTCATCTTTCCATCTAGTGGTTGTATTTCTAAGTCAATAAAAGGGGATTATACAGATATTGTCTATTTCCGAGATATCTTTCCGTTCTAATTTCAGCCCTGGGTGTTTAGCCTTATTTGTATGGACAGGTACATGTTGTTTAAATGGCTACATCTACATTTATTATAGAAATATTTCAGAAATCCAACAATTTTCTGTGACTTTTTGCACAATGTCCTGATTCTTAACCACTGTGGGTTTTTTTTTTGCTTTCTTCAACAGTTTGGCAAAACCAGGATACAACCTTTTGACTCCACAGTAAAGATATACTCTATTACCAAATGAACAAGGCAATTTGATATGAAAACAGAAGACTTACTGGACAAGAACCACAGGGCATTCTCATTAATCCTGCTGTTTCTATAAGTGGTTTAATTGATCTATACAGACGTTTTTTATCTCCTGATTGTGCTTCTAGAAATGATTCTTCCACTTTACCATCATATACTAAAGTATCTAATATTGTTTCTATATCTTCTACAGCTAACTGAACCTGGTGGAACAAAACAAACATGAAATTAGCATCAGTTTATGATGATTCAAGAGGGCTGAGTATTTACCATGGAGACACTAAACAGAACATTCTGAAATTGAATTGTCTCTATACAGAGAGCACTGTCAATCATGTAATATAATATCTCGACTAACCATCATAGCTGAAATGGTTGATTACATCAAGATTCCACTCACACAACATCTGTTATCAGGACTGACAGAACTGTCACACAACTCAATTTCATGTCACCGATTGCAATTTTGTCAGTTGGGAATGTTCCGGGCTAATAATCATTCACCTCAATTGTATAGTCCTTAAGCGGTGGACACACTAGCCGTATGATTTGGCGTTGAAATTCGCTGTCATTTGGCCAAATGATTTGCCCGAATCAAACAATTTTCATTCGGCCAAATCATATTTGCCTAGTGTGTCTGCTTCGCTGAAGCATTCGGCCGAATGTAGAATTCATTAGCCAATCACCACTCATATCTAGAAGTCACGCGATTGTTTGAAGACATGGTCGGCGCAATGTTTAATCATGTGACGTGAAAGGTGATGCAATTGACTGGTGAATCGGGCGAAGCAATTCGCCTAGTGTGTCCACCCATTCGGTTAATGCGTCCACCGCTTAAATGTAGACCTACTTATATTTTGTTTTCTTTAAAAAAACAAAGGTTTCATACAAATTTTATGTTAGCCTCTCACAAAGTAAAAAACAATAACCACCCCAAAAAATTCTTTGTTTACTATTCTCCAAAGGTTTCATGAAATATCTTCAATACTAATAATCACAATCTACATCAGATTATTATTGCGCATCAAAAGATATTACAGGGTAAATTAGGCAATTGCATTTTTACAGGATAGTGGTTCCCCCTTTGTCAGTGATGGGACGAAAAACCGAGGTCCCGTGTACACATTGGCATGCACGTAAAAGATCCCTTGACAGTTGGAATTCGATATAAGAGTAGGCCGTAGTGCCGCTGTCTGGGCAAAATTTCCCTCATAGCACACTGTATGGTGTATGCCTGTCTTCATTAGCCCAGTTAGGAGCAGAACAGTAGGACATTAAACCCCATTTCATTTCATTTTATTTTACAGGATAACATTCATACCTTGCTGATACCAAGCTTTGATATAAAGGTCCAAATTTCTGATGATGAAGCATAAGAACCATTTTTCTGTGCCACTGGGTCACTTTTTCCCTCTGCTGCTGTTATTGCCTACAAAAATAAATTAATAGTATACAGTAATTTCTGTCTTTTAAATTTTATGTTAGGGGATGGTGTTAAATATGAAAACTAAGCGCTTTCTAACCTCTGTATTGTCACAATAGATATCAAACAGTTGAGAATATTCAGTGTTAAATAGTTTAACATCCTCTTTATATTTTTCATTTTTCCTTGCCTGGCGCGTTTGGATGAGATTTTGAAATCTTGTGTAAGGGGTTAGTATATTCGTTTTGATATATTTGGTAGTGATAGTATATACTAATACTGATACTATACATTGCAAAATAAACAGTGTTCTGAAAGCACATATGCCAAAACTAGAGCGGCATATTTTTATAACGTCCACTTTGACCAGCCCTAGTTGGTCTCATCAGATTCATCATATAATTTATATCTTTTTTGAAAGGTAAGAGTCCACTGGCAAATCCAGCTGTTTCTATATAGAATTCCTCCCCTAACTGTTTTCGCACCAAAGAGCGAGTTGCTTTAGGTTTTGGCAAGGTCATTACGTATTACTTTCGTCTGCAAGCACACATAGGTGAGTATATATAGACAGATATAGATAAGTATACATAAAACATTTTATAGACAAGAAAATGTAACAGTAAAATGTTATACAGGTCGTTAAACACTGAGAAAATATCAACACGAATTTGTGGAAATATTTCCGACATCTTGGATTTTCAAATCTTAAATTTAACATCACCAATGAACTCGGCGACCCCAAAAACCCTAATATAGAGTCAAGAAGAGATTTATACAGGGAAAAATAATGAAGATTTTTAATGAAATCTAAATTATCACCCTCAGTTTAACCCCTACTATCTTCAGGGGGGTCAGAAAGAAATAAAAAAAAATATGTTCATACATGGGTAGGGTAACTACAACTTTTGTACAATAACACCACCCCCTATTCATGTCCATGTGATACAAACTAGGTCATTTTGGGACTATTATATGGTATAATTTTATTCCAATAATTGTGAATGTGTGTAGGAGTCAACAGTGAGAAATTAAATAATTAAATGGGCTTTAACGTCTTACTGTTCTGCTCCGACTGGGAAAATGAAGATGGCAGTGGGAAGAAGCCAGTGTACCTGGAGAAATCCCACGAGGTTGGGTAGGTGACTTTACTTCTTGTCAAATACAAGCTTGGGATTGACACACCACTTGATTTTATGACAGACCTTATGATCAGAAGTAGACCCCTCAACCACACATTTTACACTTCAACAAGACTACACAAATTTATGAGGCAAATGCATGCAAAACGTTGTAACCAGCAGTTGCCAGGCAAGATAAGTCAACAATTTGCAAGAGATGGATAGAGAACAAAAGTGTTTTTTCGTACAATTAGGGGCCATAATCCAAGAAGTTATGGTCTGAAATGTGCAAATATCGAAAGGGACTGAGATCTTTGGGATATAAAGATGTTTTTTAAGTTTCTTCAAAATCGGATAAAAATTTTGACATCTAGAGGGTCTACAACCTTAATTCGTATCACATACTTTTTACACAATTTGCGTACAAAGAGCAACCGTTTTGTCAGGCAGTTTAGTTTTGATTTTCCCGATTTTAAACGGTTTTTAAAATCAGATAAAAATTGTGATCTCTAGAGGAACCACAAGCAAAAACCTGATTTTTTGTACAATCAAGGGCTATAATTCAATAAGTTATGATCCGATATATGCTAATATCAAAAGGAACCAAGATCTTTGGGTTATAAACATGCATAATCGTTGGGTTGCCGGTTAGGGAAACCCTTACATTTTGCTCCATGGGTGTTTTTTTTTAAAGAATCTAATAATTTCTAGTAAGATTGAATGTTTCTACTTTCCATATATACCAAAATTGCCATAATTTTATTGGAAATAACCACCCGATAAATACTTTTGTTGGAAAGTATCTTTAATAGACAAAGTGGGAATAAAACCCACAAATTTGGAATTGAATCACTCAGTCACCTAATAACAATAGAACTAACCTTTTGTTGTAAATATTTAAAACACTGTTGATTTAATACTTCCACAAACTCTGATTCAAAGTCTTGATCACTGTACCAAGCTCCACCAGTAACTGATCTATCTGGTTCAAGATTATACAACATATAAACTTTCTTCTTAGATGCCTGGAAGAAATGGATTAAATTTTCAATTACTAGAATTATGAATGATTGAAATGGGGTTTAACATCCTACTTACTAAGTTACTTTTGTAACTTTTCTGTTCCTACTGGGGTAATGAAGATGGGCATACATAAGGGACATTTTGCCCAGACAGCAATTAAATTTGAACTGTCAAAGGTTCTCTTATGTGCAGGCCAATGTGTACACAGGACCAAATGACTAGGCCCCGTCCTTGCCACTTGACAAGGGGGAACCACGCCTGAAAATAATGCAGCCAATACCGGTACCCCAAGTTCTGTGAGCCAGTGTCTTACTCACCGACCCACCCATCATTCCTTACTAGAATCATGAGCAATATTATCTTAGTTATTTATGCGATAATTATACATTTTTTGACAGCAAATAAATTTTTGTTTATTTATATTACTTCTGGGGGGTTGGATGGCTGAATGGTTAGCGTGCGCGCGCTGTATCATAAAGTCTGTCATTGAGTCGACTGGCGTGGTTTCGAATCCCCGGTTGTACGTGACAAAGAGTAGGGTCGCCTGTCCAACCTCGTGGGTTTTCTCCGGGTCCTTCGGTTTCCTCCCACTGCTAAAGACCCCTATGCGCAAGCGAATTATTGAAATAAAATTAAACCATATGTTAGTCCCGAAATGACCTAGTTTGTGTCGAGTGGACGTTAAACCCCATTTCTCTCTCTCTTATATTACTTCTAATTGGAATTTAATGAATTGTTTATTTTGTTGGATGAATAACAGAAAATCCTATTAGATATAAAAAATAATTTTGAGTCTTATTAATCTTTTACTACATGAAAACATATTAATTATACCTACAGCAACAGATTTTACTGCTTTAATAAGTTTCTTACTCTCTAAATTCTTTAAAATCTTGTTAAGTTGTGTCATCAATAAGTTTGATTTATATCTAATATCTCTTATCCATATACCTGTAAAAATAAACAATTAATTTAATTGAAATATAAACACTCTATGTATGAACAGCATGTATTGACATGCTTGTTCCTCACTAATGATCTATAGGTCTAGAATATGGCAAATTCTTTAATTTCCATTTAATATGGTCTCTAGGTCCTGTGATGATGAATAGAATCAGGTTAAAAGCCATTTTGAGATTAACATACAATAATTTGATTTCTATGGTTACAGTGCAGTGTGCGTGGTTTAATTTTGCTTAAATACTTTTTTTGATACTAACTTCTTTATTTTGAAAATGCACAACACTTCAACCTTCATACAAAACTAATGAAACAATGAAATTAATGACGCAATGGATACCTACAAGATTTGCAACTGATGATGTAATCATGACTAGACGGACAGAAGTGATAACATAAGCACTTTAGGCCGATGGGCTAAAAATAGAAAACTAAGTTGTGAATATTAAATGGACAACGTACTGCTATACCTAAAGTTACAGTTGATAAATTATATAGTTTTCTGGTTTATAGCCCAGGCTGTGCCCACTCCTCATCAACTTCTAAATGGTAAGAGAACTTTACTTTTAACCGAGGTACTATTTTGAACACAGGACCTTGTTTTGTTTTCATCCCACCTGGGACATTCTGGTTGTGAGTCAGAGAGCCACTGTGATGATGAAGATGGTTCAAGTAATGAATAAGTCTAAAACATTTTATCAACTCACCTTTATTGCCAGCTTCTTTTATGATCTGATACACTAGCTTCTCTTGATTATCCCCTCCCTTTAATTGACTAAAATAAAAAAAAGTAACATAATTTTATGAATGTATGGTGTAGATTTATTTGTTGAAAACATGTAATACTTAATATACACTTATACACACAGTCTTTGTCTTCACAGAAAGTACTGACTGGTAAAAATTAGGTAGAATGGTGTTGATTACCTAGATATTAAGTAAACATGTGTATAAACACAACATCATAATTGTTACTACAGAGTCAAAACATTTTGCAAAATTGCTCAGAAGGCCAAAAGACATACAGAGGTTAAGAATTTGGATATCGTACAAAAACATCTGGTCAAAGTATTGTAGGAATTATTTCTCATTTCAAAAATTTTCTAACATATTTATATAAATAAGCATGGATTTAACTGTGAAAAATTATATATGTTCCAAAAATGCAATTGAAGATCAGCAAGTTTATTTTTTTAAATCGGTGCAAACTACTGCAAACAATGATATGTTTGAAGTGCAGCAGTATCTTTTACCATTTGTACATACAATTTATATTTTAGTACAGAGACTCACTTATTTGTTGATTGTCCATCTTTTATTCTATAGATTAATTTACTTCCACTCTTGAAAATTTCTAATCTTCCCTGTAGAAAATGTATAAACAATTTTCAGTTTAATTAGATTATAAAGATTAATAATTCAAAGATAGGTTGCCAGGCAACAAAACATACACCCACAGCAGCTAAATTGTCTGGGCAGTTAACAAGAGTTGTTGCATATTTTTACTATTGTCGGTAATGAAACATTTATAATACACCAAAATCTGATTAAGAGTAACAACTCATTAAGTAATTATCAGAAAACCATTGGAATTTGTTTGGCACATGCTAAAGTTTAGTGTACAAAACATTTAATATCATGGATTTAGCTGTTTAAGTTATAAAAAATCATTGAAAATCAATATACTTGTTCGTCTCAAGACCTTAAACTCTGTGTATCAATCTAAAGTCAATCGAAACAATTATATATACATCTATGCGTAAACACGGTGTATAAATATAAAATCATGACCTGATGACCTTTAACACTGTGTATAAATTTAAAGTCAATCGGATATTAACTTTAGCCTCTACAGCGTCCACAAGATTTTTCAAAGTGATCAAGGGCCATAACTCTGGCAGTAATTATCGGAAATCGTTAAAAATCAATAGATTTCTTCGTCTCATGACCTTAAACACTGTGTATAAATTTAAAGTCAGCCTCTAGCCTCTAGAGCGTTCACAAGCAATTGAGGACGCCGGACGGACGGATGGATGGGGGCAATGACAATGTACGACTCATTTCAAGGTGGGCGTTTAAAAAGGATTCCATGCTTTCAATGGAATCAAAAATCAAGATATTTTAATATAAGATTTATAATATTGGCAGAAAAATACTTTCATTTTCAATGAAGTAAAACATTGTAACCAGTATTGTAATCACTTACAGTAGACAATAGACGATTTATAGCTGTAACTCTTTGTTTTACATCAAATTGTGGCATGTCATCTTTTATAGTTTCTTCATTTATACCACTTGGATTCTGTTGACATAAATTGATTATTCTGAAAATCAAATAGAACACATTTACTGGTATATTTGACTTTTAATACTCTATGTGAACATCATGCCCATTTTATCTCTAGAGAATGATAAGGCTTAATATCAAGCCCTTGACATACATGCAGCTTTATTATTGGTGTCTGGACTGCATGGGGGTTTAATCCTTGAATGACATTTAGCAATTGAGTACAATAAAAAACACAACACAATTTATATGGAAAACAATATCAGGTATGTACAAATATAGCAAAACATTTGACAAGTGTTCTCCTATCACTATTAAGCAAAAATAATGAAGATAAAAGAACGCTGTTGGAACGTTGAGCTATATATGTGTACAAACCAGTGATTGTTTCCATATAAATTGTGTTGTGTTTTGTTTTTGTTTTGAATGGGCATTTTAGTTTATCTCAAATGGCTTGTTAACATTTGACTTTGGTGAATAAAGCTGTATATAACATCTCTGAATGATATTTAGTGATTCAAGAGAGAGAGAGAGAAATGGGGTTTGACGTCAAGTCAAAACAAACCAGGACATTTCGGAACTAACATGGTTCAATTTCGCTTGTGTATAGGGGTCTTTAACAGTGGAAGGAAACCAGAGGATCCGAAGAAAACCCATGATGTTGTAATGGCGACCATGTCACTTGACTCAATGACAGACCCTATGATCTAACGCGTAGGTGTTAAACCATTCGGCCACCCAACACCCCAACACTAAAACTTATATGGAATAACAATTACTGGTTTATAACATGCAATATTTAGACTATAATATTCTCTTCTTTAACAAAAAAATGAGCAAATGTTTCATATTAGCCGGTGTTGCTGGTATATGTCGGACTTTCAAGATTTAAAACAAAACAGAATTTTTGATCAAAGAAACTGATATTGCCATATGGTCCTGAAAAATCAGGGTGACCACAATTACGCTTAGCTTAAGAGTGTGTGTATGTAAAATAATGCCAAATGAATCTGCAACAGGCCAGATTTAGTGCCAATGGCAATGCTAGTGTACTCCTCACAGTCAGAAAGGGTATCAAATGAAAATATCTCAGTCTCAGTGTATGTTCATCTTTAAATGACGATTCTGCAAGTGATTACATCATGTATTAGATAAGGCACCTCATCTCTCCATATAAGTGATGGTACTACAAATGTATACGGTTTCTTCTGGAAAAATATGGGTGGATCACAACGTCCTCCAATAAGCAAAACGAAACTGCCAATTTTTTCTTCAAAACGTCGATTGCTTATTGTTATTATTACATTTCTGCCACATTCAACTACAATTAAGCATATAATCCTACCTGATACGGGTACAAATCACCTCTTTTAAATCGAAGAGTTAAAAGCTGGCTTTGCTCAACGATTTAAAACGGAATAAGTTTGATGTCTCTACATCATGAAGGCAGGGCTAAATATATGTTGTGTACAACAGCCAATATGCGTAAAAGTGGAGAACCCTTATAGGTCATGCATGACTAATGCACAGTAATTAACATCCTCGGTATTCCCAGTGGTCTCATTCTGTTCTACTCCACTAACTCCTGGGTTAATTTATGGGGGGGGGGGGGGGGGGGCCATGTTTTCAAGTTATCCACCATGATAATTGTGCTATTTTTATCGACCAATCCCATAAATGATTAATTGCAAAGAAAGTTGGCAAAGTTAAGTAACTCTCATCGGGTAAGTAAGCAAAATGCAAAGGCTCTCCTTCAAGAGACAAGGTTAGGAATTAGCCAGAAGATAGCCTTGAAATGAGGTTTAAACGTCTTACTGTTCTGCTCTGAACTGTGCTAATAAAGACAGGCATACGCCATACAGTGTACTATGAGGAAAACTTTGCCCAGACAGCGGCACTACAGCATACTCTTATATCGAATTCCAAATGTCAAAGGGTTCTTTTACGTGCACGCCAATGTGTACACTGTACACAGAACCTTGATTTTTTATCCAATCGGAACGACTAGACAGCTGTCCTTGTCAGGCCCTGCATCAATGACAAGCGGGGAACCACACCGGAGAAGGTAGCAAAAAATGAAATGAAATGAAATGGGGTTTAACGTCCTACTGTTCTGCTCCAAACTGGGTTATTGAAGACGGACATATGCCATACAGTGTGCTATGAGGGAAATTTTGCCCGGACAGCGGCACTACAGCCTACTCTTATATCGAATTCCAACTGTCAAGGGATCTTTTACATGCACGCCAATGTGTACACAGGACCTCGATTTTTTGTCCCATCCAAACGACTAGACAACTGTCCTTGTCGGGCCCCCCGTCCTGCATCACTGACAAGGGGGAACCACGCCGGAAAATCTGGATGAACTTTCTCAGCCAATGCAGGGATCGAACATCTGACCTTCAGGCTAGCGAGCCAGCGTCTTACCCACTTAGCCACCGTGACCTCCGTAGAAGGTAGCCTAAATGAGAGAAGTCCAAATTATACTAAATGCATATTTATTAACAACAAATTACAATTATTTTATAATATATTAATGAAGACAGGTGTTTATATACTCAGCCAAATTAAAAACTTGACACTGATGAATTTCAACAAATTTTTTTTTCGGGTAAGTCAAATAAATTTTAAAGTGTTTCTAACGATAGTAAGTACATGTAGTAAGAAGCCTTTAATTTCATAAAATTGGATCACGTGACTTTTGAGCATATAAAGATGAAAAACCCTGAAAAACATGTGCAAACACAAACTCGTGAGGTCAATCGATGCAAGTTTGCTTAAACTGAACACGCACACGTAACTTGAACTGGAAAAACAAATTAAAATTGTTATTTTCATCTTTGTTAGAAAATGACGCCTTTCAAATGTAGAATGTGTACGTGCTATAGGTAGGCTCTATGCTGGTTAGTCTATGGTCACTGTTGCAAGAGCCTTTAATTGTTCACGCCAGACAATAATTAATCTTAGAATGAGAGTGCTTCAAACTGGAACTATTGCCGACCGCCCAAGGGTGGGAGCGCCACGTGTGACGTCACTCCAGGAATATCAAGCAATACGATTACGTCATCGTAGAAACAAATTTGTCACTGTATCCCCCACAAGTAGAGAAATGTTTGGTGGAAGGGTAACTGCACAAACTGTTCGAAATCGCTTGCAGGCTGCTGGTCTTCGAGCTCGGGGGCCCTATAATGGACCAATATTGACACCTTTTCATCGCCGTAACCGACTTGTGTGGGCCACAAGACACATAAGATTTACTCAAAGACAGTGGAATTCGGTTTTCTTTAGTGACAAATCTCGATTCACTTTGAGATTTGCCGATGGCAGGGTCCGAGTGTACCGCAGACGAGGTGAACGTTACGCTCAAGTATGCGTCAGAGAAGTTGACCGATTTGGTGGCGGCAGCATCATGGTTTGGGGTTCTTTTTGTGCACATGGGCGTTCTCCTCTTGTTGTTGTCCAAGGGAACTTAAATGCTGTCCAGTAAAGGGATCAGATTTTGCAACCTGTTCTTCTTCCGTTTATGGGCCTGGACTAACGTTTCAACAAGACAATGCTCGACCCCATACAGCAATTGCTACCCAGAATTTTTTAAGAAATGCCGGTGTCCAAGTCCTGGATTGGCCGTCGCTTAGCCCCGACCTTAATCCTATTGAACACATATGGGACGAACTGGGTCGACATGTTCGTCAGCAAGTGAATCCACTGCTGACGTTGCAGGACCTTCAACATGCTCTTGCTGAGCAGTGGCGACGTCTTCCTCGGTAAGTGTTTACTAATGTTCTGAGATCTATGAGAAGACGATGTGTGGCAGTACGAGACGCTAGAGGAGGCCACAACCATTACTAAACACTTTATTCCGATTGTTTTCCAAGTCTGTGAATTTCATTTTGGGGGGGTTTCTGTGACATCACGAACGTTATCAATGTCAAGGACTTTTGGCGAAATGTATTCTTGCTTTCTGTTGATGTCAAAATAGTTGCCTTAAACCAAATATTTAAAAATCTAGTCCCAAAAATCCTGAGTGTCAAGTTTTTAATTTGGCTGAGTATATATGTAGTTTCAGGAGTTTTATTGAGAATCAAATTGCCAAGTATAAATTCAATAATAATAAACAAATCAGAATGTAATATTTCAGACAAAGACCGAATAGTAATGATAATAACAAAAGTCAAACATATAAATGTTATACATATTTGAAATCAGCAACACATACTACAGATTTTGATAATACAATTAAATATAAATGAATTAGAAATATATACATTATTTACATATATCATTCAATAAATGGACATGAATATGGTTATCTACCCTTATAAAAACGAAATCAAAACGACTGGTTTGTAAACTGTTTTTTTGATTGGTTCGTAGACTTTATCTACAATCAGGACCAGGGCAGATAATTTGAAATTGTGGAAACACTGGAAACCCTATGGATTAACCCAAGGTATAGTGGAGTAGAACGCAATGAGTTCACTGGGGATACTGAGGATGAGTAATTGAGAATGGCCGTATCAATTCTGTTAGAAACACAGCTTGATTAACTTTACTACATTGGGTCGGGTACATGTATGTTTAATTAGTTCTAATTATAGAATAAATTAACTTATTTTTAACTTATCAGCATGTGGGGCACCCCAATGCAGTACATTGTATTTGAAGACTCACTGTCAGTTCATGTCAATACAAACCTTGTTTCCAAATCTACACCTTCGACAGGTTCTTGTTTAATCTCTACACTTGCTGCCATGATTTTTTAGTCCAAGTAAATCTATATAAAAGAGAAAGTTTGTTTGTTTGTTGAAAAAATAACTCACAATGACCTGCCATTTTTTCAAAAAGGAATTTAATTGTTTTATTGTAAATTAATGTAATCATTAAATAGAAATCATAATCATTATTGACATTAAAGGAGTTAAATCGCTAAAATTTGGGACCTAGAAATTGTCACAAATGGGTCACAGTGCATATAATATTGTAATACCAATGTATATAAACTGGTTAGTTTACATTAAACTGTTTCCGTTTTTACTCTAATTTCAAACCAGTTATGTTCGGCGAAATACGGCAGAAGTCTCAATCGAATGGCAATCTCTAGCGTCTGGTTATTCCAGTCTACAACGACAGTATTTATTATGCATGCTCTCCAGATAAGAATATGGCGTCACCATTTGACAGGACTCAATGACATCTATACTAACATGACTTGTGGAATATCACTAGCCTCGTTCTTAGACTTAAGAATCCTGGTATTACGACATTTCGGTCCCGAGTCATTTCTGACTCAACACAGGCGACCTTTCGGACTTAGTTTGACGACAGTTTTGGATAAAAGAATGTAGAAAATTTGTATGAGATATTTGTAACAGCTGTTTTTTGTCGTTTTATGTGAGGCCGATAGTTGTCTTTTGTTTTAGGTAATTGAAAGGCAATTCTTGAAACCGCCAATATTAATAAATAATTAACATCGGCGAGTATTGAACTTAACAATAAAATATTGTTGAAAATTTGTGTATATCTAGTAATACTTTGTTGTTTTTCTTTTAAAAACAGTAAACGAGCTTGATTGGTCGATCACTGCTAATGTTAAAGCCTAAATGTCTTTTGCGTGAGTCAGGATAATCGAATCAACACACGGCCAACATTATCAGTGATTGACAACTCATGTTTTTCCTCATCCAGCAAAGAACCGTAAGATTTCTTTGCACATACTACAATAACATCGGGATTATCGGTTAATCAGCTTTAATTATCACACTTTGATTGTTGCCATTTCTAATATTTTCCAAAAAGAATTTTCTTTGTATGCACTAATTTATCTATCTATGGCAAGCTTGGCGAGGAATGCATGTCAACATGCATCTAATGGACTATCGTTAAAAATTTCTAGGGACTTGTAAAAACAGTGCATGTCGAGTAAATATTTACTTGTTTTTGTGTAGGTCATTTTGAAATAAATTCAACAGCATATTATTCTTTTTTACAAATATATATTACTTTTACAGGAAGCAATGATAAAGAACCGTAAGTGCAACTGATGTTTTATCGTTTGGTGGAGGATTTTAATAACCACATGTTTCACGTTAATATTTTCTTTCGTGTTTTGAATTGGCCTATTTTTAATAAATTCATCAGCTACTTTTTTAATACATATTACAGATATAAAGAAATAAAACATTCTTTTTATAAACATTCAACAATGGAAATTTTGCCGTTCCTTAAGAATAAGGGGTCTATACAGTACGTGATCCACGATTCCACATTGCGAGCGGTAAATTTTACCTGCTTTTATATCACAAATTGATTTGACAGTTGTGTTCAACCTTTCCTTTCAACTTATTCCTGAGTCCAAAATGTCACCTGCCCGAGTCCGTAATGTCGAGTCCATATTTTTTTGAGTCCGAAATATCTTATGTCCGAAATGACGTGGGACTGAAATGACACATAATCAGAGTCCCTTGTTACAAATGGCGCTGAAACGCATTTACATGTAGTGTACTAATGGTAATTAAAATGTTTATTCTGTCTTAAATATTGGATATCAGAAGCCAATCTTTCCCCAGCGAGATCACAACATCAATGTTGATTGAAATTGACAAGTAATTTGTGTTTTCAATGTCGAAGCCTTTGCATGATACTGAGTATGAGACTTTCACTTATATTAGCTTATAGCTACTTTAACGGGCCAATCCTGATAACATTTTGGCGATTAAAACTGCTTAATTTGTTTTGAAATCCCTTAAAATCCTCTACCTTAGGGCCGAACAACTAACTCAACATATGTGATATGTTTTCAAATAACTTAAACCCTTCAGTCTTCATCTGGAAATAGAAACCTGTGTCCCAAGCTGTATTATGTGGTGTCTGGATGAAACCAGACTTTTATTTTATCAGAATAATGTGTAGGTGAAATTTATGTTTCGTTATCAAGTACAGCACATGGGTCATTCATTGTATAGATCTCTAAAGGAACGGGAATCGATTCTCAGGTCATCCAATGAAAAAATTGACCCGAAATCTTAAGCAGTTTTGACTTTCATGTGCAAACGACTCAATATTGTGAGTTGAAATTTAGAGATAAGGTAAATATACCATTCCTCTATATTTTGACGCTTAAATTTCATACGTACTCAGACTTTTATTTTTGAGACTGTGTTCAAATCGGGATAGTCCCTTTAATCATAACTGTTACCGAGTCTGAGAGACACCAGCACATTCTTCTACTGACTTCTTCTACTACAACATACCATGTTTTTCTTGATTATTTCAGCTCTGAACTAGGTTATTCTAGACCAACCCATTACCTTCTGGAAAACTATATAAGACACTTACCCGACATACACCGAATAATAAGCTGGTATTAGTAGCTGAAAAAACCTCCTACAAAATTGCAATGAAATTTACAAACGTGCGAGGAAATACCGGATGTTTATATGTGGACTAATGATGGCCGCGGTAATGGCAAAGATTGTTTTAGATTAGATTATTTGATTGAGAATAAATATGAAATATAAAAAATCTGAAGAAAGTATGCATGATTATGGTATTCGGGATCTTTTATCAATTCAAAGGACAATATATATTTTTTTAAATTTTAATCCTTTATAAAGGACTTGTTTTCTGTTCAATGCGGATAATTTCATTCGGCTAACCACCTAAACAGTGGAAGAGAAGAAGAAAAAGGGAATTTGTTATTATAAATCAACTTGGTTTTAGAACATTTAAGGAACTCATTAATTATCTAAAAGAAATGGATATTGAAAGATATTAAATTAATTTCCGCGATTTCTATCAAATAGGCAACTACAAAAATCAGAGTTCCACCGATCCGTATCGACCAAGATCGCCAAACCCCGCCCATTTCCTAAAGGCGACGAAGACAGCCGAATTTTACCGATTTGGAATAACCATGACTGTTATGGCGGAAGCTCAGGTATATTTGCCCTGATTTTTGGTGTAAATGAAGCTGAAATCGAATACAAATAGATACATTGCGCACATAAAGACAATTATAAATATATAATGTTTCTTATTTTTACAGATCGAGCTCAACGAGGGCTGCAGATTGCCTGTATTATTGAAAAATGGGGACGGTTGGCGTAAGTATTATAAAACGACGGAGGCGACACTAAGCGACAAAAATTGACACTTTTATCACTGTAGATGGGGTACACCATCTTATTTTAGGCACGCACCTTTGTAAACTACAGCTATTAGATAATATTAAAAGCATTAACACCTCCAAAACACACCCATTAAACTAGCTAGTTTTGAAATTAATGGTAGTTCCGTAAATTCTGTCAGGTTTTTGTGGTGTATTTGTAAGAAATTACCTCCCTTGATGCATCAAGGGAGATAACATTTTCCTTTTTTTGGGAAAAAGAAGTAATTCATAACTTTTGGATTTTTTGGGAAAAAGAAGAAATTCATAACTGTTAAAATTTTAAGGCTGATCCAAATCATTAGTCAATGTAATAATTGGAAATTGTACTTTGTGTAAGAAAGTAGCATATTTGGATGTAGCCTGTTTATTTTTTCAAGCATTCAGACTATCTAATATATATTCTCTGTGCTGTTTCTTATGTTGTTGCGTTTTGGGTTTGTTTTTTTTTTAGACAATAGAGAATTACTGAAAGACAAATTATCAAGATATAGGATCAAATAAGTCGAAAATTCATAGTACTTTGAATATGTGTCACTTGTCATGCGAGGTCATGACAAGTGCAGTGCAGTGTACTATTTGTTGCACAGAGAGTAAAGAAATTTTAATCTGCCTGATAGTTATCAACTGGATCACAATTTCTGAATGACTTGGCAAGCCTCTGTGGCTGTCAAATTCACAGGTGTCCTCATTAAAACAATGTTAATGACTTTTCATCATGTAAGCTGTATCTAGTAAACATTTTTTTTTTTACAGATTGGGCTGAAATCCTTGGAAAAAAAGATATTGGTGGCAAACCATTATATTATGTTCATTATGAAGACTGTAAGTATATATATATGGCAATTCATAACAAACCTTGAAACAGGTGACAATATGAACAATACTATTTTGTGTAAATTTAGAGGTAGTATTTTGTATTTGAATTTTTTATCCAGTAGGTTTATGAACTTTCTCATGCATGAACTTTATAGAAATTTTGCCAGTATTCAAATTATCTTGTATCTGAATTCCGTTTATTCTGTCTTTTAATTTCATAGTCAACAAACGTTTGGATGAATGGGTGCCGGAGGAAAGGATGGATGTATCTAAAGCTGAACTTCCCAAAAAAGACAACAAAACCCCCAAGAAAGATCCCCTTAATAAAATGACCAATGGTTCTCGTCCAACATCACCAGAGAGAGACTTTTTAGTAAGTTATTATCTGCATGCATACTATTTTATCAATCCTCAAATCTTATGTATGCTAGTTCTCACCAATAATATTTAGGTTTTTCAAAAAAAATCGACCCTTTTTTTTAGTATGGAAAAAACAGCAAATATCACCACTTTTGCTGACATTCACTGGAACTTCTAAATAAAACTCATGTGTACCAGTTGAATGCATTCATTTAAAGTTACAAATTATGGATGTCACCTGAACACAATAGCAGACTCCCAGTAATTAATTAATGACACATTTTAGTATCTGGGAACATGAACAAAAGACTTTTTGGCAACCAGATATTTATCAGTTGTAGGTTTTAATTAAATATTTTGCCTTTCATTATAAATTAGGAATGTGGAGCATCAGGAACTATAGTGAATGCTAACAGTCCATTATCACTGGTAGATGAAAGTAGTCTGGATGAGCCACCAAGGTCATCAATTCAGGTACATGTATAAACCAAATAAATGATATGAATGGCAAATAAATTGATTGTCCGATTTTTACTGCAGTTGAAAGAAGTGGTATTCATGATTGTAAAACAGTATATAATGTAAATGATCAGTTCCAGATTTCACAGTGTACCCATTGATAAAAGCTGATTTAAGTATGCAGATCAAGTGCAGAAATGTGAAGAAATAATCCTATTCCCTTGTCTGAAGTTTTCAAAACCAGATATTTAAGAAATTTCCTTGTTCAGTTGTACCTAGTGACTTTGTAATCGTGATGATCACTGGCCACTATTAACATCAACAAGTCATGTACATGGTTATCTAGGCACGGATATCATGTTAAACTGGGGTCTTAACACCAACCCCACATTGTAACAGACAGGGTTAATGTTTTATTCACTAAAATATATCATAGTTTTTTCCTTTAAATAGAAAAAACAACCAGACTGATTTCAACATATTTACCTTTACTTTTGCCATTAAGCTTGAATGTAGATAAATTGTAGTTATTGATGTTTTATTGTAATCACAATTCATTACTTAACTTTTCAGATTCCTCTTCAAAATGGTGCAATGTCCTTTGGTGGTTTACAGAAAAAATCTTTAATTAAAAAACGTAAACTTGATGATGATGTAAGTTATCTGTTTTACAACTACAAAAGTTTATCATTATAATGAGTTTAGGCATTTGGAATCCTGAATAAAAACTAACCCTGATGTAAAAATATATACTATAAAACAGGGGATTAAGATAAGGAATTATGAAATTTATTAGACTTGAAATGAGTGGACTTGCTATTAAAATTTACATGCCACATTGTTTCCTACTTTTGTGTAAAATGTGTACCTTTTAAATTTATCATATACAAGACATTATTTACCAGACAGTATTTGATATGGTTGCAGTGACTTTGATTGGTCTATCATCTAAATTAGATTATTTTATTGTGGTAAGCTTGGTAAATCTGACAGTACTATAGATGACTACTCCATACTCATTCTAACTTGGGAGAACAAGATTTGATTTAATTTTCTTGATCTACAATAACTTAGAAGATTGCTTTTCTTAATAATTTCAACTATTTTGACAGTTTTTTTTTCCTATCTAGTTTCAGTCAGATAGTCAGGAAAATGTTCCTAAAACTCCACGACAGACGGGCAGTATGGTAGCACATCATGATGACATAGTTACACGTATGAAAAATATAGAATTAATTGAATTGGGTAGATGGCGAATTAAACCATGGTATTTTTCACCATATCCTCAGGTATAAGCCATCTCATTTTTCATTAATGTTGTTTAATGCTCCAAATAGGTGATAACAGTCTTTAAGTTAAAAAAAAAGTACATATTTTAATACACCCAAATTTTCATGTGGACGTATATTATCGTTGCCCCCCCATCCATCTGTGTGTTCGTCCGTTCACATTTTGTTTGTGGATCCTCTACAGTTCACAATTTTTATACACCAACATGGAAATGTGGTTGTATATTGCCAACTGTCCTGCATCCATAATTGCTTGTGGATGCTCTAGAAGCTAAAGTTAAAAATACATTATGGGAGATAAGATAAAGAGCTGGTAGTTCTCACTATAATTCAAATGCACGAACAGAAACCATAGATAAATTACAACATGATTTTAAAAATATAAACTGTCTTTTATTCGGCTCTACAGCCCACAGTCTTGATGTTAATTCCAATATATTTAATCAGGTCCATAAATTTATAGATATGTCAAACAGATTCTAATATTATCTCGATCAAATAATACTTTATCTTCTCTTTTATGTATAATCTTGGCTAGTCTCTCTAACGCTGATTATTATTAAAAAATTCTTACTGTATGTTTTCATCTATTTTATTATATCTATATAATATGTATGTGTTTGCCATATTTAACTATGTATATACACCCTTTTTGTATCAATAATATATATGTATATACAAATTATTTAGGGAGAGGGGTTTTACATAGGCTAAGCCTGTTCCCCAATCCCATTCAGTCAACCTGAATAAAAATATGGTTTAAAAAAAAAATAATTGTTAAAAACTAGATAATGTAAAGGGAATTTGCTGAAAACAGTATTTATTAAAGTGAAGTATTGCAGCAGCTTATTTACAAATTTTGTACCTTTTATTTCAGGAATTAACGTCTGCACCTTTAGTCTTTATCTGTGAATACTGTTTAAAATATCTTAAAAGTAGTAAATGTTTACAGAGACATTTAGTAAGTATATGCTCAAATTAATAGTCTAATGCCTATCAAAATGCATCATACCCTAACTTTAATCTGGCTGTTGAAAGTGTCAATCAATGACATATAAAACCCTATTCTATTCCTATAAGAGCTGATGATGGGTATATATTTCATTGCCTATAAACCTATGTTTTAAACTCGAATTTAACTAAATTTACGATGATTTGATCATGCACGTAAGAAAAGTACTGTTTAAGAAAATATAGTTAGTTTCTTTCTCAGCCCAAATCCTTCTATTGTATAAGTTACGAACAAAGAAAATCATATTTGTTTTCTTTTTTAGGCAAAATGTCAGTTGTGCCATCCGCCTGGTAATGAGATCTATAGGAAGAGTAATATTTCTTTTTTTGAGATTGATGGGAGAAAAAATAAGGTATTTTTTTTTGTTTTATATAGGGAGCCACGGTGGCTATGTGAGTAAGACTTATTTTAAATATAACCAATAACACGTCATTTTAATCAAATATCAAAACAATGTGATATGAAAGCCAGTCTTTTATTCACTACGCATGGTTTCTTTAGAAAATATTAAAAAATCTTGAATCATTTTGTAATAATTCTTTTATAGAGCACATCAGTGTAATAATGATTCATGAAGGCAGGAATTATGATGCGTACTGTTGATCTTTCTGGTAGGCTTCACCCAGATAGTTGTTTGAGACTAGGAGTAGGGTTGTCTGCCAAACCTTGTAGGTTTATCCACATCTGCAGATTGTCTTTCTATGGAAAAAGAACATGAAAATCAGATATCTATATATATATTTGTGACTGTCGTTTGTCTGTCTGTTCGGGGTTGGCGGCTACTCTAGGTCTGCCCTGAGTCTGAAATTTGGGGTATAGGGGTAGCTCGGACCGGGGAGTAACATAGGCCAGGTGGCGTTAGTCTACCACTTCCGGAGTTATGACCCCCGAGCGAAGCCAGTCTGTTCGAGGTTGGCGGCTACACTAGGTCTGCCCCGAGTCTGACATTTGGGGTATAGGGGTACCTCGGACCGGGGAGTAACATAGGCCAGGTGGCGTTAGTCTACCACTTCCGGTTTCGGAGTTATGACCCCCGAGCGAAGCTGGTCTGTTTGAGGTTGGCGGCTACACTAGGTCTGCCCCGAGTCTGAAATTTGGGGTATAGGGGTAGCTCGGACCGGGGAGTAACATAGACCAGGTGACGTTAGTCTACCACTTCCGGTTTTGGAGTTATGACCCCCGAGCGAAGCCGGGTATCTGTCTGTCTGTGTGTTCGGGGTTGGCGGCTACACTAGGTCTGCCTCGAGTCTGAAATTTGGGGTATAGGGGTACCTCGGACCGGGGAGTAACATAGGCCAAATGGCGTTAGTCTACCACTTCCGGTTTCGTAGTTATGACCCCCGAACGAAGTCGGTTTGTTCGGGGTTGGCGGCTACACTAGGTCTGCCCCGAGTCTGAAATTTGGGGTATAGGGGTAGCTCGGACCGGGGAGTAACATAGACCAGGTGGCGTTAGTCTACCACTTCCGGTTTCGGAGTTATGATCCCCGAGCGAAGCCGGGTATCCTGCTAGTCAATCATATTAGTCACATAATTACCTACCAGTTGTTGTGTTGAGTAAGATCAATTGCTCTCTTATTATGTAAACTTTGGCTTTCTTGGATATTGATTCATTCAATGAGGTAATTATGTAACAATTAGAAATGAAATTATAATTTTAGAATAATTAAGTTGTTAAATGTGTTTTGTTTTCTATTCTATTTTCAGGCATATGCTCAACATTTATGTTTATTAGCAAAATTATTCCTTGACCATAAAACCTTATATTACGACACAGATCCATTTTTATTTTATGTTATGTGTGAATCGGATAGTCGTGGTTATCACATGGTTGGTTTCTTCTCCAAGGTAGGTCTTTTGATATGTTAACAGTTTATATTTCTAATTATTAGAAATAAGTTATATCCTTCTCCATACTTTTTCTGTGGCTCAGTGTAAAAAGGTGCTAGCTTACTAACCAGAAGATCCTTGGTTCGGTCCCGTTGTTGACTGAGAAAGCTTGTTAGTATTTTCTAACCAGGTTTCCCCTTTGTCAGATGGGGTCAAAAAACTGAGGTTCCCCCTGTGCTGGTGAAAGAACCCTTGGCAGTTGGAAATTTGAGAGTAGACAAAAACGTTGTTGTCTGGGCAAAACTTCCCTTGAGCTCATCTTCAATAGCCTGGTTATTGTGGAAAAGTTGGATGTCACTTGAACCCTTATTTATATTTAACACTTAATGCATTTATTTTGTATAGATTTTAATGACTGAACAAAACTAAGTATCTTTAAATTACTGTACCAATTCTTTCATACATATTAAAACTTATATTAAACTTCAAACTGATGTATTACTCAGTTTTAATGTGCAGTTGAACAAGGCAATAAAATTGTACTTTCTACAAGGTATTTTGAAAATAATTCTTCAAATTCAGAACTTTTTATTTAAGCATACACTATGCAAGAGCTAAATCTGCCTATTGCAGGTCTTTCTTTAGGCCTGAAATGTTATATAAACTATTAGACATTTATTAACAAAACAAGACCATAATCGACTCGATGGCATCTGATACTCGAGATTTTAACTATATTAAAACGGTTCGTCATTTAAAAATTTAATTTAAAAATGGAAAAGTGAAAGTCCCGATTATACCAGGGCCCTGATTACCACTGTGCACTCATCTTGTCAAAACTACAAACAATTTTAACTTGACTGAGAATGAAGTAATTTGAATGAAATTTTCAATATTTTCTTTTTTGTCCTCTATTTTTGAATTATTATAGCAAGAATGACCAACTCTTTATTAAACTCTTTAACTAATGTATCTTTAAGTAAGTATTGAAATTAATTCATTGGCCATTAATTTTTTTACAGGAGAAGGAATCAACAGAAGATTATAATGTAGCTTGTATATTAACATTACCTCCATATCAAAAAAAAGGTTTCGGTAAAATGCTCATAGAATTTAGTAAGTACATATATATAGAAAATGTATATCTAATAAATTCAAACTACATGTTACTTAACCTAAACAGTTTGCAAGTTTTTGTTGATGTCCATTTGCATGAAGGGCAGGTTTTCGCCAGGCATTAGAGGGTCGGCAGAAATCATTGTCTTTCTTTTATCTTGTACACCTTATATTTTAACACTCTTTCTTATGAGAGGTTGTAAGAAAGGTAAGTGGTCAGGCAATAAAGCATACACCCACAGCAGCTAAGTCATTCGAGCCACCCACAAAGAGCATCGCATATATAGGTTTTTTTTCGTTGGAAAGAGAGAGAGAGAGAGAAATGGGGTTTAACGTCCACTTGACACAAACTATGTCATTTCGGGACTAACACATGGTTTAATTTTATGTCAATAATTTGCTTGCGCATGTAGGGGTCTTTAGCAGTGGGAGGAAACCGGAGGACCGGAGAAAACCCACGAGGTTGGACAGGCGAGCCTACTCCTTGTCACGTACAACCGTGGAATCGAAACCCTGCCAGTTGACTCAATGACAGACCGTATGATACTGAGCGCGCATGCTAACCATTCAGCCATCCAACCCCCCTTTTTTCGTTGGAAATGGAACAGAATTTACAAAAGATTAAATGCTGATCAAGAGTACAACCAGTGAAATGATTATCACAAATAATAATAGAAATTGGATTAGCTGCTAGATTTTCCGTAATGCTAACATTTATTACACAAAACAAGTACGGAGTGTCCACAAGCAATTGTGACTGACGGGACAGATTTTTTAGTGTGAGTGTACAAAAAGTGCTTAACAAATATTTTCAATCAATTCAAGGTTATTTGTTTTATTGCAGGTTATCAGCTTTCTAGGGTTGAAGGTAAAACAGGTTCACCAGAAAAACCATTATCAGATTTAGGTCTATTATCATATCGTAGTTACTGGTCTCAAACTATATTAGAAATTTTACTCAAAATGAAGCCTAACGAGGCGGGTGAAAGGCCTTGTATAACTATAAAGTAAGTTTGTTTTTTTTTGCAGGACAAATTTTTGTCTTTATTAAACTATCACTGATTTAATGACAGATGTCAGTTCTAGAGATATTTTTCATTCGGAGGATTCACAGAGTTAATGTACAGTAGAGATCCTTTAAATGTCCCAAGCCATTTTCATGTCAAAGGCTAACACTGAGGTTGATATTATCAAAGAAAAACATCCATTTTAACATCTACTTAGCCATGGAAAGTAAAAATTAAAATATAATTCCACACTCATTCACTTGGCCCATAGGTTTGCTCTGTGAGGTACAATTACATTTCATTTCCCTATCTAAAAGTGCAGAACAATTTGATGTTCTCACTGTCTTTGAGGTTATTTTGAATGATTCACATTTAAGGTATGTTGTGTAATTCTTTTCCAACAGTTCTGTGTTTACGTTGACTTTGCCTCTTTGATCTGTGCCAAGAATAAATTTGTCTATTCAGTGGATTTTATGTTTTGATTTGTTTTGTGGAATGATGACATCCACTTGGGGCCAATATATGTATCTTTATTTCAGTAATTTGTTTGAGCCCAGGGGTCTTTAGCAGAGAACCTAGAGTTAAACAGGTGAACCCCGCTACTTGTCAGATACATGTCTGGAATCGAAACCACTACACTGGACTCAATGACTGTATGATCGAAAGCTTTTCGAACAAATGAAATAAATTTATTAAATTTTCTCTTTTTCAGTGAAATCTCAGAAATGACTAGTATTAAAAAAGAAGATGTGATATCAACATTACAACATTTGAATCTTATAAATTATTATAAAGGACAATATATTATAACTATATCTAGAGAACAAATACAGACTCATAATCGTGCCATGGAACGTAGAATAGTGAGAATAGATCCAAAATGTCTACATTGGCAGCCAAAAGACTGGAGTAAACGAGGGAAGTGGTGACAATCACGCGACGTAGGATAACAAATTTTTTGTGACCATTTTTGTTACTAGATTAAAATAGAATATTGTGAGTTGAAATTCAGACAACTTTGTGACAATATTGGTGAGTTTAAAGACAACAGACTGGTGGTATCCACACTTCAAGCTTAAGCAACCTAATTTGATCAGATCTGAAATATTTTGGACCAGGAACGGGGACCCAAGCGCTTCTCAACTTGTTCTTGAGGCAACACTCTTTGAAAAATGTGGAGGCTGGAAATTCAAGTACAAGCAGGCTTGTTCGTGGTACAATTAGGCATCGATTGATATACTTCGATTTTTGATAAGACTACACAATTTCAAGATGGCGACCATGACTTTCTGCTTTGTTCCTGGTCCATAGTACACTCGTACTTGGTGTTATATCATTAGATTGATCGTTGTAGTTAAATTACATTACAAGGTTCTGTCTGTTATGACATTTGAAAGAAATAATTTCAGACATTGAAATCCTACTCAAAATCTTAACTTAAGCATATCTAGAGTGTTTAAAAACTCGCACATAAAGTTATGTACACTTAAGTTCAATCACCATGTATAGTAAAATATCTGATTTACATATGCTATGTGAAATGCTACCCTGGTTAATTTGGTCACAACTGTCTTACTCATTTTCAGTAACTACCATATTGATTGAATTTGACTCATTTATGAGTTATACAGATAGTTTCAAATGACAGATAGATTATACTGATAAACGGTTCTATCAGTAGAAGTTATAACATACCTGTACAACAATAGTGGTGGTTATTTACATAGGTATTAATGTAATTTATACATATACAAGATATTATCTGTATTTGGTGAAAGAGTCAATCTGATTAAAATACACATCCAATTTCATTTTGTTTTTTATAGTTCAAAATTTCATTTTACTTGTCTTTACTTCACTGGGATCTGGAAGAGTTATTATATTACCAATGTTTTGGTTCAAGTGAGGGATAAGCCAATGAAACAGTCTGTTACGGCGACTTTTTGGTGTGCCATGCACGGAACTGTGGGTAAACCACTAGAAACGCCAACACTGATTGATTAATCAATGTCTGGGGTCCAAGGGTCAAAAGCTGCTTGTACGTCCCCTGACACGACCTTTGAGTACAACTGGTCAAATCTTTCATGTAGTGTAGGCCATCAAAAGTATAAAAAAAACGAAATGTAATATAGATCTGTATTTTAATCAGATTGTGAAACAGTGGCACATTAAGTTGCAGGTTTTTCTTCATGTATGGGGAATCAATTTTTATAAGACTAATATGTACTAATCTGCATACTAAATTAAACCATTATACTAACACCCTAGTAAATTATATAGTACTGAACATTTTATAACTCTTTCATTGTCTGTAGTTAATTTGGAAACAAAAAAAAATATGTTGTTGTTTGTGTGAGTGGCACACATTTAAATATACATGTAGTTGAATTAAGCTCAGTAGTGTAGATGAGATATGTTTTCAGGTCTCTTTTACTTTGTGTTTTTGTGGGTAATAAGATAAAGTTTAGACTATAAGGTGCAGTGTTCAGTGGTGTATGTCAAGTAAAGCGCTGCTTGGAAAGGAAAGATGTTATTTAACTATAATCTCAGTTCATGTCTGACATTTCAAGGGCTATATTATGTGATTTTGGATTTCTTAATTTCAGGGCTTCTATTGCTGACAAATATATATTTTCAATGCTAACCGAACTGATTATTTGATGTCAATTAAAATTAATAGAATTTGCTCTGTTTTTATTCTCTGAAATATTTACTGCTGTTAATTTAATATTCAAAAATAAACAGATAAAGAAATCTTATAAATGCATCCAAAACTGATCATTTTACTAAAATTGGATAATCAAATAATGACTTAGAATACTGAAATTAGCATTAAATTTGACTACAAAGCACTACACAAATGATTGTAAAATAATAAAGCCCTAATATGCCAGAATAAAGTTTTGGACCAATATTATTCAAAACAATCTAAAGTTATGATCCTTGGTTACTATCATTTCTTCCTGCCATCTTCATAGTAGTTTTTTTTTTTTGTACAAGCCAGTACTACTTTAGTCCACGTTAGACAGGTGCATATGACCCATTGAGTCGAAAAAAGATAAATATTCCTTAGATATTCTGCTGTTTAATTTATAGGCAGAAGATCCACAATTTATGTTTCGGAATATTCGAAATACAAATTGCAAAAACCTCATCTTTATTTAGTCTCATCTAAAAATAAAGTTGTTGACAATAAGTGAATCTATTAGAACGTTTGTTGGTACATCCATATATTGTATAAAGTGTTCGTGAATAAATAATGATTGTATATAGTATGAGAATTTATCTGATGGAATATTTCTCACATTTGTTGTATGAATAAAATAAAATGGTGCTGAAAGATTAAAGCTGTAGTTTGTTGTTTTGAAGTCTGAATGGTTGTCAGCTTCTGATCGCAAATGTAGAGGAATACACCAAAAGACATTATACACAGGACGCTTTTTGAAATAAATGCCTTAAAAATTGTTTGAAATATTTTATTTCATTTTGCATCACTCTCCTCATAATTCAGAACATATGTGAAAATTCTAGTTTCAATTTTCTCAAAAAGAGAATAAGAATGATAGCAGTCTGTCACATTTACAAAATTTACAGTCATATAGCTTAATTTATACACTGAAGCCATTATTTAGAACCTTTCTGATAATCTGGATGCTACAGTTCTCATCTGACCATAGACTTTAGATGGAGGACTACCTGTAACATGAAAAAATCAGCACAATTAAAAAATGTGAAATAATGTTCTGTATCAACCAGTGATGGGATTTCAAAAAAATTTCATGTCGGACATTTTTTCCCGAAAATAAAGGGGCATAACTCTTACCATAATTTAAGCAGACGTTTTCAAAACACAATTAAGAATCACGTGTCAACAAAATATATTCAAATTCATATGTAAAAAAAAATAGGTGCATCTCGTTATATTTCATGTTTAAAACCAGCACGGTATTCAAAATTATGTCAATAATATTCCTACAAAATTACATGACATCGTAATACTATAGAATTGGCAGCGTGCCGACTGCTGCCGATTTGTTTCAAATTCCCCCAAAATTACCGTATTTTTCGGGTCATACGTCGGTACAATTTTCAGCAAAGTCCGACATTCGTCTGATACTCCGTTTCGATTTATATACGGAAGGTAAAAAAAATGACATCCCGAAATTTATTTGGCCGTAAACCGTAGTTAACGACGCTCTAATGAGTGAGTGACACCAACTGCTAAATAATTGCATTCGACTGTAGCACGCGGTATCGTCTAAAACAATTAACTACTTACGTCATTCCAATCGAAATATTCGTCAACATTTCTTAGCGTGTTTATTTATTTATTTAAAGACATAAATCCCCTTCAAAATATGATCATAAATCCGACAATATGCCATCAAAATAGAATCTTTTCTCGGACATCAGGCGTGTTGAATTCAGCACGTATACATCTCTTAATTTCACGTGTCTCGCGAGATTTATACTTTCATTTTAATTACTGAACTCTATAAGCGCCATGTGTGTGAAATATCTTTATTTAACTTCGGCTTCCACCGAAAATATATCACAGACAAGTTATCGGATACAATGTATGTTGATTTGAGGTGTGATATACTATCAGGATATGCGACATATATGACTAATTTCTACGTGTTATTGTCCGACACAAAGGAGATTAAAACGTGAGACAATGGTCGGGAGAAATCACGGGTTAATCAGATTAAGTTTATAATCACTCTTATTGGATTGATATATCGCCCGACAAAGGAGAAGCAATGACTTCTGTTCAGGATTGATTTGATGAATTGTCCGATAAAGAATTAAGTCAGCCAATCAAGGCAGAATAGTAGTTAATCAAGGTAGGTGTGTAAGACGATATAACACGATAAATAGTCGATCACTTAATTACCTAATCAATCCAGCCTATTATCAACGATAATCGGGTTGCACGGTAGTTATACACTCAGTATACTATATTAATTTTGGAATTTGAATATTATTCACCATGTCTTGATGTCCGATTGGGCATATTCCCGGTCGGACAATTTTGGGCGTTTCGAAAAAAGATTCGGACAAGTCCGGAATATACGGCTAAAATCCCATCACTGGTATCAACATACATTTCATGTCCTGAGATTAAAATTCAAGATCAGTATTTGAAATGGTTAATAATTTTACAAGCATGTAAATTAAATATGTTCACATCCAGTAGGACATAGCCCATGCTCTATAGCAATATTGGTGATTAACTTCATTGTAGAAAGCCAGACATAGAAAATAGTACAGATTTTTAGGAGAAATACAAAAGTATTCCAGAAATAAATAAAACTTAACAAAAAAAAGAAGAAAAGTTCACAATCAGTTCACCAACTTACCTAATATAAGGTTACAAATAGCTGTTCTTGCCATATTTAAATTTTGAAAGGATCCAAGTATGTGAACTTTACTGAAAATATGAAACATACATTATGGGTATTAAATCAAAATAAAACTGATCTAAATAACCTGGGAGGGGGTTGGGTTGCCGAATGGTTAACGTGTGCGCATTGGATCAGAAGGTCTGTATTTGAGTCAAGCGGCGTGGTTTCGATTCCCTGCTTGTACATGACAAGGTGTTGGGTCGTCTGTCAAACCTTGTGGGTTCTCTCTGTGTCCTCCGGTTTCTTCCCACTGTTAAAGACTGCTACTGGCAAGCGGATTATTGAAATATAATTAAACCATATGTTAGTCCCGAAATTACCTAGTTTGTGTCTAGCATAGTTATCCCAATATGTCTATACCAGTAATTGAATATTGTTACTGTATTAATTAAGTAATAAATATGTCTTTATAATTACTGAATTTAACAAACAATATAGTTTTTACCTTTCTGCTAATATTATTCGAGTTTTTGTAACATTTTCTATAGTAAATCTTGTTTTTCCATTGTGTCCAGCTATTCTACCAATTGCACGAGATAAATGATTTCCTTTCAGTGGTTTAACTTAAAATAAGATGACAACAAAAAGTATTCAACTGAAAAAAATTGCTGAAATCTCCACTTGATTCTCCATTTCTTTTACAAATATCAGAATCTAAGGTTGGGAAATATTTTCATTCAGTATGTATTAATAATAATCATGGCACACACCAGGGCTAGAAATTCATGCAACTCTCTGAATCTAATTTGCGAAAGAATTCTCGCAAGAGCTTATGCTGCAACTCTACAAGGATTCGAGTAAGATTTTTGTAATAAAAAAATAAAAAAAATAAAAAATTCCCAGGGAATTGTTGAGTCTGACTATTGGATGTCAGTCAGGGTGTTTTGAGTCAAATTTGTATGACTTACTTTATAGAATGCTACATGTATAATAAAATAAAATATTTGTTGTGTTTTTGTTTTACTGTTTATTTCTAACTTATAATTTTGACAAGTTTCTGGAAGGCCATTGTCTTTTGTGTTTATGTTATGTAATGAACTGTCTGGAAAATTCCCCGATCATGACACAGCGTCATGTAGAAGTAGAGCACCAAAAGGAATCTGTATTATAATGGTGCAACTCCATTGAATTTCAATTACCATAAAAATTTATTTGTTTCCTAATTATTTATTTTAATCCATCTTAAACAAAATAATTTTGGATTCCATTTTATCCTTTCAAGTGATTTGATTCCGCTAGTTCCACATCAATATAACAGAGTTAAATTGGGTCATTCCAATTCTAGTATGTCACTGTCAAGGTCGGCCACTTGTTGTTTTTTTTCGTTTGTGCAGACATAAACTATATTCCTTTATTATAATACTTTGTGCAGTTATCCATTGAATTTTTTGGACATTGACATGGCTTCTGGAAGCAAAATTAAAGCTGTCTAATGTAGAAACTGTTATGAAATGGAGTAAGGAACTAAATGAAAACTATGAGTTTCTGTTTGATTCTGAAAACGTGTAATTCAAGCTGTGCGCAAGGTGTGCCGAAAGCACTATAAGAGAATAGAGGCCTCATACAAAGGTAAATTGGTGCAAGATGTGAAGAGTTTCTGTTTTCATCACTGTTGTTGTATTTTGGTGTTTTAGATTAACAGTATTATTAATTAAGATTTGGAGGATTCGTGCAGATTGCATATGAGCATTCTCTTAGATTCTCGCAAAAAATGAAGAATTTCTAGCCCCGCACACCTGCCTTGATTCATCTTAATGATTTATTTATTTATTTATAGTCCAACTATCGTATGATAGAAGTAAAATCACATAGAAATTCACAAAAAAATATTGAAAGTGCTGACCACTAGCAAAATAAACAATGTTGTTTTGAATGATTTGAAATGTTAAAACCTACCATCTGTTACATCAAATGATTCTAGATAGAGTTCATCTAATCTTATTAATGCTAGGGCATCCTAGAAAAAAAAACAAAAACATAATTGATATAGAAAACTTTCCCTGGTTTACAGATCAATTGCAAGGTAACTAAACATACACTGCAATTCTACTTTCTTTTTCATAGGATGTGAATTAATACAAGTTTTCTTACATTAAAAGACTGAATATCCATTCAATTATTCCAACTTTTATGGACTAACTGATACATGTAGGAAGGGAGAAACTATTGTGATTGCCATTTAAATAAGTTTTTTGAATATCATCAAGGGACATAACTTTATGGAGCAGGTTAAAAAAAAAAATATTCTAAGCTAATACTGACCTCAATTTCAAAACCATAAACAAATGCCTGAACAAAATCAGCTGCTTTTTGTATAGCTCGGATATCATCAGTTGTTTTACATGTCTACAAGATAAAATGAAACATATTTTATTTTAAAAACAAAATTCTATTTGTAAATAGGATTTGGAAGGCAGGCACATTTAATGTAAGAATTATTTTGCTTTAATGGCCTTATATAAAAGATATATTTCATAACAATAGTTAACCAGCGACTGGAAAACATTGATTGATTTTCATTTGCATATTTTAGACAATATCTAACTTTTCACAGCTTATTCAAAGATAAGATGTACTCAAATTAATCATTTACTTAAGAAAAAAAATCAACATATCAATGGTAGATAATCTCCCAGATTGTATTCAATTAATTAACCAGCCCACAATTTGCAAGAGATGAATGGAGAACAAGCTAAAAATAAAAGCGTTTTATCGTACAATCAGGGGCCATAATCCAGACAGTTATGGTCTGAAATGCGCAAATATTGAAAGGGACTGAGATCTGTGAGATATAAAGATATATTTTAAGCCTCATCAAAATCAGATAAAAACTGTGACATCTAGAGGGTCCACAACACTACTTTTACACAATTTACGTACAAAGAACGACCATTTTGTTGGGCAGTTTTGACGAAATTCAAACTCAAACATCATTAGGATGTAATGTTGAAAATTAGAACTCATGTACTAAATATGTTCCCTCAGAAAATAAAGTCATTATTATTATAATAAGGATGGTGATATAATTTAGGATGTTACAATCCGATATGCGTGAATATTGAAAGGAACCAAGATCTTTGGGTTATAAACAGGTATTTCAGGTTTCATCAAAATGAACCAAAACTGTGATATCTAGAGAGTTCACAACCTTGATATACCATATCTTTACACTATTTTGTACGTGTGTGTGTGTGTGGGAGGGGGGGGGGGGCATTTTGTCTGGCAGTTTTGGTCAGATTGTCACGAAATTCGAACTCAACCGAGTCTACGGTGGAACGGTGACATACCCAAACGTCTTTTTAAATCAGATTATAATCGTGACCTCTAAAAACATGATTTTTCGTACAATCACAAGCTAAAAACATGATTTTTTGTACAATCACAAGCTAAAAACGTGATTTTTCGTACAATCACAAGCTAAAAACGTGATTTTTCGTACAATCAGGGACCATAATCCATGAAGTTATGGTTCGATACATGCCAATATCAAAAGGAACCAAGATCTTTGGGAGATAGACATAATTCAAGTTTCGTCAAAATTGGATAAAAATTGTGACCTGAAAATGTGGGTGTATAAAAAGCAAACCGACACAAGATTTCAGCAGCTTGTCTACGATATCACCCTAGGTGGAAGTGGACGTACAACTCTAGAAACGAACGATTTCAGCAAAAACCTTTGGTGGCACCGACTTGTGTTCACTACATCCTTTCTTTTGTTCGCCGTGGAAGTTGAATGTTTTCATATTTACCAAGTAAGGTATACATAAGTAAATATTTGACCAGATGCAAACATTTGCAAATTTTGAGATTTCTAAAGCTCATCCGACACAAAAGTTTTCATGTAATCTTAAAGATCCATTATGCACGTCTTTTTTTCTAGCTTCAAATACATTTATTCACATGCCAATCCCATAATCAACCATAGGATGACAGAGATATTGAACAGATTAGAACATCAGTGCTAGTCAATCTAATCATAGCAATGGTACTTGACAATCAAGACTACAGGTATATTGTCAAAACTTCAATTACTCATAATAAATTAATTTGCCTGAAATTTTCCATATATTATTATCCATTTCTCATTTTTGAAATAGGCCTATTACAGCAAGTAAGGCCAGCTCTTTATCTAAATCGTACATAATGCATCTTAAATTTTTCATTTACTTTGTCTGGCCAGCTTTACCTTAATTTCTACATTTCTTGTTTTCAAGTTAAACCGTATCTGTAAATGCAAATGCTCTACAATAGGTGTGAATATCTTTAACCAGCTCTTTTTTAAAGGTGTATATCTGTTACTAGGAATTGGTATTTTACGCATTTCTGATTTCCCACCCTGCAAAGAAAATAAAAATAATAAAATGAAGTACATCAATATTCTAACTTCTAACCAAAATCTATCAGTTAATCATATTAGATCAAATGCAGATGATGATGAAGGAAATAATTGGCCAAGTTGACGGAATATGATTAGATGAATTTAATTGGAGTCTACAGTCAATCAATGTGACTGATTATTTATCCCCGATATTGATAATATTATGGTCAGGAACATATCCTGCAAATTTAAAGTATCTACTCCACAGAAACAGAACATCTCTATACGTCAATGATCTAGCTACAATAAAGTGTCAAAAATCGTTGAGATATACTAATGTGCTTGTTTTTAGCTACAATCGGATGCCTTTAGTTTCACCTGGCAAACTTTTTTTCTTTTTTAACGTATGTAACATCTTAAAAACAAGTTAATTTTATACTATTAGGATTAGTTAAATACATCCAGCCAAATGTAGTGAAACAACTTTCGTTTATCTGTTAATATTGTCAGTAAAATTATCAAGTGGTGTTTCTAACAGAATTGATAAGACCATTCTTGTGACCTATAAAGGTTATCCTACTTTTCACTTAATTTGATTGGCTGTTGTACACAACACATTTCTAGCCCCGCCTTCATGACCCATAGATGTAAAATTTAAAGGAACTAAATTGCTAATATTTGGGACCTAGAAATTGACACAAATGGGTCGCAACCAGTGTTCACAATCGGCTGTTTTTTGTCGGCTTTAACCAACTGATGTTTAATCTAGCCGATTGGTAAAACAATGAACGGGCCTCTATGGTGTCATAAATCAATCTATTTTCGGCTAAATAATTACAACGAGGTAATTATTACATATTAATTAAGAAGTCAATCAACTTGATTTTCAGCTACAACAACAGTCATACCTCAGTGAGAATCGGCCATGTGATTCATAATCTGAGTAGCCTAATTAAATTAGCACATTTAATGGTAATTTTGAAAAACCAAGCTGCCCTTGTAAAAATAGCCCACATGTGAAAGAAGACAATCTCGGCATACGCTCCGCTCCGTATGAATTCTAGGTACCGGTAGATATCAAAATAATAACTGGATCATACATTGATGGATTCACTGACCAATTGTTAGATAGAACACTGAATACATCCAAGACAGTCATTAATAATATATTAATAATATGACATATGGGTTGAAATTAGGTCAATGAACCAGTTTTAAATAACGTTTACCGTTGTCCGTTATATCAGTTTATTTTTGCTACATCATTTTCCGATACTGGCAATAGTAGAAAAATGCTATATTTAGATCATCAACTGATGAAACACGAACATTTCATCGAATACAGTAATTTATTCAGGAATATTACTGACGTGAACTTTAAAGCTGGTACGTGAATTAAATATGAAAATTTTTCAAAAAGTGTACCTAATTGTCGTTATTTTTGTGGTAATCACATACATTGGAATATGATATTCTCCATAACAAATTACCAAGAATTATTTTTGTTTAAGTCTGGTTATATTAAAGGGAATGGAAGCTTATAATTAACCCATTTCCTACCGTGACCTCACTTGACCCAATAATTTCTGGCTGGTTCGTTTCAAAATGGATTAAGAACCCTGGTCGCAACGCACATAATAATGTAATGTAATTCAATCATTTCCATTTTTACTCTAACTTCAAAATCAATTATGTTTGGCGAAATACGCCAGAAGTCTCAATCAATAGCATTCTCTAGCATCTGGTTATTCCAGTCTACACCGATAGTATTTATTGTGCATGCTCTCCAGACAAGAATATGATGTTACCGTTTGACATGACTTGTGGAATATGACTAGCCTGAATCTTTTAGTGGAATTTAGAAATTTGAAACATAACAGAACTAACACAGTAGTTATATAGGAAAAAAATCACTGGTTTTATTATGCCCATGCACGTTTCGATAAGTCTCATCTTATCGTTATGTGCTTGATAACGATAAGAGGAGACTTATTGAAATGTTGTGCTTGTGTGTAATAAAACCAGTGATTGTTTTCCCATGTTAGTTCTTTTAGGTATAGCCTCGTTCTCCGAGTCACTTGTTACAAATGGCGCTGAAACGCATTATGGTACACAATTCATTCACCAATAGTAAAATATTTATTTTATCTTAAACATACATTATGCAAGAGCTAAATCTGCCAATTGCAGGTCTTTCTTTAGGCCTCAAATGTTATCTAATTTTATAATTAGACATTAATTAACTTATCCAGACCATAATCAACTCTCGATGTCATCGCTAGCCTGCGATATTTACTGGATTAAAATCCTATTTGCTGCATAACGCTCATTGATAATTAAATCAACAAATGGATAATCAAGACTTTTTTTTTTATCTTCCGACTTTAGTAATGATGATCGAGGCTAGGCTAAAAATTCAATCACTAAATTCTCGGTTCAGAGTGGATCAATTTGACTGAAATTTTCAGCAAATTCCCTTTACGTCATCTAGTTTTTAACTATTATAGTGGGAACTGCCAGGTCTTTACCTAATCTCCCATAATGTTTCTTTAAATATTGGATATCAGAAGCCCATCTTTTCCCGGTAAGATTACAAGATCAATGTTGATTTAAACTGACAAATAATATGTGTTTTCAATGTCAAAGACTTTGGATGATATTGAGTTAAGAGACTTAGCTATTTCAAAATGCTGGTTAAAGCCAGCCATTATCGCTTCGATTTAAAAGAGATGATTTGTACCTGTGACGGGTAGGATTATATGCTTAATTGTGGCAGAAATGTTATAAACAATAATCAATCACTGTTTTGAAGAAAAAAAATGAGAGTTTTGCTATTTGCAGCCCGATTTCATTCGCATTGGGCTTTTGCCAGGTAAAACTATATAGTACCATCTCTTATCTCGAAACACAGAGGGTTAAGAGGATTCCATGAAAACTTAGACCAAAGACCACTCAGACCAATTGATAGACCACTCCGACCAAACAAAAAGACTACTCGGACCAAACAAAAGACCATTTAGACCAAACAAAAAGACTACTCGGACCAAACAGAAAGAACTACTATTTAATAATAAATAATATTTATTCAAAATCTGTATTTTATTTTTTAAATGAATAAGTGAAGCTACATAATGGTCCAAGAAGCGGCTCTTTGGGTTGGTCCAAGAAGCAAATATAGATATTGGTCCGAGTGGTCTTCCAATATACATGTAAACTGATTGGTCCGAGTGGTCTTCCAATATACATGTAAACTGATTGGTCCGAGTGGTCTTTAGGGTCGGTCCGATAAGTCTTTTTTTTAGGTTGGTCTGAATAGTCTTTTAGGGTTGTCTGAGAGGTCTCTGTTTTGGTCCGACTGGTCTTTTTTGGGGTCCGACTGGTCTTGGTCCGAGTACTGTTGACAGATGAGGTTTCCTATCTAGTCATTGATCAATGTTTATAATAGGGGTTTCGGTCTTGTGACTTTAGTGTGAAATCGGACAGCCCGCAGCTGAAATATAGCCCACTTCAATCTATGATTCTAAATTACTATTTTATGTAAATGTATTACTAGCAATTGTATAGTAATAGTTTAATATCAATCTCAATATCTGCAAAGATTCAGGCTGAAAAATTATTGAAATGTAAGCGAAATTACCGTTTGTTCACACGAGACGCTCAAGGGAAAATACCGCTCTGATGTCACGCGTCCGGAGATTTTCCATTGCTACGACTCACTTCATTGGTGAATCCGCACCTTAGTTTCCGGTGGAATTTGATATAGAACCAATCAAACGATAGATAACATTTTTGTGCTTATTATGGTCTTTGATACCTTGAGATCGGAAAATTACAGCTGTAGAAAACGGGATTTATCTGTTTTGATGACTGAAATTTGCTAAATTTCGACTAAATATAAAATACTTTCTTGTGGTATCATCCAGATTATAAATATTATCATTCAAATTATTACGATTTTAATAAATCTTAACTGACATTAACGTGCAGATTTCAGTTTTAAAATTGGTACTAACGATTCTGAAGGAAAAAAAAAACGTTTATGACGTCACTCAAATATGACTGAAAAGCACTTATTTTGGTGCCATGCCACGCATTGACTGGTATAGAGCATTTTGATTAATTTATTTATTGACGTCATCGTCGATCTCGGATTTTAAAATTCCATAACTTTGGATCTAATTAGAATATTTTGATGAAATAAAAAAAATTGGGCAGCATTTTATGTATATTTTCACAAAATATTTTTTTAAAAAATTTTTTTTTTCTGTCATATGAAACTTTGACTTGAAACTACTATATTTATAAATAAAAACACGACGGTGTACCGATTTCTCCCCTGACACAGCTGGGAAATTAGGTCGTTTTGGTAGTGGTTCAGACGTTTCCATTGCTGTTTCTTTTACATTTTTGCTATCTGGTAGCTTTCTTTTTCTCGATTTTGTCTTTGCTGGAACGAATTCATCGTCTGCAGTGTCCAAATTCTCTGTTTTCATTGTATCCGATGTAGACTGTGTTGCTGCCATTTTCACGTGTTGTTGTAAGAGGAAGAGGAAGTGTTTACAAAATTTATAATAAATATAGATTGTGGATTTTACAGAAAATATTTTTTTATAAAATAAAAACGGCGCAGTTTCAAGGAACTTGTTTTTTTGTGATTACATCTATTGATATTTTTTAGATGATAAATGTTTTTATATCATTCATATTGTAAAATAAACGCTTATTATCAACCTTGTCCACATTTGTATAGGTGGTATCCAGACAACTCATCCCAAAGACAATTCATCCTAAGACAACTCATCCCAATATAAGACAACTCATCCCAAGTTAGAAGACAACTCATCCCAAGTTAGAAGACAACTCATCCCACTATAAAAGACAACTCATCCCAACTTTAAACCATGGGTTAGAAGACAACTCATCCCAACAAATATAACTTATAAGTGATATTTGTTTCAATACAATTGCTATCTTTGAAGACCACTCAGACCATAACCAATCAGAATTTGTTATCTTAATCAAATTGATATTGTTGTTTTAATCAAATTGGTGATTACTCTTTGTTTTATTCAAATTGATATTGTTGTTGTAATAAATTGATGATTACTGTTTGTATTACTGTTTTAGTACTTTGTTGTTTTAACACATTGGTAGATGTGTTTGTTTTATTCTTTCATCATGAAGCACTTCAAACAAAATCAATTAACAAAACAACGATTAACTAAACTGAGTTGTAGTATTTACCCCTATTACAAACTAATTAAATTGGTGAAGCACATCAAAGACAAATATCATAATGCTAGTTACAATGGTTTGAGTAAGTGTCAAAGCTGGGGTATTGTATAAAAATACTGAAATCAAATATTTCTGTATCATTTTTCAAAATGTCTGATAGCTGTATAGTTTGTGAGTCAGTAGTTCGCCCAAGACAGGAGGCTGTTCAGTGTGACGGGTGTGAACGATGGCAGCATAGGACATGTAATACTGGTAAGACTTTAATGTTGTTTTTTAAATTCAAAGCTATTGTATTAAATTCAACACTATTGTACTAAATTAAAAACTCAACTCTATTGTATTCTCAATTCAAAACTCAACACTATTGTACTAAAAATATTGTATCTTTCAGATATATCTAGAGCTCAGTACCGCAGGATGGTTAAAGAATTGACAATGGTGGCCTTCAAATGTATTGAATGTTCAGCACCTGATGAAACCACGAGTTTTACTTCACCGAGGGCGGAGAGTACAAGACTGTCTTTACCTGTTGATCAGACTACATTCCATTTATCCGTTTGCCCTGATGTCGATATGCCAGAAAATATCCAGGAAAAGTAAGTACAAGCATAGTTTATCACATCCAGAACAAGTTTTAGTATTATCCTTATCCTATATCATAATCTATACAAGTTTTTTTATATTGTTAACATTCAGTTTTTATTGTATTTTTATTATGAACAGTTCATTGACGGATGAGTCCATAGGCGACGATTTATCAACAACAGAAGCAATAGTGACATACAAGGTCGTGGATAATGGTACCGAACGAGGGAAAAGGAAGCTTGTGTCCAGTGACGGACACACCTTTACCATGAAAAGGCAGAACAAGGGCAGTACTGAATGGCGGTGTAGTATTCGCAACAAAACAACCCTCTGTCCAGTTATTATAAAGGAACGAGCCGGGACGTACAACGCCAACACAGAGCACTCCCACGCCGCCAAACCAGGAATATTGACAGCAGTCAAGATCCAGGCTGAGGTAAACATTTATTATATTTTGACATATTAAATTTCATTACATATTATAGGCACCTTTGTATTATATTAAACATTGTATTATATTTTGAAATTAAACATTGTATTATATTTTGAAATTAAACATTGTATTATATTTTGAAATTAAACATTGTATTATATTTTGAAATTAAACATTGTATTATATTTTGAAATTATATTATATTTTTAGTTGAAAGTAAAGGCACCTATGACACTCTTCGAGCCAGCACAAAATATTGTTGATAATATCCTAGCTGAGCATGTGGATAACAGAGAACCAGAGGCATCCAGACCCATTTATTCGAACCTGCTTCGATATTGTAATCGGTTCCGACAAAAAGAGAGACCAGCTGATCCAACAGATCTTGATTTTGAGGTACAGAATAAGTACAAAAAGACATATTATGTAAATATTACCATCAGTTTTCATAGTAACTGAATAATGACATCAGTATAATAAGAAATATTCAATATAATAAGCAATAATAATAATTACACCATTATTTTCTAGATCAATGAAGAGTTTTTGGCAACAGCTATTCCGGAGGTGTTTTTACAGAAAGACATACACACAAAAGATGGCCGACACCTACTTTTTGCCACAGAGAAGCAAATTGAACTTCTTGGAAAAGCTAAGACATGGTATATAGATGGTACTTTTAGAATAGTAAACAAACCATTTTACCAGCTATTGTCAATCCATAGTTTTTTAAAATCTGGTGAAAGTATCAAGCAAGTTCCCTTGGCGTTTGTACTGATGTCAGGAAAGTCTAAAAGAGACTACAAGAAGGTATGTAAATATTTTAAGAAATATTATTAAGGTCAGCAGTAAAAAAAAGACTTATTACTAGGTCAGCGGTAAAAAAAGACATATTACTGACTACAAACAAAGACATTTTAACAATTTTATTTAATCTTCACAGGTATTCAAGGCCATCATGGATATGACACCATCAGCCCCTGCAGTGCAGGCTTTTGTTGCAGATTTTGAGGCAGGGATCTGGCAGGCTTTAAGGTCAGTTTTCGACAACCCAAGTATACATGACTGTGCGTTCCATTGGGGTCAGGCGGTTTGGAGAAAGATCCAAGAAAACAGACTTCAGGTATGTTACTTTTGAAATAATTGAGTATTTGAAAACGATATTATTATTTGATATTATTCACAACTGTCTGGTATTACTCACAATTAGTCTATGTTTTATTCACAATTAGTTTTTTATATTTTTGTAGACTGCTTACAGCCAGAAAGATGCTGTATATAAGTTTTTTAGAAAAGTCATCGAGGGATGGCATAATCGAATCAACCAAAAGGCCAGAAAAGGGAATTTACAGTTTTATCTACTGATATCGTTGTTGTATAAAGAAGCAGCGCAGCTACCGACACAAATGAAAATGGTCTCAGAAGGAAAATTAAGAAGACACCAGAAAAAACAATCACGAACTACACAAAGCAAGTTATTTCAACTTTGGAATTTATATACCAGTCAGGAAATAAGCACCAAGCAGCTACTAAAAAGATGTGGGGGGATATATGGACCGAACTGAAGGACAGACTTACGTAATAAATGACTGACTGAACGACAAACTGACAGACTAAATTACTAAATGACTGGCCTAATAAAATGTATTAGTTGATAATATTGTTGAGGTTATAATAAAATGTATTATTTAATAAATTGTTGATGTAATAAATTCATACATAAATGTATTATTTAATAAATTGTTGATGTGATAAATTCATACATAAATGTATAATTTAATAAATTGTCGATGTAATAAATTCATACATAAATGTATAATTTAATAAATTGTTGATGTAATAAATTCATATATTAGTGATTATTTGTGGTATTTATTTGTAACTTGGAATGAGTCGGGTGTTTTAAAAGTTGGGATGAATTGTCTTTTGACTTGGGATGAGTTGTCTTTTGACTTGGGATGAGTTGTCTTTAAAAGTGGGATGAGTTGTCTTTTATTGGGATGAGTTGTCTGGGATGAGTTGTCTTTGGGATGAGTTGTCAGGGAATCGTATAGGTTTATTCCGTGTTTACACTTTGGAAACAACTAAAAGTAAACACATGCGCACAATGATGTTCTTTCTTTTCCGGCATGGTGCTTTTCTGTACGATTTGCGTTTCACTTAAAAGTTAAAGGTACAAACAACCTTTACAACTATTTGTTATCTGTTCATTCGTGTGTATTTTTGCTATTAGATGCTGTCAATATAATATAATCTTTTGAGCGTGGAACATTAACACTGACATTAATTGTGTTACAGCTTAACGCCAATCAAATCACCACAACTTTGCAAGCATCTCTGGACCTATTTATAAAAGACTCTTGTGTGAGCTAGAAAACAAATAAATAAATATATATATATATAAAATAATAACGAGACACCATTCCATTCTATCATTGATTGTTGAAATGTTGTTATTCGATTAGGCTACTGATTGAATATTAGAACTAACTGAACAATAAAATTTTTTGTTACTAAGTAAAAATACACAATTAAGATGGAGACTACTCCTGATGGAAAAGTTAAAATGCCAAAAGTGGCCAAAGTTAAAAATAAAATGCCTGCACCTGTTCAGATCACGGCAGAACAGCTTTTACGTGAGGCTAAAGAAAGAGAATTGGAATTGGTTCCCCCGCCACCAAAGCAGAAAATATCTGACCCAGCAGAGCTTGATGCCTATCGAATGAGAAAAAGGAAGATGTTTGAAGATAACATACGTAAGAACCGAAGCTGGATGACAAATTGGATCAAGTATGCCCAATGGGAAGAAAGCCAGAAGGAATATCAAAGGGCTCGCTCAATTTGGGAGAGAGCCCTTGATGTTGACCATCGAAATATCACAGTATGGCTGAAGTATGCTGAGATGGAGATGAGGGCAAGACAAATAAACCATGCACGAAATATCTGGGATCGTGCTGTGACAATTCTTCCACGAGCAAATCAATTTTGGTATAAGTATACATACATGGAGGAGATGTTAGAAAACATTGCGGGGGCAAGGCAAGTGTTTGAGCGTTGGATGGAGTGGGAACCAGAAGAACAAGCGTGGCATGCCTACATTAATATGGAACTAAGATACAAGGAACTTGACAGGGCCCGTTCTATCTATGAAAGATTTGTTATTGTGCATCCGGAAGTAAAGAACTGGATAAAGTATGCCAGGTTTGAAGAAAAGAATAATTATATTATCAGTGCTAGAACTATTTATGAAAGAGGTGTTGAGTTTTTCGGAGAAGATAATATTGATGAGAAATTACTTATAGCTTTTGCTAAGTTTGAAGAAGCCCAGAGAGAGCACGATAGAGCCAGAGTCATTTACAAATATGCACTTGATCACTTGCCGAAGGAAATGTGTGAAGAGATATACAAACAATACACAATCCATGAGAAGAAATTTGGTAGTAGAGCTGCTATTGAGGATGTTATAGTTTCTAAAAGAAGATATCAGTATGAAGAAGAAATAAAAGCTAACCCCAGTAACTACGATGCTTGGTTTGACTATTTGCGTCTTCTTGAAACTGATGGAAATTCATCTCAAATAGAAGAAACTTATGAACGTGCTATTGCGAATATTCCCCCATCCCAAGTCAAAAGACATTGGAGACGGTATATTTATTTGTGGATAAACTATGCACTTTTTGAAGAATTGGAAGCTGAAGATATAGAAAAAACAAGAGAAGTGTATAAAGCATGTCTAGATATCATTCCTCACAAGGTTTTCACTTTTGCAAAGATTTGGCTTCTGTTTGCGCATTTTGAAATTCGTCAGAAGAATTTGAACAATGCTCGTAAAATTATGGGTACAGGAATCGGTAAATGCCCTAAAAATAAACTCTTTAGGGGATATATAGAACTTGAACTACAGTTAAGAGAATTTGATCGGTGTAGAATACTCTATGAAAAATATCTGGAATACATGCCAGAGAATTGTTCAACATGGGTGAAATATGCAGAACTTGAAACAATATTGGGTGATGCTGACAGAACAAGGGCGATATATGAACTTGCTATAAATCAGACTAAGTTAGACATGCCTGAAGTTTTGTGGAAAGCCTATGTTGATTTTGAAATTGATCAGGAAGAATTTGATAGAACACGTGATCTTTACAGACGTTTGTTAGAAAGAACGCATCATGTTAAAGTATGGTTAAGTTTTGCACAGTTCGAAAAAGGAATCGATGATGAGCATGCTGTGGAAAATGCTCGCGATGTTTACAAACAAGCCAACAAAGCCTTAAAGAAGTCTGATGACAAAGAACAAAGATTGATGTTGTTAGAATCGTGGCAAGAGTTTGAGAAGACTACAGAAGATGAGGATGCTATAGAGGCTGTAAATAAACTAATGCCACAGAAGGTGAAAAAGAGGAGAAAGATTCAGACAGAAGATGGCACCGAAGCTGGGTGGGAAGAATATTATGATTATATCTTCCCTGATGAAGAATCTTCCAAACCAAATCTTAAACTTTTGGCCTTGGCTAAAAAATGGAAAGAACAAGGACCTCCAGAATAAATCTTTTGATTATAGTAAAATCCATGATGAGCAAACTTTTGAAATAAGTGCTAAAAATACATTTAGATTGTGTATAAATACAGACACTCAGACGATACTTAACATTTGTGATGTAAAAATTGTTCTCATCTCTTAAAAGATACCATGTTTATTCATCTTCATTGTAATTCTATGTACATTTATGTTCCAATATCAGAAATCAATGTTTTGTTGTGGAGAGACTGGATGTTTATTTTGCTACATTCTTTGCCAGTCAGTTTACAAAAATTGGAATTCTGAAGTGCCCATAAAGTCTATTTTTGTAATCTCACTTTAAAGTAAAAGAACTAACTTTATAATGTTTATGTCAGAATAATGAGCCGATAAAAATATGAGAATGTTTTTATGTGGTGTTAGTTTTAAAAGTTACATAGACGTGTGGGGCTCAAGTGTTTTTGAATTCACAAAATGTTTGATCAAACTCTTTTGACATTATATAAATGACACCTGAGCACAATTTTTAACCATTTAATTTTGGTCCAAGAAAACCGTTAAAATCTCTAATGTCAAACTTGTCTTTGTACAGTACTGGTACGTCTACTGCTCAGGTGTTGATTGAGAAAGTTCCCAAGGATTTTCCAGAGTGGTTTCCCCTCGTGAGTGGTGTAAGACAGAGGGCTTGGCAAGTACAGTCTCTGGTCATTTGGATGGGACTAAAAACCAAGGTCACATGTACACGTTGGTATGCACGTATAGAATCCATGACATTTTGAATTGACGTAGCCTCCCTGTCTGTTAAAAATTTCCCACAGCACACTATATGGCTTCATTAGCCCTGTCCTTGCAGAAAAGTAGGATGTTTACTTCATTTCATGTCTGCTTCTAGTTAAAGTAGCTAAGTCTCTAACTCAATATCATCCAAAATCTTCAACATTGAAAACACTATTTATTTGTCAAATTAAATCAACATTCATGTTGTGATCTTACCGGAAAAAGATGGGCTTTTGATATCCAATATTTAAGACAAAATAAACATTTTACCATTGGTACACGAATCGTGTACCATAATGCGCTTCAGCCCCAGTTGTATCAAGAGACTCGAGGGACGAGGCTAGACACATTGCACCAAATCAAACGGCGTATGTAGACTGGAATAACCAGACGCTAGAAATTTGGACTTGCTTGAGACTGCTGGCTTATTTCGCCGAACATAACTGATTTGAAATTGGAGTGAAAACGGAAACCATTGAATGTAAATCAGTTTATATACATTCATATTACAGTATTATATGGGTTGCGACCCACTTTTGTCAATTTCTAGGTCCCAAATGTTAGCGATTTAGCTCCTTTAAGATACCACCATGGGGATTGATTATTTTGCCAAGAAGATGACTGGAACATTCTTCTGTTACCTTTAAACAATTATGCTATCCTTTATAGTGCTGGATATTGTGACTATTATCAGGATGTGATACCCATTACAATCATCTATACAGGTGTATAATTTTCTGGGCACAAATCAACTAAGATACTGTTTATACTGGAAATTCTGTTGAGATGTATCATGAGCCAGTTTTTCTGTGCATTGTGAGTCTTTTTTTTACCAGAAATCTGTAATTGTTTTTAGTGTAATCCGTAATAAAATTCAAATTCCAAGTAGGGCTTCAATACTTCTATTGCCCCTGACAAAAGTATTTATTTGTTTATAGCCACATTTTTTTTAACTTCTTGTCCTGCCACAATTTCTTATAAACACTCAGAAGGTCATGTCATAGTTCTTGACAGATTTTATTACAATTTGTAGGGATTGTTCATCAGGTCATCAAGACTAACGCTGTAAAAATTTATAATTTTTCCATCTCAAATCACTGAATTTACAATTTATGGGAAAATTTATGTCAGTTCTTGATGAATTCAAAAATTTTCAAATCATAATATTCTGTAACTTTTTACTGGGCCATCTTTCCAGTCATATTTTGAATTTTAAGGCTTTTGAATACAATCAATGACAAAGTTCTTGGAGTTTTGATACGCCCACATTTTCATGTGGACGTATTATGCCTGTCTGTCCGTCAACAGTTTGTTTGTGGACACTCTACAGGTCATAATTTTTTATCTCCCAAAGATCTTGGTTCCTTTCGATATTGACATGTATCGGACCATAACTTAATGGATTATGGCCCCTGATTGTACGAAAAATCACGTTTTTAGCTAGTGGACACTCTGTAGAAGTCAGAATTTTCACCCGATATTGATGAAACTTGACATGCATGTTTATATCCCAAAGATCTTTGTTCCTTTCAATATTCGCGCATATCGGATCGTAACTTCCATGATTATGGCCCCTGATTGTACGAAAAACCACATCTTTAGCTTATGGTCCCTGTAGAGGTCACAATTAATATCCAATTTAAAAGAAAACGTTTGAATATATCACCATTACACCGTAATGTCGGTCGAGTTTGAATTTCGTGAAAATCAGTCCAAAACTTCTGGACAAAATGGCCTCCCCTCGTACGCAAATAGTGTAAACATATCAAGGTTGTGAACCCTCTAAAGGCCACAATTTTTATCCAATTTTGATGAAACTTTAAATTTATGTTTATATCACAAAGATCTTGGTTCCTTTTGATAATTGCGCATTTCCGAACATAACTTCCTAGATTATGGCCCCTGATTGTTCGAAAAATCTCATTTTTAGCTTTTGTACCTGCTAGACATCGCAATTTGTATTCAATTTTAAAAGCCGTTTAAATATATCACTGTTACACATCAATGAAGATTTCGTTAAAATCGGACCAAAACTGCCAGACTGTACAAAAAATCATGTTTTTTGCCTTATGAATTCTCTAAATGTCACAATTTTTTTTATCCGATTTTAAAAACCGTTTAAATATATCACCATTCCTCCATAATGAAGGTTGAATTCAAATTTCGGGAAAATCAAAATGATACTGCCCGAATAAATTGCTGCCCTTTGTACACAAATTGTGTAAAAAAGAATGTAATATGAAGGTTGTGAACCCTCTAGAGATCACAATTTTTATCCGATTTTGATGAAACTTAAAATATATCTTTATATCCCAAAGATCTCCGTGCCTTTTGATATTTGCACATTTCAGATCATAACTGTCTGAATTATGGCACCTGATTGTACGAAAAATCTCTTTTGTTTTTAGCTTGCTCTCTATCCATCTCTTGTAAAATGTGGGCATATCTTGCCTGGCAACTGCTGGTTCAAAATCTAAATGAGATTGTCAATTGAAAGATACCCCAAAATATTCAGAATGTTTCGTCCATCACTTTCAAATTGTCTTACAATAAAGGATATATTTTTTTATGGAATATTTTATTACTTGGTGAAATTGTTTATTTGGAAGAAGTGTATGGAATTTGTATTGACCGATAGTTGTAGGCCCTATTATATAAAACTGATTTTAGGGCTAGCATGGGCGACTGTGTTACTGCCCCTGACAACCCTGTGTCATTTCCAAAGGTGCGCCTCTATCCTGTCCGTGACTTATCTGATGGAAGTTGCATTACATACTGTAAAGGCTACTACTTCTGTCAGGACTCTTTGGAAGGACTAGACATAATTTCCTTGTCGACGATTAAACTTTTGTGAGATAAATTAAGGTATATTGGAATCCTTTGTGATATATTTTTAAAGATTGGGGAAATAACAAAACATTTACAGACTTATTAAAAGGGCATACACAAATGACACATTAGAATTAAAAACCTGATGGACAGGAAGGTTAAATGTGCAGTAACATACTATAAACCAACAATTATTGTTTTCGGTCTCATTAATTATATAATTCACATTTATCAAGACAAGTGACGGAAAACCTTGAATCCTGTTGCTTATGTAATCCAATATAAACCAATCTGCAATCTAAACCAATCTGCAATCTTAACTAAAGTTATACCAATATTAAGTTCAGTTTATTTTGCTGAAGGTCATCTCTTGTTAGGGCACATACATCAAGTAATACACAGATTGTGATTAATGGGATCAAGGTCATTCATCCTCTACCATTAAAGGAAAGTTCCACAAGATCTTTTAAATGGCTTTGATTTTTAAGATTTTGAGAAAAATCGGAAGGCAAGTTCCTGGGTTCAGATTTCTTTAAATGTAAGTGTTTGGCCTCAGTTTATTTAAATCAGTTGAGGACAGGATGGAGGGTCCTAAAAAAGTTATGATCTACATAGCTTTGGGGCCCATTTTATGATTTAATTTATGTTGCTTTTGGTGAATTGGTAAGATTGCAACACGCTTAATTTGTGCATAAGCTAGAAACAGGATATAATCTATACAGCAAAACTAACAGCCCGTTTTCAGTTTATTCTCGAGTCTACAGGATCAGACAATCTGGATGCTTGTAGTAATGCTGGGGGGTTGGGTGGTCAAATGGTTAGCACATGGTTTCGATTCCCCAGTTGTACGTGACAAGGAGTGGGGTAACCCGTCCAACCTCTTTGGTTTTCTACAGGTCCTCCGGTTTCCTCCCACTGCTAAAGACCCCTACGTGCAAACAAAGTATTGAAATAAAATTTAACCATATATGTTTGTCCCGAAATTACCAAGTTTGTGTTAAGTGGACTTAAAACCCTATTTCTCTCACTTTCTCTGCAGTAATGCTTTGTCTTGTCTACCATTTGCCTTTTATACAACATTTATGATTGCTCCAAAAGAACTAACGGTATCTAAAATGAAGAAAAAAACTGTTATCTATCCAGGTAGCAAGCAACTTTATTGTCCTGAAGCAGTGGTTATGAGCATTAACAGCTGAGGCACCATTGCTACACTTAATAATGGCAAAGTGGTGTTTTAGATTAGTTATCTTCCTCTGGGTCCATTTCTTACATTGATTTTCTTTGGGAAAAAGCAGTGTACTTTGCATACTGAGACAGCTGCTTCAAGATTTCAGCCATCAATTTCTCTGCTAATGCTGCCTGGATTGAAATGTAATGGAATTTTAATTTTCTGCACCAACCAGGCTAATGAAGATGGGCACTCGCTTTGTAGTGTACTATATTTTAATTTTGAATTCCAATTTTAATGGTTCTTTATGTGCACACCAACATGTAAACAGGAAAAACCATGATGAAAAATCCTAAGGAACCTTCTTGGCAAACACTCAGATACTTGAATTGAAATGAATTTCCCAAAACTTAATAAATGTCAACTGAGTGATAATATAACACTTAAAGGTTTAATAGAATTAAAAACACAAGAGATTGTATCAACTGATTTGAGTGGTCTTCAAACAAATACAAAACCAATGGAAACAATAGGTCATACATGTAATTAAGTGTGGAAATGGTTAGAAAGCTAAAAATGCATGTTACCATTGGTAATCATCATATTCCATAAGACACTTACCATACCCCAATTTAAGTAAAACTGACACGCCTGTCCATTGCTCCATGTCAAATTGACACTTACGGCTAGCCCCCGGATCCATTCACTTTTTTGAATTGTCTTTATGTTTGTGTTTTCCTGAGTATGATGTCCTGTCTGTGTATTTGTTTTGGGGTAAATTTTGTATGGTGCAGTCCCCCTGCACTTACTATTACAGATGGATTGAATTCTTTCCTAAATATTCTCTTATTTTGATATTTACAGGTTGTGAGAAAATGAACATCTGTTTCCGCAGAAATTTGGCTTTTGCCCACCCACTCAAGAGATCAATTCAAAATGTTATTTCTGGAGAACTTGGAAAGCAATATTGCATAAGACCAAAGTCAAATAGTGCCTTGATGACTTTCTGTAGAATAAATCACATGTTTAGATCCAAACTTACAATATATAAATCCTCTTACTGTAACCAGCCAAAGCAAAGACAACAAAAGTTAAATCCATACGAGATATTTCGTGAAGAACTTAAATTAACTGAACAATTTCTGGATGAAAAACATATCAACTTTAACGAAATCGAAAAAATCTGCAAGGAATATGGCACTGTAGCAAGATTTTGGCAAACCTATTGCATGGATCATTTTTATCATACAAATAATATTAATCATGGCATAAAGCTCATGGAATATCTAGAAAAACACAATTCACAAAAGATTAGTTTGAAAACTTTGACGTTATTTATTGCTCTAGCAGGAAGGTCCGGTCACCAATATCAAAATTTAGTGTATAAAACATTTGAAAAAGTACTGAAGATAACTGATGTCTTTGATATGTCCTCCATTAAATATTTAATTCAGGGATTCTGTGGCACTGATAACTGGAGAAAATCTTTGGAGTTTTTAGAAATGGAGAAATTCCAAAGTAGCACCAAAAATGCAGGTATACGTTCCCCCATTATCATTAAAGCTCTTTATGAAGGTGACATATCATTGGCTATGAAGATATTGCATGAATTAGCTGCTGAGGGTAATGAACCAAGTCAAATAGTTTTTGTAGAAATGGTGGAGATGGCTGAAAAGAAAATCGGAACACTTAATATAAAAACACTTTTAGATTTACTAAAAGAGAAACGATGGTATCCTGATGAGAACACTGCATTCAAAATCAAGAATTATTTTCTAGGGTGGGTAATCTGTATATATTCTTCTAGATTTCTTATTTCATATTGAATTATAATGAATTGTATATATTTGGCTTAAAAACAAAAGGTTTAATCATGTGATTACATTTTCCTTTGAACTTGGCAGGTATATATATATATTTTGAAGAATAACATTAACAAGGAGTTTAGAATATTCTACCTGTCTACAGTGGTACATCCAGGGGTGCACAAACATATTTTGCAAGGGGGGTGCGCCATCAAAAAATCGGCCCACTTGGCATTAGAAAATCAAATCGGCTCACCATATCAATATACCCCCCCCCCCACACTTTTGAAGCGAAATTCGACACAACAACAAAGGAAAATTCACCCGCATAATCTCAAAATTTGTATTTCCAAAATAGACAGACAGTGATCATCATTATTTACATGAAATGTTAGATGTTCACTTTCTACTTACATGTACTGGGCAATGTAGCTACAGGTGCACAGGTGTTTCTCCATGGAGTAATTTCACCCAATACTTGACAATACAAAGTTTTGGATTGATTGAATATGTAAGATACTCCGGCAAACTGGCCCATTTTACCCTAATAAAGACGGCCCCTCAGCCAAAAAATCGACCCATTTGCCCCCCTCTTATGCGCCCCTGGGTGGGGTGTAAAGTTTTGAAGTTCTGGTCCATTTAGTGCAATTCAACATAAGGGTTAAATTGATGCCAAATTTATTATTTATCAGCTGCCAACCTATGATTTATATTTCAGTTTACAGGGTGAAGAATGGCAATGTCTCGATACCAATATTAAAAATAAGTGAGTAATTTACATGTAGTCAAATTTATTTGCAAACATTTTGTTTTATATTGTCGGCACCTTTACACCTTGTTGTAAAGGCTCTGCAAGCCAGAATCTTTGAGCTAGTCATCACACGTAACCCTATTAAGAAACCTTTTTAACCCACTATAGATAGAGTTTTCAAATTTTTTTTTTTTAACAAACTAGTTTTAATTGTGTGTCTAGTTGTAAGAAATAATATCAGTATCGGGCATCGGATTTGTGCCCATTTAATTCTCCTATCATCCAGGGGCGTAAATGTAGGGGGTGGTTCAACCCCCACCCCTCCCCAGGAATAAAAATAAGTTGATCTCAAAAAGAAGTGCACCATTCACTGCAGTCGGTCTTAAAATTATGCATCGGCAACTAGATGAATTAATGAGGTAAAAAAAAAATATGTCAAAATAGAAGGGAAAAATTCCAAATACTTAATGAATTAGTAAAACCCAGAAAGTTGGTTGAAGCTATCTAATTGGCTAAATAAATACAAATTCTGCAAATCATGTATGGCTAATACTAGTCTATATTATATGGAGACATGATATTATGGTGTTTCAAACAGATATTTATTGTCTGGTAACACTATGTGCTTGATTAGACAGGGCCGGCGGAAGCAATTCTTGATTGGGGGGGGGCTTCCATCCTAGGTCCTTATAGGCAAGGAGAAAAGAGTATTTGCGGCCAAATTATTGGGGGGGCTAAAGCCCCCCCCCCCTAGCCCCCCACTCCGCCGGGCCTGTTAGAATAACTTCATTTTATGAATTGTATCTTTTTTATTGGATTCACATAGTGATCTACTAATTTTATCCAACATTTTAAAAGACATAATTTCATTTGTATAAAACTGAAACTTTTTGCAATGTAATATGCTTTAATATCATTACTTAGTGGTGTTTGTCCTTGCTGTGGTGTTCATCTACCGATTGCCAAGTTCAATTCGTCAGACTTTGAAAACTTGAAGAAGGATATCATGGAAAAACTTATTGTTGCATCAAATGTTTTCCATAACACTAGTCCAGTGGAGATTAAAAGATTTATAGAATTTTTGAATACACAAGGCCCTTTTGATGTGGTTATTGATGGGTTGAATATTGGACTTTGTAAAACTCCTTTAAATCCTGGAGTTAAGGTATGTATTATTATCTTATGTTATACACCTACATTTAAATATGTTTGTATATCAGTCCTCTTTACATTACTACAATGTCCTTTATTTAGCTAAAGAGCTGGCCATTCTTGCTATAATAGTTCAAAAATAGATAATGAAAAATGAATATATTGAAAATTTCCATCAAAGTACTTTATTCTGAGTGAAAATATGAATGGTTGTAGTTTAAGAATAGCATTCTTGATTGTCATTGTTACCATAATAAACAAAATCTTGATACTCCTTTTTAACCTTGAATTATTAAATGGCACAAGTATTCTAATCTGTTCAATATCCAAGCCATCTGTTAACAGAGTATTGATTATGTCATGCTAATTTAATGTTTAAATTATAATTTATATACCATTTTTGAAGTCAGAAAAAAGATGTGTAATAGGCAGATTTTACTCTTACATAATACATCTTTAAAGAAATAATACTTTTTATTTGTTTATTGTCCCTTTCGAAGAAATGGGTTTGTTCTTCTGTCTGTCTGTCTGTCCGTCCATCCGTCTGTCCCTCACACTTTTTGGGACACAATAACCCTCTTTCTAATTGGGCTAGAATGTTCAAACTTGGTGCAGGTATTGATTAGGTCAATGCCTTGATGGAGTTCGAAGATGAGCATTTTTTGCTTAGGGTAAGCAGAGATAAGCAATTTGATTGGTTGATGCTTTGGGACACGATAACTTTAGTTCTAATTAAGTGAGAGAGATGAAACTTGGTGTATAGTTTCATTACATCAATACCTCGACTACATGTAAGTTCGATACTGAGCGTTTTCTGCTCAGGGTAAGCAGAGCGACAAGCAATTTGATTGGCTGAGACTGTGGAACACAATAACTCTCTTCTAATTGAGCTACAATATTCAAACTTGGTTTAGGCGTTCATTAGGTCATTGCCTTGATGGAGTTCGAAGATGGGCATTTTCTGCTTGGTTATAATGAAGTGAGAGTATAAGTCTTTTTCTAATGAAGTTTAATATCAAACTGACTATCTTGTACATAGATACAATGTTACAAATAATAAGACTAAACAATGTTCACCCATACTAATTAAGTTCACACAATTCAGTAGACTGATTACTATTTAAGGTATATCAGAGAGCTATGAAACTCTAAATATAGATTCATTATATCATTACCTTGACTAAGTTCGATGGTTTGAACTTTCTGCTTAGGCTAAGGAACGATAAGCAATTTGATTGGTCAAGACTTTGGAACATAACAACTCTGCTTTTAATTGAGGTAGAATGTTTAAACTTAATGTAGATGTTCATTAGTTGAATGTCTTGACTGAGTTCAATGATTAACATTTCAAGCTGAAGCTAAGCAGAGCTAATCAATTTCATTGATTGATGCTTTGGGACAAGATAATCTTGATTCTATCTGATAAGAGAGTGATGAAACTTAGTGTATAGTTTGATTGCTCGATACTTTTGAAAAAAATAAATGTGCGATTAATTAATATGTGTCATCTTTTTATTTTGGGATTTCGGCGGGGGACATCAGTCTCACTTTTGGCTTGTTATTTTATAGTTAAGACTTGCTGTTGAATATTTTACAAGTAAAGGTAAAAAGGTGCTTGTTATTGGGAAACAACACATGAAAACCTGGAAAAAAGAATCAATGAGGCGAATTCAGGAAGAGGCAATGTTATTCTATGTAGATAATATGTAAGTATATTCTATGTAGATGATATGTAAGTAAAAGCACGTATCTCTTGACATAAGAATATTTAAATTAATGTCACCATCATAATTCCGCAGTAAGTAAACCATGAAAAAAAAATCTATAGAACCATGTAGAGTTTTGTTAAACAAAGCATTAATGTAGATTATTTTGTCTTATGTGTATTAGTTGACCTGCCTGGTTTTTTAAACTCAGATTATCAAACAAAATATACTTTATTTTCATCGTCATTACAATGTGATTACCAGCAATACTTTTGACACTGCTTTTGAGCCTTTATTTAAAGTTACAATTTCATTAAAATAAAGCCCTAAAATAGATGATGTCTATAAAGAGTCCTACCTTGTTAAAGAATAATCCTATTAATTCTGTAATTCACTATTGCCAGTTGAGAAATTGGCAAAAATAACATTTTCATCTTCAAATTCAAACGTTTGAAGATAGTTATTCCATGGTGGGAAATAGGAAAACAAGGGAGGTAATTGGGAGGTAATTGTGTTATTATTTCCGGTGTGAAGATGTTTAAGTGTGAGAAAGATAACCTATGATCGTATAATAGTGAGTTGACAACCTATTGAGCAAAAGACATAGAAATAATTATGTTTTGACTTTATTAGAAAATATGAAATTGTAACTTTAAGACTATATTTTGAGTAACAAACTTTTATTGGCCATCTGTCCCTTTGAGTGTTTAAGAATATGCAGAAATTTACTATCATGATCCTGTTATCTGCATAATTATTCCATGTACGATTCCAGCAGCAATCATAAAAAACACATGTATGCAGTTAAGAAATCATCTGAATCATCTGCTGGCAGATGCCTTATAGATAACCAGTACAGAATGAGGTCCAGTCTGAACCACACAGATGTCTTGGCTGCAATTTATATCTACATGTAGAATATTACTCATTTTAGATCAGAAGATGACCCTTTTATTCTCTATGCTGCCTGTCACAGTGGAGAAAATACTATGATTGTTACAAGGGATTTTCTTCATAACCATAGTACAAGAATAGGAGTAGAATATCAACAGCTGTTTAACAAATGGTTGCAATGTCGAAAAATACCCAAATTTATATATACAAAATCAGGAGAAATTTTAATTTGGGTAAGACAGTTTCACTGATTATATTTTTTGTTAGAGTACAACAAACAAATGATAATTTATTCAACAACTGGCATAGTCTGATCGATACCAGAGGGGCTGTGCCTGATTTTCTTTTTGAAAAAATCTGTCACAGGTGCCTTATTTCGAGGGTTGGTTGTTTCTCACTTTATTCAGTCATTTTGACAAACTTCACGCCTTAAATTTTAATTTTTTATGCCCCCGCGCATGTGTGCCACATTGACACGAGAACAACAGCTGCAAGTTTATTGAGACCTGACAATAACAGATGATAAAAGAGATGGAAATAGGGCTTTAGCGTCCACTCAAAATTAACTTGGTCTTTTTGGGACTAACCTTTAATACATCTTTATTTCAATAGGGGGGGGGGGGGTCCGAATGGTTAACACATATGTATCATAAGGTCTGTCATTGAGTCATCTTGCATGTTTTCGATTCCCCCGGTTGTACATGACAAGGAGTATCGTCGCTGTCCAAACTCACAGGTTTTCTCCAGGTCCTCCGGTTTCCTTCGACTGCTAAATAAAATTGAACCATACATTAGTCCCGAAATGACCTAGTTTGTGCTTGCACACATGGGGGTTTTTAGCAATAGGAAGAAAATGAAGGTTAAGGCAGGCCAATCTACTCCTTGTCATGAACAAGCTTGGGTATGAAACAACAACGCTTGACTTAATGACTCATCTTACAATCTTAAATGCACTACACTAGACTACATTCTGACTGAATGGTCTGCTAAAGAATTTAGTTGAGAGAATCTAATAATGATTTTCAAGAGTAGGAGCTGCAGTGTCCGAGATCTAGGCGTTTCAATCACGGTGTTGGCTATGGTTTCCCATTGACAGGGGTGCAGTATAGAGGGTCTGGCAAGGAACAGTATCTAGTCCTTAGGTTGGGATAAAAAAACAAGATCCTTTGTTCATGTTCATGTGCACGTAAAACGACCCCCGTCAGCTGGAATTCGAGGAAGATGAGGTGGAAACACCACTGTCTGGGCAAGAGTTTCACCACAGCACACAGCATGGCGTATGCTCTTTTAAAATGGTCTGTCTGTCTTTTTTGGGACACAGTAACTCTCCTTCTAATTGAGCTAGAATGTTCAAATGTGGTGTAGGTGTTTATTAGGTAAATGCCTTGATGGAGTTCGAAGATGAGCATTTTCTGCTGAGAGTAAACAGAGATAATCAATTTGATTTGTTGATGCTTTGGGGCATGATCACTTTGGCTCTAACTAAGTGAGAGTGACGAAACTTGGTGTGTAGTTTCATTACGTCAATACCTGGCTAAGCATAGCGATAAGCAATTTGATTAGTCAAGATGTTGGAACACAATAACTCTCCCAATGGAAGTAGAATGTTCAAACTTGGTGTAGGCATTTATTAGATAAATGCCTTGATGAAGTTCGAAGATGAGCATTTTTTGCTTAGGGTAAGCAGAGATAAGCAATTTAATTGGTTGATGCTTGGGGACACAATAATTTTGACTCTTAAGTCAGAGTGATGAAATGTGGTGTATAGATTCATTATATCAATACCTTGACAAAGTTTGATGATGAGAATTTTCTGCGTAGGCTAAGTAGCGATAAGCAATTTGATTGGTCAAGACTTTGGAACATAACAATTCTGCTTTTAATTGTTCTTCATTAGGTGAAAGTCTTGACTAAGTTCAATAATTAAAATTTCCGCTAAAGCTAAGCAGAGCTAAGCAATTTCATTGGTTGATGTTTTGGGACAAGATATCTTTGTCTCTAACTGATGGAGAGCGACGAAAATTATTGTATAGTTTCACTACCAGGTACTTCAAAACCTTGACTTGAGTTTGATTGTGAACATTTTATGCTTAGACTAAGCATAGATAATCAATTTGATTACTTGATACATTTGAAAAAGATAAATGTGCAAATAATTAGTATGTGTCATCTATTTATTTTGGGATTGCGGCGAGGGGACATCAGCCTCACTGTTGGCTTGTTTTTCATTCGCTCGGATGGTACAGAACAGTCAGGACGTTAAACCCCCATTGCTTTCATTAATAATGTTCGCAACTTTTGCCACATTTGTGGTGTTTGTTGAGTTAAATAAGACTAACTAAGTCACATGCCTGACTGTTTTATGTGAATATTTTCTGCAAGCATTGAATGGAAAGCAACATTCAGACAAGTGGGTTTGACTGTGGTCCACTTAGTGTTAATGTGGATGTATAATAAATGCTAATAATTAATTCTGACATACATTGGCTTTCAGCTAAAGTTCTTTATGATATTTTGTAAATATTTTATTTGATTTTATTAGGAACCAAGTGGGCATGAAATAGAACCGTTCCATACCACTGATAGTTGGCATATTCCATACAAATATGAAGATGGCTTCAAATGGTTGTGCTTAGTAAAATAATGTTCAACAAATGGTTAGACTGAATGGTTGGTTGAATTGTTTCAAATACTGGCTTAATCTACAATTTTGTTTTATTATGGATTCGCTTATGGATGTCAACACTTTTTTTTTGTGGTCATCCATTTAAGATTTAACAACAAATAGTTGATATTTTGACCAGTTTTTATTGATATACATGTAGAACCCATTTTTACAAAAACAAAAGATGAGACTCCGAGAGTAAATATCTATATAACTTAGTATACTTGCCCCATCTAATATCTGTGCAGAATGAAAATAAAGTTAAATCTTGTTTATCATTGTTAAAATTATACATATTCATATTGTACATGTCAAAAATATGTTTTCTCAATTCTTTCAACATTGTCTAATTCTTTGTGTTCATACTTTAACCAACAACCCACAGAAATTTGAAACATAACTAATAACTATAAAGTAATGAAAAAATATACCTTAAAACTCCCTCTTATAATACAATTATGGTACTACTATGGCTGTAACTATGAATTACTGTATTTTGTTGCATGTCACATTTAGAGACTACAGGATGCATATGAGGGGAAAAATTGATAATTAGTCTTTGCAAGATAGCGGGCATATGATTTGTAGCAATTGAATGTAGTCTATATAACAGCTGAGCCATGCATATTTGCAGATTGTGGCAAGAAGATCTGAGAGGTTTACAGCATCTTTTACTGTAATAAATGGATCATTGAATTTGGATTAAATGTGGTTCAAAGGTTGACGAGGGCATTAGCTTGACTGCTATATTAATATATAATGTAGTGTCTCGCTCAAGCCCTTTAAACATCTTATAATGCATACACTATCCGTCACGTGAATTCCTATGAAGTCGTCTCACATGTCAATACTTTCCACCATCTTGTATAAATAAAAATTCCAAGTCAAAGAGACGATGAAACCCACACACTCGAAAAAGTAGGAGGGCGGAAGATTCCCCTGTAACAATGTGGTCCGGTTTGGATCTCAGTGATGCATCTGAGGGAGAGCAGGAACCAGTCCGTGTAGAATAGATTAGTAAAGATAATCCCCCAGGAACAAACTAGATCAACACTGTGTGAATTTAAATCAGTATAATCTTCACCAAAACGCGTTTCGGGCTAACAGCCCTTCATCAGTTGTTCAAATTGCCAACTTTCAAATTGCCAACTGATGAAGGGCTATTAGCCCGAAACGCGTTTTGGTGAAGATTATACTGATTTAAATTCACACAGTGTTGATCTAGTTTGTTCCTGGGGGATTATCTTTACTAATCTAGTATAAATAATGTACATCTGGCCAATATCAAAGATGTGACATCATCCTTTGATGTTGGTGTATCATTATTTCAAATAATGGTATGGGCAATGTGCCAAGTGTACATTATTTATACCAGTTAAAATTTTGGACCTGTGTGACGTGACGTATTTCCTTGCAAAGCATGTGCAAGTGTCTGTATTTTAAGTTGTTTAATGGCCTCAAGCTTAAGACACTGCATAATATATTGAAACAACAACTTGTGACTAACATCACTCGTGTTATTTCAGTATATTACTTAATGTCTCGCTCGCGAACATTAAACCACACTTAAAATACAGATGTGACGTCGTCATTTGATGCTGGTGTACCATTATTTCAAATAATGTACAGGCAACATTCTTTATACTAGATGAAATATTTGACTTGCGTGACGATTTAATTGAAATGCACATGCCTGATAATGTCTGTATTGACATCAGTAATTGTGGTTCAGTGGTCTTGTGCAAGCCATTGTGTAATATTCAGACATAGCCCTTCGACTATCGTCCTTGTGCAATATCAATATATTACTTAATGTCACGCCCTGGACCATTAAACCACACTTAATGATATCAATTTTTGTAAACAATTAAAAGCATCTTGGCTGCTACAGTTGGTTATAATTAGCCATTTTAAACGTGTTGAAGCTGTGACCAAACTCTGACATTCGAGATCAGATGAGCTAAAAGTAAGTTAAGTTATGTATAAGGAAGGGCTTTTCCTTACATAATTTAGGGATGTAACATGTAAAACCACAGCTGTATATGGTAAACCGATGAATTATGAAGATCCACTGATGGCTAGATATTGTACATTGATTTAGATACCAGTACAAAGTAAATACTGTCCATTTTCTCGTCTTATTTGATTATATAAAATCAAAGTACACACATTTTTTCTCTGATTTTGATGTTTATATCCCAAAGATCTGGATTCCTTTTGATACTTGCGCATATCAGACCGCAAACAAGAACAAAGGATAACGTAAAATAAACTATGGACTGGGGTAATAATATACACACATTCATTTTTCCAAAAAAGTCCCAATATCCTAGGATAAAAGTCAAATATTGACTTATATTTGTCTATAAAAGATTTCATCAAGCGGTTGCCATGGAAGATACACCCACATTTTGCAAAAGATGGACAGAGAACAAGCTAAGAAAGAAAAAAAAAATTTTTAGGTACAATCGGGTATTTTGCCTGTATATTCTGGACATGTCCTATGCTATTTATTTTCCAAACGTGCTAAAATGTCCGAGGGAATAATATTCAAAATTCCAAAATTAATATAGTGTACTGAGTGTATAACTACCACTCAACCCGATTATCGTTGATAACAGGCTGGATTAATTAGGTAATTAAGTGATTAACGTATTTATCGTGTTATACCGTCTATACACCTACCTTGATTAACTACTTAATCTGCCTTGATTGATTGACTTAATCCTTTGTTGGAAAAGTAATTGCTTCTTATTTGTTGGACTATAAATCAATCCAATAAGAGTGATAATAAACTTAGTCTACGTGATTGACTCGTGATTTCTCTATTGTCGGATGTTTTAATCTACTTGATGTTGGCCAACACCACGTAGAAAGTAGTCATATGCCACATAGTATAATACACCCAAAATCAATATACATTGTATTCGATAACATGTTTGTAATATCACTTTTGTGGAAACTGGCACTAAATAAAGCTATTTCACTCTTACACATATCCATAAAATACTAGACAATGCAAGCTCTTCTGATCGCAACCTGTTATAGTACAATAACTGAAACGGAAGTAGAAATCTCGTGAGACGCGTGAAATTATGAAATGGAAACATGACAAATTCCACATGTCTAATGTTGGAGAAAAGATTCTATATTGATGGCATATTCAGGGGCCATAATCAATGAAGTTACAGTCTGATACGCGCAAGTATCAAAAGGAACCCAGATCTTTGGGATATACACATCAAAATCAGAGAAAAAATGTGACCACTAGAGGGTCCACAACCTTGGTATTACACAGTTCTACACCATGGCCATTTTGTCTGGCAGTTTCGGTCAGATTCTCACAAAATTTGTGCTGCACCATGATTATGGTGTAACAGGGATATATTCAAAGGGTTTTTTTTAAATTAGATAAAAATTGGGTTATAAAAATACATTTTAAGTTTCATCAAAATCAGATAAAATTTGTGACCTCTAAAGTGTCCACAATCAGGGGCCATACTCCATGAAGTTATGGTCCTATACATGCCATTACATAGAGGAACCGAGATCTTTTGGAGATAAACTTTATTTCAAGTTTCATCAAAATCAGATAAAAATTGTGACCTGTAGAGTGTCCACAAACAAACTATGGATGTCTGGACGGACAGGGGCAACAACATTATATGTCCACATGAAAATGTTAGCGTATAAAAAGGTGTTATTTATCTTGTGTAAGGTTCAGTATTTTATGATGAAATTGACAATCATCAAAGTTATGGGGAGTATAAAAGAAACATTCTAGAACAGGTCATATTTTTTTTTAGACTGGCCAAATTACCTTCATGAAAACTCTTATTTTTCTGGCAAATTCTTAACTAAAATCTATATTAGACCATTATCTCCTGTGCAATGCTAGTAGTCTATATATATATTTTTTTGATAAATATATTTTTTTGCCATCTGGCATATTGATGATTTATATGGTTGTATATTAACCTATATAGAAGTTTAATATAAACAATATTACAGTCAGATCAATATCTTATACTTTCTTTTCACAAATATACTCATTAAATTTCATATAAGTACATATCACTTGAACATTTATACACACAAAACTGTAATTGTAAGTGTTTTTCAGATGTCTTAATTACTAAATATTTCCATAAATGCAATTCTACAATATTCAAAAACATTTATTAAATTCTAAAAGCATATATTTTTTGTGTTTAAAATATTTAAATTTGAAACATAATAAGTCCATCACAGTTATGAGTGCTTTTAACTTTCACATAATACTGAAAGTTGCATATAATATATACAATTTAAGCATTATTGCATAATGCATTTTCAATATTTGAAATACAAATGTCCTACTAAACTTGTTTCCTTTTGACTAGAAGGGGGGTTGGATGGCTGAATAGTTAGCACTTGCGCGCTGTTTCTTAAAGCCTGTCATTGAGTCAACTGGCATGGTGTTGAATCCCGATTGTACGTGACAAGGAGTAGGGTCGCCTGTCCAGCCTCGTGGGTTTTCTCTGGGTCCTCCGGTTTCCTCCCACTGCTAAAGACCCCTATGCGCAAGCGAATTATTGAAATAAAATTAAACCATGTTAGTCCCAAAATGACCTAGTTTGTCTAGTGGACGTTAAACCCCATTTAGTGGTCATATAGTGTTTTTCAGTATGTTCAAATAATGCTCATTTAAAATAACAAAAATAATTAGTCCATGCTCAGTTTGAGGTACAGTCACAGATTTGGCGTTTATTCACATAAATTAGTGTGTACATGTATATTATATTCCCAAACCACTTGCTTAATTGACAATTTTAGATGGACAAATAATATTATTGATCTTTGCTAACATACATCACAAGAACATAATCTTAAGTTATAATTCAGATTTTGAATAATCTTAACGGCAACAACCATGAAAAGGACAGTACATACAATAAACTAAGGATTTCTAAAAACTGTGTATAAAAATGTATAACATATTAATAAATAATAATTATTAAAAGATAGTTTGATGGTCATGGTTAATAAATATTATCGATGATAGGAAAGTATGAATTCATAGGATGAATATTTAGATTGTTTTAATCAAAATCCTTCTTAAAGATACATTAGTTAAGAGTTTAATAAAGAGTTGGTCATTCTTGCTACAATAATTCAAAAATAGATGATAAAAAAGAAAATATTGAAAATTTCATTCAAATTACTTTTTTCTCAGCCAAGTTATCATTGTTTGTAGTTTTGACAAGATGTGTGCACAGCGGTATCCAGGGCACTGGTATAATCCTCACTTTCCCATTTTTAAATTAAATTTTTAAATGGCGAAACTTTTTAATCTACCTAAAATTCTGAGTATCCGATGCCATCGAGAGTGGATTATGGTCTTGTTTTGTTAATAAATGTCTAAATAATAGTTTATATAACATTTCAGGTCTAAAGAATGATCTGTAATAGGCAGATTTAGCTCTTGCATAATGTATGTTTAATTAAAATAATTCAGTTTGGGACTAACAAAGGGTAAACCATTTTGGGACAATGGACTAAAATTACATAGTACAATGATTTAGGTAATGTTGCTTTAGATCTAAGAATGAGGACACCGGTTATGATTATTTAAAGCATTTGACTGATGAAGACATTTTCCTGAGAGTTCTAATCCCTCAATCTATTTCCTACAATCTGTTGAACTCTTAGTGAAACTAACAATTTAAGTAAACAAAATAATCATGATATTTTTCTGGAAGTTGGGCACTTATATCAATATAAGCCTACAATAAACCCTGTTGGGACAACAAAAGCTGTATGCCAAAACAAGTAATTTAAAGCTAATAATTTCTACTGTTTTCATAGAAAATGCAATAATATAATAAATGCGTAACAAATTTGTGCATTAAGAAAAATCTGACTTTGTTGAAGATATGAATTTTTAAAAAAGGTTTAAAATTATAACATAGCATATGACATATTAATATAGTATTAAATAGTAGTCCCTCATATATGTAAATAAATAAATGGAATTCTAAAAATATTTTAAAATTAAAACCACCCAATTATGGACATTTTATCCACCACTAGAGCACATTAGATTTAACTGTATGGATGGACATAATTACAAAAAAAAAGAATTATGCTAAAAACCTATTTAAAAGAATCTGTAACATTTTTTACAACTATATCCTACCATTCACTAAATCTAAGGCCAGGCTGAGCTGTTGGTGTAAAATACCCCCTACAACGGGAGACTTGACTTATCTTAGAATTTCATTGGTCCACAGAACTCCACATCCTTGGCTCCTGATTAACAGATCTCTTTTGACCAATGGGGTATTCACGGGGAATTTTTCGACCCATTGGTGCCAAGACAATAACATTTTTAATATGTACATTACATTAATAACAATAATGTGAGATTCAGGATCTTGTTTAAACTTTAGATGTGCTTGCTGATGCTTGCAGTCTTTGTTTCTGTGCTCGTTTTTTCTGATTGGCGTAAATGCGTAAATATAAGGCTGCAAAAACAATGAGTATACCACACACCCCTACAAAAGTAACTGGATGTCCATAAATAACACAGGATAAGAGAATAGCAAAACCTTGTCTCATTGTCATAATAATAATGAATGTCACAGCTCCAAATGAAGCAATGGTGTGAAAGATGAATAATTGTCCAGTTGCGGAACAAATACTTAATATAACAGCATGAAAAACGAAATCTGAATGTCGAAGCATAAATGCTGATGCACTGAAGAATCCCCCCTGTTCGATGAGGGATATGGATGTCAACAAACATGAAAACAGATTGACACCTGCCATCATCTGGATGGAAGACATCTTGTGTTTTGAAAAGAGTTCTCCCTGCCAATTAGAGGTGAAACTGTCAAACAACATGTAGCCAACAAGAAGGATAACTCCAGAGATCGTTGTTACATTACTGTGAACCTTTTTGTCGTCGCCGCTAGTCAACAGAAACAGACTCACACCCACAGATATCATAGCTGCCGTGAAATATTCATAATATTCAAATGTTTTCTTGGAAACGACTTTACCCATCAACATCACTGGTATAACCTTTGATGCTTTTGCCAGTACCTGTGTTGGGAAGCTGACATATTTAAGTGCCTCGTATTGAAACCAACTACTCATGATGTTAGATATTGAGCTATATGAGTATTTGTAGAGTGGTGCTGTGTGACGTGGTTGTGGTCGCACAAATATCACAGTAAGTGCAATACAAAGTGCCAGAATTCTATTTACAAACACCAAAAATTGTGAATTTGTGAAAAATTCTCCTTGTTCAGTTGCAGTCTTTCCATATTCATGTTTCATAATGCGCTCCTGTAAGACACCCCATGTGAGGTAAGAACCTTGAAGTCCAGCAAAACAGAAACATAGATTTAAAACATAACTGAATGAACTTGGTTCCTGGTCAACTGGATTTGAAGTTCCTTCTTCTGAGCTTGATTTTTCTGATTCTTTACCAAAGATACATAATACTATAGCATTTGATAAACAACCTGGACCTGAAAAAACATTCAATACATATTTGTTTATATAATCATATATATCTGAATAGTTTTCTGGCATAGAGCATTAGAATAACAATAAGAAAGCTCTTGTCAAAACAGTGTGCTATTGATTGTTTTTGATATAAATTGTGTTGTGTTCTTTAAGTTTGTTGCCATCTTTATGAATTGAGAGTCATTTGGAGATAAAATAAAGCAAAGATAATTCAATTATTATTTCCAAACAAGGCAGTTCATTACTAACAATCTTGTCTTGACAGTAAATTGTATTATTTATTTTTTTTTTGTCAAACCTCTCCACTAAATTGTTCGTCTTTACAGACAGATCTGTGATAAGGGAACCAAGATTGAAACATATATCTTAGAATGAAACTAAAATTATAGAACAAGATTTAGGGGGGGCTCCTTTATAAACATTCTAATAAATATCTTGTAAGATTTTTGCGGGGACTTTAAAACGACATATCTTTGGAAGTCCTTCAATCAAATATTTACCATCAAACAATCATAATTTGGTATTTATGATATGGGTAATAAATTGTGGACTTTAAAATTTACTTTAGTGTCATATATTGAAAAATAATTTTGTGAATGTTCATCATAGCTAGTGCATTTCAAGACTAACATGGTATTATGATTAGTCGTGGAAGAAAAATAAATTAAGCCAACCATACTCCTTTTCACCGACAATTGTGCAATAAAACTTAAAGATTACATAGACACAACACTATTTACATATTACACAATTCTATGGAATTTAATATTAGTGTTTTTTAGTCACTGACAATCATAAACTATAAAAGAGCAGTTTTGCCGCTAACGATGGAAATGGGTATAACTTCTTGATTTTTATTGGGTACAGATCTGAACTTGGTACAGTACATTAATTATCCTGCCTCATGTAAATGGAGTTAATGTGTACATGTAGTAACAATTGAAGAGCGGGAAATTCAAATGTTATTTACACTTCAAACTATACATAGAATTATATACATGTGTTGTGTAATGGATTTGACCTCCAATTATAAATGTAATTTGAATTGATGTAAGACAGATATTTACTTACCTGCTGATTCATTATATTTAATATTTTTCAAATATCTAACAATCAAAGCTCCTGGCACAAAAAATGTGGCGTAACCTAAGATGTTCAAAATCAGTCGTGCAATCCAAAAATCAAGTATACTAGGTTCAACATTGACAGTCAGATTTTTAGACAGTTTACTCTCTTCCCCACCAATAAGATATGGCAGCATGCCTAAGAGTAGCATTACCAGGATGATAGCCGTCATGCTGAAAACATAAATAAAATTCATTTTTTTTAAATTTATGAACAACAACCAAATACAAAATTTTAGGAACTCGTTATATATTTTATTGTAAGTAAAACTAGCAAGGTTATAAGTCTACTGGTTATATTAAATAGCATTAGGCCTACTCTCATCAACATTCATACAAATACATACATATATTGCCAGTGGCGTCGTGCCCATTGGGACCCGGGGTTACCTGGATCCCCTGAAATTCTCAGGGAAATAAAAATATTTTTAGTGATATTATTAAGACAGAAGACCTGTCCGTCTGTTTTAGTCATCACACTGTCTCCAGGAATTATATAATTTGTCATTATCTGTGTTTAGTTTATTGCACTTTAGTTTAGATGTCATTTGTTAAGGCTTCGCTCAACAGCGGCCTCTCTTCGTACACTCTATCATTTAGCCTTGACCTAAAATTTCCGGGAGTATACCGTCAACGTAACGGTTAATCTCTGCTCACGACGCCATTTAAAAATTTAATCAATCAATGAAATCCTGTTTAAATCCAAGCCGAATCCAAGCCATCCGTGGCTCTACAGAGTTGATTTTATGCTTGTTGTGTAAATAAAGATCTATTTTATAATTTCTATGACATCTGAAGCCTAAATAAAGACTTAAATTAATATACAAAAATAACCCATTTTTTTCGTCAATCCTCCAGAAATGCAGAAACAATTGGATATGCAGGGGGCAAGGTTGGGGTCAAATACATTTCATTAGCTTTCCAAATACAAATACAACACAAATTTTTCCGATTACCATTGATCAAATATACAACAAATCTAAATACCTCAGCTAAACACACTCTGATAAATGATAAAAAAAATCTTTATCTACATAATATTAAGAAAGTTATAGAGTTTGCTGTAGCTAGAAAATCCCTATTTATGATTGTATGTTGTATTTGATAAAAAATATCCATATACAGGTGTCAAAAATGAAGACAAAGTATTTTTTATTGAAATACAAATACATCTAAATACATATTTGACCATCTGGCAGAGGTTGAGGTGGAGGAAGGAATGGGGTTTTGCATGAAGTTGTTCGAAATGTCCATTCAATAATTAAATCGAAGTAGAGATGAATAAAATATAATTCAATTTTCGAGTGATAATTACAATTATTACTAAAAAAACGACCATTTTTCAATCATAACTTTATTGTCTCTAATCCATCGAAATGGGTTTCCCGGCTTCTAATTTTAAAAATTTTCCACACACTATGCGGCCAGTAAATTTAATTTACCATGAACACACTTGCAGAAAATTGCCCCCCCCCCATTTTTTGGGGCACGACGTCCCTGTTTATTGCACAGTTTTCCATCCACACAGAAGTAATATCAAAATTGAAACATATAGATATAGTTGGAATAATGATAATATTGTCAATGACCCGGGTTATATAATTTAAAGATACTATCATTCACAAAAATAATTTCCATTCAATTTCTTTTAATTGCATGTGACATATAGATGTCGTTCACACGTTTAAATAATTTATTGTAGATGACACGTTCCAAATTAAAACCCCAAGAACAAAAAAAAACTTAAACCCTCAGTAAACAAAACTCTTTGTTACTATTTTATATATTACCATATGATTCAAGTATAAATTATACTATTTAAAATAATTAATAAACAAAAAAAAACCTAAAAAAAAATCTAAACTCACATCATATCTAATGTCTATAAAAAGTATCTTTGTAGGCCTACAATTGAGAGAGAGAGAGAGAGAGAGGGGTGGAGGTTAAGGTCCACTAGCGAAAAACTATGTCATTTCGGGACTAACACATGTTTCAATTTTATTTGAATAATTCACTTGCGCGTAGGGGTCTTTAGTAGTGGGAGGAAACTGGAGGACCCGGAGAAAACCCACAAAGTTGGACGGACGACCCTACATGTCTGTACTCACTGTCACGTACAACTGGGGAATCGAAACCCTGCCAGTCCTATAATTCTAGACACGCCATGTGCAACGTATTTATGGTTTGGGGGGTATGATGATTTATATAGGAGCCAAGGGTATTTTATATTGGGAAAAAAATAGTTTAATTTAGTAAGATAGATAGGCATTATCCAATAAGGAGTGTGGCACTTTGACATTTTCAAAGTATTATTGAAAGGGTTCACGGGACTGACATTTCAAATCTAGGCATCCGAACATTGGCTATTTCGTGTATTAGTTTAAAATTTGTAAATACTTTTAAAATTCGCTAATACTTCAGTCTAGATTAATCGTTTGAGTTTGTGACAATTCTCAATAGTTTTTGTTATCCAAAATACCATAAAACTACGAAATTCAAGCGATTTAGTTTATCGATACGCATTATTTCCATTGAAGCCTGCAAGTAAATCAAATGCCTAGGTCACGAAAGCGACATGCAAGTTCAATTGATATCCTGTAATGAAAATACCTACCCACAAATGTTAAAATATGTTCATCTCTGTGTGAACAATAACAAAGAAGGCAATTATTTGTAATATTACAAATATCAATGTTCAATTTATATTGCCTCTTCAATTACAATCTACAAAGAATGTGATATACATGTACATCTGTTAGCTATATAAATGAATAATATTGATTGAATACCTATGTTAATATTTGCCACATGTATTTCTAATAGATACGATACTTGTGTTATTATCTATATTCACACCTACATGTATGTACATGTAATAATCAATTGATATTTATAAATCAAATGTGTAATTAACCAACGTTATAGTGCATGAAAAAGCTTGCTATCTGGTCTATGTGTACATTAACTTTGTGTCATTGAAGACTTATTATTATTTTTTTTTTAATACAAATAAAAATCCTACTGAAAATATCAGGCAGTTATTTCCTAGACTGTTGTCAAATTACATTTTTTTCTACCAATATATATATGCGTATATTGATATATTCTGACACATTTCAACTAAACAATATATTAGAATACAATTTCTGAAAGTTGACCTATCTAGACATAATATTTTCTGCCAATAGTTTATTTCATTTTTTGTAAACAACTGACAAAGAACAGTCATCATTTAACAGTAGGCTATTAAATAAAACATAGTTCTGCGGTCACTTCAGCTGCGTTCAGCAGAATACATCTTATGTACATGCACATGTAATATGGAGAAGGAAAAATAAAAAAACATTAAAAGTCTAATCTTTTGAGGGTTTTTTAATCCCTTGCAAATTACAATATAACGAAAGCTAGATCTAAAGTAGTAAAGATCCGAGTTAGCCGAAGAACGAAATTCAATCTTAGCTCGATTAGAAATAAACTGGAAGAGTCGGATAATAATTGATTCAAAGGCACATTTCAAGCTTTTGTTCGCATATGTGCGAGTAGATAACTTTCGTTTTGGTGCGAGTAGATAACTTCTGTTTTGGTGCGAGTAGATAACTTCCATTTTGTCGCCATCTTTGAAAAATGTCCTATATTTTCCCGGAAAGTGTCTGGCACTGTAGCAGACAGCGAGTTTCGAATTTTCCGGGAAAATTCTATTATTGCATCTCGTCAAATAGGCTTATTTGAGTCAAAATGATAGAGGAAAGTATTTTGGGGCTCTGCATGGAATACCTAACCGCGTTTAGATCATTGGGACGAAACTGACAGTGAAATTCTGAACATACTGCCGAACCGACTTTAGCGAAGGAAAAAAGCCGGAATTAGATCAAATGGACCCAACATTTTGATCCAAGTTGAGTAAAGATCCGACTTGGGAAATCCAACTTACGCTCAGATATTTAATAAGAAAAACGTGCAGGATCAAAAGGTTCAAACAATTTTATCCGAGTTGAGCGAAGATCCGACATACATGTATATGAATCTGACTTATGCCAGGTTTATTGTACGTCCATATTCCTGCTTTGATTGATATGGTACTTTTTAAAATGAAGAGAATGAAATATGAAATGGCCGTAATATGACAAAAGGCAAAGAAGGCTAGGCATTGGGTTTGTTTTGCCAAATTTATAGACAAAATATTAACAAAAAAGTGGGTGTGACACTGCCCCAGGAGGTCGGGGCATGCACCAAAATAACTAGTTGCTGTCTTTACGGTATAAGGAATAAATATGCAAAGTTCCAAGATGATCCATTCAGAATTACAGCCTGTAGACGATAAATACAAAAATTGGGTGTGGCTCTGTCCCTAGAAGGTGGATATGGAACACTATAAATAGGTACCACCCTGTTATTGAAATGATCTGTTGGTGCATTAACAGATTTTGTTCAAATTCAGCATATCAATTTTATTCCTTCTAATCAGTCTGTATTCTTATTTCAGGGTTTGGAAGAACTTTTTATGTACCAGTACATTCATATTCCCTGAATGTACCGGTACATAAAAAGTTCTTCCAAACCCCCAAATTTCAAGAATACAGACTGATTAGAAGGAATAAAATCAGAACACCAAAATCAAGTCATGTAATAGTAGTTTGACAACAGACAAATTGTAACCCAAATTCAAAAGGATTTTTTCAGTGGGGAACACATGACAACCACTGGAACACTTGACATGGAATGGCCCTATTCAAAACTAATTACATGCCCCTTCAAATCTTTAAAATAGTGAATCGATTTCAGAATAAGCGTCCACTGTGCTATATATTCCCAGGCTCGTAGTGATAAAGGATTCACTAACAACAAAAAGAAAATTACAAGGGAGATTATAGACAATCCACAGAAAGAGAGTATTGCACAAATATTATATTATTCCCATGCATGTCATGATGGGCAGTCAACAGTTTAAAACTATTCATCTATATAGACCTGGAGGGAAATGCCAAGTACAAAAAGAAGGACTGTTTGATAGTAATCGATAAGGTTTAAAACAAGCTTTTGAAGTTACATGAATGTATTAAACACAAAGTCCTTAAGTCCTTTTTAAAAAAAACCTTAGCACTGACTAAGTTAGTACAAAAAAGAATTAGCTATGCAAATGATGCAACCGATCCTGTTGTTCTCTAATACAGGATGAAAACGTTAATATTTAGCATGGCTCAGACCATAGACCCTATAATAGGTCTAGTAAGATCCATGCCAAGGCAGTAAATCAGCAATACAGTCAATTGGATCAAGGCATACCTAAGAAAACATTGAGAAGATAAAATGGGATGTGGTCATAACGCCATAATTTGGCCAAAACAACCAAAAAATATAAACATATATTGCAAAAATAATATATTGTACAAAAGATTAAGTTTTCTTTGATAAAAATACTATTCATTTAATAAAATAACAATTTTGAACATGGTTTCAATTAATCAATACAATGAATTAAACTGCCCATTGCTAACCCAGAAATTGGCATGCTGTTTTTCAAAGGAAGGAGGTGAGTACTAATTAATCAAGGTTAATCCCCAATTAAGTATGTCACACTATAGTACTGATTATTGAATATGAGTTGAAACTTGGTCCAGATTTTGTGGATTTTTTGACTTGCAGATTTACAAGCTTCATTTCAATGATCAACATATTTGAAAGTGGTTATCCATTTAATTCTTTTATATTCCTGAAGACTTTGATTCTTGCACATGCTGATATCAAGTGTCAAACTAAGTACAAGTCTGGTCATTAGATGAAAATGATGCTACTTCACTTTATATTGTTTTTTCTAACACTCTCTATTAAATATAATCTTTGAATGACATTATAAAATTATCAAATAAATATTTACGAAATTAAAGTTAAATTTAAAGATAGGTTGCCAGGCAACGAAACATACGCCCACAGCAACTAAATCGTCCGGGCAGTCAACAAGGGTTGTCGCATATTTTTACTTTTTTCGGTAATGAAACATTTATAATACACTAAAATCTGATTAAGAGCAACAACTCACGAAGTAATTATCAGAAAACTATTAGAATTTGTTTGGATTTTATAAAGTTCTGCCCCATGCTAACGTTTTGTATGCAAAGCTTTTAATATCATAGATTTAACTGTTCAAGTCATAAAAATTCATTGAAAATCAATATACTTGTTCGTCTCAAGATCTTAAACTCTGTGTATCAATCTGAAGTCAATCGGATGATAACTTAAGGGCCATAACTTTGGCAGTAATTATCGGAAATCGTTGAAAATCAATAGGAATCTTCGTCTCATGACCTCAAACACTCTGTATAAATTTAAACTCAATCGGATATTAACTTGAGCCTCAAGAGCATCCACAAGATTTTTTGAAGTGATCAAGGGCCATAACTCTGGCAGTAATTATCGGAAATCGCTGAAAATCAATAGGCTTCTTCGTCTCATGACCTTAAACACTGTATAAATTGAAAGTCAATCGGATATTAACTTTGGCCTCTAGAGCATCCACAAGATTTTTCAAAGTGATCAAGGGCCATAACTCTGGCAGCAAATATTGGAAATCGCTGAAAATCAATAGGATTCTTCGTCTCATGACCTTAAACACTGTGTATAAATTTAAAGTCAATCGAATATTAACTTTCGCTTCTAGAGCATCCACAAGATTTTTCAGAGTGATCAAGGGCCATAACTCTGGCAGTAATTATCAGAAATCGCTGAAAACCAATAGGCTTCATCATCTTATGACCTTAAACACTGTGTATAAATTTAATGTCAATCGGATGTTAACTTTAGCCTCTAGAGCATCCACAAGATTTTTTGAAGTGATCAAGGGCCATAACTCTGGCAGTAAGTATCGGAAATCGTTGAAAATCAATAGGTTTCTTCGTCTCATGACCTTAAACATTGTGTATAAATTTAACGTCAATCGGATATTAACTTTGGCCATTAGAACATCCGCAAGATTTTTTGAAGTGATCAAGGGCCAGAAATCTGGCAGTAATTATCAGAAATCGCTGAAAATCAATAGGATTCTTCGTCTCATGACCTTAAACACTGTGTATAAATTTACAGTCAATCGGATATTAACTTTGGCCTTTAGATCGTCCACAAGATTTTTTGAAGTGATCAAGGGCCATAACTCTGGCAGTAATTATCGGAAATTGTTGAAAATCAATAGGCTTTTTCGTCTCATGACCTCAAACACTGTATAAATTTAAGGTCAATTGGATATTAACTTTGGCCTCTAGAGCGTCCACAAGATTTTTCAAAGTGATCAAGGGCCATAACTCTGGCAGTAATTATCGGAAATCGCTGAAAATCAATAGGCTTCTTCATCTCAAGACCTTAAACACTGTGTATAAATTTAAAGTCAATCAGATATTAACTTTAGCCTCTAGAGCGTCCACAAGCAATTGTGGACGCCGGACCACCGGACGGGGGCGACGACAATATACGGCCACATTTCAATGTGGGCGTATAAAAAGGATATCTTTTTGATTCCACCCAAGCTTCTTTTTTTATTCCACCCAAGCTTCTTTTTTATTCCACCCAAGCGCTTCTTTTTTATTCCACCCAAGCTTCTTTTTTATCCCAAGCTATTTGGAGACATTGGTCATTGCTATGTTATAAGATAAATTGCTATTACTACTGGATTAATAATGAATTACTAATATAACATAACATGTTTTTAATTTTCATCCCTTTGACCAAATTGTTTGAAATAACCGAATAACCTTAATGAATGTTTATAATTGGTCATGTTACATATTAAATTGCTACATCTATGTTACTCGATGAATATATATAACATTAAGTATAAATCGTTTTGAGTTTTCATCGCTTTGATGAAATTGTTTCATTTGGCGGTTATGACCAAAATGTTTTGGAATAAGCTTAATGAATCATGAATATTTATAATAAATACCTTAGAACAGCTGAAAAATTAAACTTCCATGAATGTGCCATCCTACTAACTTGCACTGATGATGACGCCTTGTTTATGTTATGTGAAAGGCGGATTTCTAAATTTCACTATTCTACACCTTATCTATCTAATACTATGATTATATCCAAGCAGTAAGTAAAGAAATATCAATCAGTGCATGAAAGTTATCAATGATGATATCATTGACATTACAACATTGTTGAGCGTGATAAATTATAAATACTGTGCAAAGATATAAGTTCACTAGTACAAATCACACATGCATACAGTTTTAACCTACTGACTTTGACATTCGTGAACAGACAGCAGTATTAGTTTATCTCTTCAGGGCATTCAAATCAAGTTGTCTTCGTGTCAAGGAAACTCTCAAGAAAACCTCATATCCGGTGAAAATCCTATCGCAGAGAGACTTATTGTTCTAGGCTTTATTTACATTTTTGGCATACGCAAAAATTATTGCTAGCTCTGAATTAACGGTAATGTAAAATGTGTATCCTGTCATATTTACGTAAAGTAATTTATATAAAACCGTAAATTGCAACCTTTTATTCATTCCGTTTGAATTTTCTATAAAAAATATAATTCTTTGATATTGTAGATGTCTTAATAATTATTTGATACCACTAATAAAAGAGAAAATCAATTAACTATGTACGGTATTCTTCTAGGCACGAATTTTGCACCAACTCTATTGCTTACATGTGAATTTGGCTTTGTCACATCGAAAAGAAATTCTTTTAGAGAACTAAATACTGTTGGAAAAATATGTCACGAGGAAGCAGTGCTGGTTTTGACCGTTATATCACAATATTCTCACCAGAGGGACGACTGTATCAAGTTGGTAGGTATCTGAGTTGCAACAAACACAGACCAAACAGAAATAATAATATGTAACAGGCATTGCCTGAGTAGAGCGAAGTTGTCAATGAAATAGCCTATATAAAACCTTCATAATTAATTTTCTCATGTGATACAAACAATGTTAAATAATTTAGTTTTTCCAAATTGATTTTTATTTAAATCTAAATTGTATACATTAATTTTGTTTTTAAAAAAGAACAAAAAAGTGTGAGAATTATTTTCATTGACGTCATTGATTAGACGCGTCAATCCCGTCATAGAAATAGTAGATCTAATAGTTCTATATGATGAGGCGCGTAATCTCGCTTGGGCGAGATTTGGTAAGTTGACATGCGCATTGCCTGTTTTGCCCAGTGTATCCAGTTCCGGTCTGAATTTTTTTTTAATCAACAGTCTGTGAGTGACAATTTCAGTTACGCTCCTGTGTTACCGGAAAAGAGCTTTGCTCAAGCACCGCGCGAAGAAGCGCGATGCTTTAGAGCTTCACTCTGCCGAAGATTTTCCATTGCTACGACTCACTTCATTAGTGAATCCGCACTTTAGTTTCCGGTGGATTTTGATATAAAACCAATCAAACGATAGATAACTTTTTTGTGATTATTATGGTGAGTGATACCCTGAGATCCGACAATTACAGCCGTAGAAAACGGGATTTATCTTTGCTAAATTTCGACTAAATATAGCCTACTTTTTTGGTGGTATCATCCAGATTATAAATATTTGTCATATTATCATTCAAATTATTACGATTTTAATAAATCTTTGCTGACAATAACGTGCGGATTTGAGTTTTAAAATTGGTACTAGTGATTCTGAAGGGACAATACCGCTTATGACGTCACTCATTTTGGTGCCATGCCAGGCATTGGCTGAATAACAACGGGATTCATTAATAGCAATTAACAACATTTTTCATCAAAACAATGATTGATTATTGTTATTTATAACATTTCTGCCACATCCAAGGACAATTAAGCCTATAATCCTACCTGAAATGGGTACAAATCATTGCATTTTAAATCGAGGCGTTGTAAGCTGTCACTAGGAAGTCATTTTGAAATGCTGCTTGTTATTAACAACATTTTTCATCAAAACAACGATTGATTATTGTTATTTATAACATTTCTGCCACATCCAATGACAATTAAGCCTATAATCCTACCTGAAATGGGTACAAATCATTGTATTTTAAATCGAAGCGTTGTAAGCCGTCACTAGGAAGTCATTTTGAAATGCTGCTTGTTATTGATAGATGACATTCAGCACATCTCGGTTAACTCCAGTTCCCAACAAGTCTGCAATAAAAGCTCCACACACTCTTTGAATGACGCCATTTTGGAATTTCTTTCTAAGTTTTAATAATAGGTGCTTTTATTACGTGTGACGTACTTCCGGTGTCTATTTTTAGCCTGGCCTTTTTTTTCAAGTATCTTAACATGGTAGGTAAATGCTAAGGAAAACAGGGTTTTTAATCTTTTTCTTTTAATAGAAAACGTATTCTTGAATGCCACTCTTGTTGTAAGATGCGTGTAGCATTTGTAATAAATTACCGATTTTAAATCCTGTATAAATTCTTTTTTTTTTTTCGTTTTATTGACGATATACTGCATTGTAGAAGACGATATATGCCAAGCTCGCACACGGTCCAGTTGATCGCTGTACACAAAAACATAAACAAAGATGCATTGCCGATTTATATGTTGTGTGTTAATTTTACTGCAAACAATTAATAGATAACATCTGTTTGCTTGTAAAATGCCACGAAATAGAGCATAATAGTAAATAATGGAGTGGGTTAGAGTGGTGACGCTGCGGTTCCATGAAAGAATTATTCAAGACAATATTAAAATTTAAGCACGACCGTAGCACATCTAAAAAAAAGAACAAATAATAATCACACTGTAAAAAATAATTCTGTATAGAATGCTCTGAGTCCAGTTATATATATTAGAAATTGATAAAATGGACACAAATGTATCGTTCTACATCTTGGTTGCGACAGTGGAGATAAACTGACTGTCAAAAGCTGAGCCAAGATGATTTCTGTGGTTACATAAGAAAAAAAGATTTTAGAAAATATTCACAGATTCAATTTGATCATGGTTTTATTCTTTCTGTTACTCATATTCCATCAAGGGGAAATTTTATAAAAATGGCCGAAGTCTTACTCTGTGCATCAAACAACTATTTTATCATTGGTTAGAGCCGCCTAAACGCGGGGAAATTTACAGTAGCTATTGGCTAACAGCACGCATAAACAATCTTATTTGCATATTGCATACTATTTATAGTATTATTAGCTGACATTATTTTTAAGTCGATAGGCACAAGGACCAGCATAGTACCATGTTTTGTGCAGAGTATGTATAGCATGCAGCGCAAAAGCAGACGATATATCATCAACCTCGCACAGGCTCGCACGTACTGTCCAGTCGGCAGTTGAATGTAAATAGGATAGACCATTTAAATCTTTTGTGTTAATAGTCCTGTGATTAATAGATAACATCTGTTTGGTCATAAAATGCGTAATAAACGTGACCAAGTTCTAGTTCGGGCCATGGGCCATGAGCGTAGATCAATCATCCACTTGTTTTCCTCAATTTCATATGGCCATTACGGGTCTGGTAAACTTGCCGTATCTTTTTCTACATCAAAGTTTTTGTAAATATCGTTTCTGGCATCGGTCGGTAAACCTTACACGTATGTAGAAATGGCGATCGATTCCATTTTATGTAAAACAAGCTTACTATACGACGGTATTTTCACAAAAAAACACACAATGGCCTATGGGTTTCAGTCTACGAATAATGCCAGGGTCTGCGCATGACCGAAAAGGATGTCAAAAGGGAAAACGGTAGTCGCATCACAATTGTATGGGTGTAGCTACCTATCTTCATGTCACCTACCCTCATACAGCAGGGGTTAGATGTACATGTATGGTACCAGAAGTCTAGGTTTTCCGAATGAAAAGAGGCATGTACAATGGATTTTGATGGCGTTTTCAAGTCGGATAAAACAACGCTTCATTAATCATTAATTTAAACACAAATATTTGGATTTAGGTGTTAGTTGTGTCACTACATTGGCCTCTGTGAGTTTAATTAGTCATAATAGTATACAATTATTTTATTTTAAAGATGTCAAATGTATTAATAAAAAAAAATGAGTTTGCCAGGTGAAACGGAACTCACCCAAACATAGCTAAAAAAAACAAACACATCAGTATATCTTAACGTTTTTAGCTACGATCTCATAGTTAGCATTGATATCAGATGATTTCGTACATGGTTCCTTTATCGTCTCTCAGCCCTCTGTACGTGCTGTCTCGAGACCGAGATAATTATTAGTAACTATCTGAACATTGCTAAAAATGTTGAGACAATTCTGTATTATTCATGTGCAAACCATAGATTATAGACGTACTACTAGTACCGGTATAGTAGTCTTTAGACACGTCTTCCATTTTGTCAATTTTGTTGTGATGATTTTTCCTGGCGTCAAAGTTCAAGAACATGATATATAACTAAAAAGTTTACATTAAATTTTCAAGAACACACATTCTATCCAAATTCAATTTATATGTTCTACATATATAAAAAAAAAGTAAAAAGGTTGTTTTTTTATGTGTACTTTCTTTTTACAGAATATGCCTTCAAAGCAGTAAATCAAGGTGGACTGACGTCAGTAGCAGTTCGTGGTAAAGATTCAGCTGTTGTAGTTACACAGAAGAAAATACCTGTAAGTTGTAGAGATACTGGTTATTGCTAGTTCTGTTATAGTTATACGTTGTGGATGATTACTATCTTGTAGTTGTACTGTTAGGCTGAACACTACAGTAATGGTTCATATTAAAGGGGACATAAGATGGGTGAGAAAACTTTTTGGTATATATAGCCAAAAGTTGCTATATCCACTTTACAACAAGTTCTCACCAATCTGATTAAAATTAATTCAGCTATCTTCACTCAAAGCGACCTTCGGTAAAAACGTCTTTTCCAATTATCAAAAATACTCTTAATCCCCTCAGACTCCAATGACATCACAGTGACTGAATGCATATTCGGAATGTTTATTCCTTAATTACCTATATACAGCCGGCGTGTGTATTCATTAACGCCTGACTGATTCCTTAATACCCTAATTAAATAAAACAATTATTAACTACAGAATAATTTGTTTTGTAATTTAAGATCCAATTTAGAATTTGTTTTATGATGTCCCGCCCTCTCTTCTTACTACAGCGATTTTAAAACTGTGTTTTAAAGTGACTTTTTGATAGTCCCTTTCCATCGTGTGCAGACCTAACGATTTGAGATACATTTCCGTCAGAAGAGTATTGTGGTTCTAATTTCCCTGAGTAAATGAGTACAGGAGTAAAATGATGTGGTCAAGCGAAAAAAGTCTTACAAAGTGTTCCTTACAAAATTGGTTATTTCATATTGATCCAATCTATATGTCCATTGTATTCAAATATAATGTTAAACGAAATAATAAATATAACTCACCTCAAAAAAATATTTTGCCAAATGACATTACTTCCAGTGATAATGAAAATATTAAATTAGTTCTATGAAATCATAAATGGCATAAATCATAAATCTGATTTTTAAAAGCGTGTGCGAGTTAAATATATTTAATAGGGCTTTTATCTGGTGTATATTTTATTTTCTTTTCTTATGAATGCGGCTATATACATGTATGTGCGCTTTTTTTTGCGGAAATCTATGACATATCTATCCACATCCCACTCGGAGCAGCCAACTTCGACACAACAATATAATAGGGCATATAAATAGATAGTGAGTAGGTACAATTACTTGGAATCCAAGATGGCGTCTTTGTACACTTGACGTCATATTTTCATGACATCATCATATGAAATTTCTGGCTTCACAGTTGTCGCAACTTTATCTCATTCTGTGGCAGGAAAAACAAGATACATTTGGTCCTGTATCATCTGGCATTGTTCGAAATCAGAAATCTTCTAAATAACGTCGTAAAATCCTGTGCTTGAACACAAGAAGTTGTTTCTTTTTTTTATGTACATCTATAGAATATACAGGTCAGAATTCTATGGAATATAATTACTGCTTATGAGTGAGCGACTTTTCGACAAGGCTTCTCTAGTCATTATTGGTATTAATAAATTATAAGGAAAATTGTTGAGATATTCATACAAAAAACCCTTAGAACAATGACTGCACAAATCACCAATGGTCCCCTGAAGGCGACTGTTTGAATTAGTGGAATCACTTACATCACATGAATATATCAACAATTGTCTTTTTACGGTGTGATTATTAAAACCTGATCAAATCATTGTAAATACTCCACAACAAGCTATATCAATTTGTGTAATTTCAGGTAAAGTGGTCGTTGATAACACTTTATCAAATTTCATCTCCTTTCAGTGTCTGTCATTATTAAAACCTAATCAAATCATTGTATATACTCCACAACATGTTATCCATTAATCAATTAATCAATTTGTGTTAATTTTCGGGTAAAGTGGTCAAATTGAATGTTGTTATTAGCATTTAACCTTATAATCCTTAATTAAATTAGATTCTACATATAATTAGAATGGGTATCTCTGTTTGGTCAGCATTAACTAAGTATTGTTGTGTACATGTGTATATTGTCTTGTTATATTTTCATATTTTATCATTGCTTGATAATGACTAGAGAAACCTAGTCGAAACGTAACTCAGTCATAAGCAGTAATTGTATTCCAAATTGTGATCTGTATATTGCAGTTCAATTACTAAATGCCATTGAAACAATTTAATAATAATCTATTGAGCTAATCCATGAGCACACAATTGACTTCCCTGTCCCACACATATGAAGAGAATAAGCATATCATACCTCATGATTGGCACGCAATAATGTTGACAGTTTGACAGTAGCTTTCTTAACTTCTCAAACATATGAGAAATGGTACTCTGTCCTGTTTATGTAGCCTACTTCTAATACATATGACAATAATTGATGTGTATTGTTGTAGGACAAGTTACTAGATGCTAACACTGTTACACATTTATTTCAACTGACGGAAAATATTGGATGTGTTATGACTGGCATGATGGGTAAGTCTTCCCATTCTAATTAATTTTAGATCTTTCTTTTATTCAACTATATTGTTTGTCTCCTTTTCATAAACTAATATTTATGGCTTTGTTGTTCTCTTTGATGTCTAATTTTATCAAATGTGCCAAAAAGGACAAGCATCTTTTCATTGGCTATTGTCCGGTCAGTTGAATGCAAATGTTGTTAGAAACAAAAGTTTGTTTATTTTTTAGTTAAACTTAAGTGACCAATAATGCTAAAACTGAATCAATTTACAGAATATTATTTTTTAAGAATAGGTCTTGGAAAAGACCTTGTACCATGTTTTATTAGAGAACACACAGAAACAAAAACCTTTTGAAAAAGATCACAAGAGGGAAAAACTTGTATATTAGTAGAACTAGAAGACCCATGAAATAGCGCATAAAATAGTGTATGGATGGGTCACATGTGTATTCTGTGAATAAGTAGTTATTGTAATAGTCTTTGTCATGTCCTGCATGACAAAAGTTCTAAGAAAAATAACCTAAACAGTCTTGGCTCTTAGCAAAGTTTTTTTTTTTTTTAAGAATAGGATAAACTATGCGCACAGGTCACTTTCTGTCCTATCCTACATATATCACAGATTATTCAAATTGTTTTAACCTGTTAAGCGTGACGCTTTTAAAACGTTAACTACCCCCTATTGTGTAATTAATTTGACGAAGTGACGAGGCACTATGTACTATGTTCTAAGAATAGGTTGGGGAAAATACCTCCAAGGCGTTATATTACGCCCTACACGCAGTGAGTGGCAGTTGTCCAGGACGTAATATAACGTCCTACACATGCTGCGAGGGATTCCCCCAAGTGACGAACCATGTTCTAAGAATAGGATGGGGAAAATACCTCCAAGGCGTTATATAATGCCCTACACACAGTGAGTGGCAGTTGTCCAGGACATTGGATAATGACCTACGCACTTAACGGGTTAATATGTCATTGCTAAAATAATTACATGTATGTGTTTTGAAATTTGTAGCTGATAGTAAATCACAAGTCCAGCGAGCTAGATATGAAGCAGCGAAATGGAAATATTCTTATGGTTATGAGATTCCAGTAGACATGTTAGTCAAACGAATGGCTGATATTAATCAAGTTTATACACAAAGTGCAGAGATGCGACCTCTGGGTTGTTGTGAGTATGATTATAGTATTATAGATATTTGATTTGATTCAATCAAAATAGACCATTCTTCGCCAAATAAGTTCACCAATATTGTTAACCCAAAGAACACTTAATACCACTTCTCATGTAGAATTTCACATTATGTAATTAACACTTGTTGTTTTTATACCCCCACATTATCTATATTTATACAGTGTTTTACGGTTGTGAGACGAAAAAAGCCTGTCAATTTTCAACAATTTCCGATATGGCAATTGATATTAAATGTTTTGTATGCTAAATGTTAGAATAGGGCAGAACTAGAAGCCAAATGGGTTGTTACTAACTCGTAATCATATTTTAATGTGTTGTGTTTTTATACGCCCACATTGAAATCCGATTGACTTATAAATGTTTCATTTCTGAAAAAAGTAAAAATATATTCGACAACTCTTGTTGACTGCCTGGACGATTTAGCTGCTGTAGGCGTATGTCTCGTTGCCTGGCAACCTATCTTTATTTCTGACAAAAGAAAAAATATGCGACAACCCTTGTTGACTCCGGACGACTTAGCGGCTGTTGTTGTATGTTTCATTGCCTGGCAACCTATCTTTCTTTTGTATGCAGTTCATTAACTATAAAACTAAACTTGAATTAATGATTGTATTTTCTGTTTTAAGGTATGATATTAATTGGTTATGATGATGAATTAGGACCATTAGTATTTAGAACAGATCCTGCTGGTTATTATTATGGCTTTAAAGCTACATCAGCTGGTGTTAAACAATTAGAAGCTAACAGTTTTCTTGAGAAAAAAATAAAAAAGAAACAAGAACTGTCGTATAATGATACAGTGGAGGTTTGTATTATTAATTACTATATTTATTGCTTGTATTTGGTCAGGAATGATATGAGCTACATAATATCTAATTGTAATGAATATTTCTAAGGACAAATCTGTGGAATACCGTTACAATGTTTTGACTAGTATTTCTGTATGGAAGACCAAATGGGACAATATTCATGATTCTTGTTTCTACTTTCCAGTTTGAATATTTTAGACATGCACACAACATTCTAAACTAATGATTCTTGTTTCTACATTCTTATGTCAACATTTCATGTCAACATTTCATGCACAAAATCAACATTTTAAACAAAAAATTGACTTTATGTTTCATTTTCGGCGTTTTATCGGTAATTTTATATATCATTAAATATTAAAATTACAAAATAATTTCTTAATTTTACACGACAAAGAAATCAATTCATTGGTTTCTGAAAGTATCTTAAAAAAAATCTGGAATTTGAACTCTTATGAAAATATTTTCTACGTTTCAAAAAGTCTTGAAGTTAAAATCTTGAAATGAAAATGGCCAGAAAAATATAGTGAATTATCAACATTATTACACCAGAGGGCGTTAGCGTATGTGTACAACTTTGATACAGACTATAGATTAGAAATCAAAAGTAGACTTTTCTAACGAGTGGGAGTGGGCCTCTGTTGTGTTTACAGTAATTAGTTGCATGAAGCATAAATTAAGCTCGAGATATAATAACAATACAAATAACTTCTATAATTTAAACAGCTAGAAAAATTAGGACAAAGGCCTTTCCTACATATTCGCTGTTATTTGTTTACTTTTTCGTATGTTTAAAATTACAAATTAGACCTACACGTGTTTCGAATATGGCAAAAATGGCTGATAATGCTGTGTTTTAAATGGAATCTATTCACTGTTATTTGTTTACTTTTTATACGCCCACATTTAAATGTGGTCGTATATTGTCGTCGGTCTGGCGTCCACAATTGCTTGTGGACGCTCTAGAGGCTAAAGTTAATATCCGATTGATCTTAAATTTATACACAGTGTTTAAGGTCATGAGACGAAGAAGCCTATTCATTTTCAGCGATTTCCGATAATTACTGCCAGAGTTATGGCCCTTGATCACTTTAAAATATCTTGTGGATGCTCTAGAGGCCAAAGTTAATATCCGATTGACTTTAAATTTATACACAGTGTTTAAGGTCATGAGACGAAGAATCCTATTGATTTTCAGCGATTTCCAATAATTACTGCCAGAGTTATGACCCATGATCACTTCAAAAAATCTTGTGGACGCTCTAGAGGCCAAAGTTAATATCTGATTGATCTTAAATTTATACACAGTGTTTATGGTCATGAGACGAAGAAGCCTATTGATTTTCAGAGATTTATGGCCCTTGATCACTTCAAAAAATCTTGTGGACGCTCTAGAGGCCACAGTTAATATCCGATTGATCTTAAATTTATACACAGTGTTTAAGGTCATGAGACGAAGAATCCTTTTGATTTCAGCGATTTCCGATAATTACTGCCAGAGTTATGACTCTTGATCACTTTAAAATATCTTGTGGACGCTCTAGAGGCCAAAGTTAATATCTGATTGACTTTAAATTTATACACAGTGTTTAAGGTTATGAGACGAAGGAGCCTATTGATTTTCAGCGATTTCCGAAAATTATTGCCAGAGTTATGGCCCTTGATCACTTAAAAAAATCTTGTGGACGCTCTAGAGGCCAATGTTAATATCCGATTGGCTTTAAATTCATACACAGTGTTTAAGGTCATGAGACGAAGAATCCTATTGATTTTTAGCAATTCCTGATAATTACTGCAAGAGTTATGGCCCTTGATCTCTTTGAAAAATCTTGTGGACGCTCTAGAGGCCAAAGTTAATATCTGATTGACTTTAAATTTATACACAGTGTTTAAGGTCATGAGACGAAGAAGCCTATTGATTTTCAGCGATAACTGATAATTACTGCATGAGTTATGGCCCTTGATCACTTCAAAAAATCTTGTGGACACACTATAGGCCAAAGTTAATAACGGATTGACTTTAAATTCATACACAGTGTTTAAGGTCATGAGACGAAGTAGCTTATTGATTATTAGCAATTTCCAATAATTACTGCCAGAGTTATTGCCCTTGATCACTTTGAAAATCTTGTGGATGCTCTAGAGGCCAAAGTTAATATCTGATTGACTTTAATTTTAAATTTATACACAGTGTTTAAGGTCGTGAGACGAAAGAATCCTATTGATTTTCAACGATTTCCGATAATCACTGCCAAAGTTATGGCCCTTGATCACTTTGCAAAATCTTGTGACGCTCTAAAGGCTAAAGTTATCATCCGATTGACTTCAGATTGATACACAGAGTTTAAGATCTTGAGACGAACAAGTATATTGATTTTCAATGAATTTTTATGATATTAAAAGTTTTGTATACAAAACGTTAGCATGGGGCAGAACTTTATAAAAACCAAACAAGTTCTAATGGTTTTCTGAGTTGTTGCTCTTAATCAGATTTTAGTGTATTATAAATTTTTCATTACCAAAAAAAGTAACAATATGCGACAACTCTTGTTGACTGCCCGGACGATTTAGCTGCTGTGGGCGTATGTTTCGTTGCCTGGCAACCTATCTTTCATATTAACTATAAATATAGGATAGTGTTTGCAAATTAGACCTACGCATGTTTCGAATGTGGCAAAAATGGATGATAATAAACAAATAACAGCGAAAATGTTCAAACTGGAATGTAGAAACAAGAATCATGAATATTGTCCCATTTGGTCTTCCATATTTCTGTGTATTACTTTAACTAGCTCTCTGGTCTTTATCATTTAAATCCTAGTTGTAACTGTACTCTTAGAGACAAACAGTAATTGTATTTCATAGAATTCTTTGCATATCCAGAATTACTATAAATACCATTGAAACAGCTACATAATAGAACTACTTTAAGATCCAGACTAAAGAGGTAATTCCCAAATTATCAGTTCTTATAATTATCTGATAACATAGGCATTTTATAACTGAATAAGAATAACACATTAAAAGAAATACAAGTTAATTACTTATACGTGTATTTCTGGCAACATTTCAACGAGTGATAAAGACAAGAGATCCCTCGTTGAAACGGCACCAGCAATAAACTTCTAAGTTACTTGTATTCCATATAATTGTGTCATGTGCTATTAATCATGAAGGTTGTTGTCTGGTCATAGTGGGATTAAAAACTGGTTCACACTTATTGTGAAACCATTGTCGTAATAACTACTGCAATCCATAGTTGATGTTCACAAGTTTCATTGAAATGTAAAAATATTATTTATTGCTCTGCGAAAATTGTATGTTAACGGGGTTGAGTACTCTAAAATGCACATTTTAAAGCTAGCACTGTAAGTTTTTGTTTTTAAAATATGACATTTTTTGTTATTTGGGGTGATAAAATCTACATATTAATCACCCAGAAAACAAAAAAAAATTTTATTTACCAACTATGTTCCGAACTTGGCCCAAAAGCATGATAATAAAGGGTGCTGATGACAACAAAAGTCTGATTTTCTCAGTTATGTTTGCATGGATTTTCATCAGATTTGGCATGTACATGTACAATGCTAATTGTAAGTCCAAGAAACCCAAGGGACATTTGGCTATAGGCTGCAGTTTGTCTGGTATCCATGGAAATGCCAAAAAACAATGGTTTTTTTTGGAAATTCTGTTACTGCATGCTAAAAAGAGATAATGATAATCCTAATCGTAGATAAAAGTAGAGGTTATAAGCGATATTTCAACACCAAAAACACTAAAAAATATCAACTCAAGAGCATTTTAAAATCTTTATTCATTATTTACCTTCAAACAATTCAGATGTAAAAAGTAAATATTTACTTCATCTGCCGCACTAAAAATCATTTATACATTCAAAAATGGTAGTCTTCGACCATCAAAGAAATTCAGTAATGTTCCAGTCATGATAGATGGCAAACTTGGATAATCGCGTCCTAGAGGGAATTCCTTGTCGTGCAGTGTGAAACTGTTGTTGGAGGCGGCCATGATAGTTTACCACGGATCATGTGACCGATGTGTACGACTGCATAATTTATTTAAGAACTCAGCTGATCTAGGTCAAGAAACCTTCTCGTTTGCTATAAATAAAGTTTTTTTCTTTCCATTTGTATCTCCTTTATTACACAACAAACAGTTGGACTGTTATTTTACACATAGAGCAAGTATGCAAAGTCTTAATAAGATTGGCACTGAAAAGTTAGCGTATCTTAGACTACTCAACGTCCTTAAACTCTTAAATTTTGTTAATACACCAGTGTTGGAAGTGATGAACATTTATTGTATGTATATTTTTTTTATTTTAGACGGCCATTACATGTTTATCTACTGTATTGTCAGCAGATTTTAAAGCAGCAGAAATAGAAGTTGGAGTAGTAACCAAGGACAATCATAAATTTAAGTAAGTAGATGGTGCAGTGTATAACCACAAGTGATTGTAAAATCTCTTTGAAAAATAACATTTAGGTGATGCTAAGTATTATACCTAATATCTATTTCTTTCATAAGCCAGATAATCAAATTCAGGAGCAATAAACCTGTCTAAAACTGTTTCTCAATCAGTATAAATATAATGTTGGGAAGCAAGGATTTATACCATGTCTCTTTCTCTTTTATCAACTCCATTGGGCTAGCAAATTTTTACTTGCCTTGTCTAGGATCACTGTACTTTCTAACAAGATCATTTCCTCTTCAAAAATTTGACCTGGCAATACAATAATTCTATGCTTATTCAGGTGGTTCAATTCCTGAAACTTAGGTGCATGAAAGATAAAAAACCCTGTCCCTACCTTTTAAAGTATGCTAACCAGTGTGAATAGAGACCATTCTTAAAACTATATTACCTTGAATTTGATCTTTATTAAAAGTATGGTTACTGAATGACAAGTTTATTTTTTTCAGAGTGCTAACAGAAGAAGAGGTAGATGGTCATCTATTAGCTATAGCTGAGAAAGACTAGATCTTTATCCCACTATTTATCATGCATTGTCATCGCCATTGTTACTTTCGTGTCTAAAGACTCTTAAGACAGCGTTAGAAATATTTGTTATAAATAATTTCACGTATAATAATTAAAATATATTCACATTAAGTTGTCCTCTTATTTTCTTTTACCGTTTAGGAATAAACCACTGAAGGCCATTGTTCCACCCAATTAATAGAACCCTGTTCTTGTAATTTGTGACCCATTTGGCCCAAATCATCCAGATTTACCAGCGTGGTTTCCCCGTGTCAGTGATGCAGGATGGAGGGCCTGACAAGGACAGCTGTCTAGTCGTTCGGATGGGACGAAAAACCGAGGTCCCATGTACACATTGGCGTGTACGTAAAAGATCCCTTGGCAGTTGGAATTCGATATAAGAGTAGGCCGGAGTGCCACTGCCCGGGCAAAATTTCCCTCATAGCACACTGTATGGTGTATGCCCTTCTTCATTAGCCCAGTTAAGGAGCAGAACAGTAGGACGTTAAACCCCATTTCATTTCATTTCATTTTGGCCAAATGAGAGAAATGTCATTGATAGCACACTGTATGGTGTATGCCCTTCTTCATTAGCCCAGTTAAGGAGCAGAACAGTAGGACGTTAAACCCCATTTCATTTCATTTCATTTTGGCCAAATGAGAGAAATGTCATTGATACTACACAAAATATGTTAAATCTGTTATGCTTTTCCAGCATATTTGTCAAAAGTATATTTTGATTTTCAGAATGCTCATACTACTCATAGACCAAAACTTATCAGAAATACATAGAATCTGCTATTTTTGGTTATAATGCTTTTTTTCTTTGTATTAGTAATTCTCAATCACTTTTCATTGTATACCAACTTAAAATATCTCACTTACTTAAGATAAATGCATATCTCTCATACCAATTTAAAGGTCAATGATCTTTGAAAAACAAATTTTAATTTTTGCACACGGGTATGTGTTGATATTACCCATGTGTCTCATTTAGCCACAGCTGATCACTTTATTATAGGCTACATATAGGTCTAGGGTTGTGAAGTGCTCTGATCCCTACCCAAAAGCCAAGATAGAAAGATATGGTAACTAAACCCAATCTAATGGCTAGAAAGAATTGTTGACTTGATTCTTGATGAATAGTTATGTGACCAGTTCCATCATGATGATATATAGATACCATATATAGATACTAAGATAGGGAATAACATTATTATTGGTAACAAATTTTATTGTGTATGAAATAGTTTTGAAACTCACACAACAATTTATGTAAAACAAATAATTATTAACTAAATACATTTAAATGATGTTTTACATTTATATGCAAACCTTATAAAATACAAATCATCATGAATTTATATTTTAAAATCAAACTTTAAAAAAAACCACCCATAATACTTTATTATTAAGAATATTAGAAAAAGTTTCAAAAACAATTCTGACTAATTTTTATACCATGAAACTTAAAATATTTCATCAAAGTATGCAAACCCACAACTTTGTAAAGGTCCCTTGAGGGGTTCTTAATCCATTTTGAAAGGAACTGGTGAGAGATACATAATCTCCCACCCCCTTCCTTAACACATTTCTTCTAGAAGATTTCAACATAGGATTACAATATACTTCTTGTTACATGATCACTATACAAAATACAAAAAAAAATGAAACAACCTAACATATACAAGATAACAGGAATATGTGTGCAACTGCATCACTTATCAATGCTAAATGCGAATTACCAGTAACAATTTGTCTACAATTTCTGTAATGATTATTAATTTATTTACATATTAATTGTATAAATTAGCTACATATAAGATCTCGAGACAGCACTGTCTAACATCGAATATTTACATATAAAATATATATTATAAATTATCAAAAATATTTCACTGTTGGGACAAGGGACCCAAAATTATGTAAATTTGATTTTTATGTGCATTGAGAATTTAAAAATATATTTCAACATGTTTCAATTCTGAATCTTTAAAAAGATTGCATCATTCATATTCACAAGAATGAAAACTGAAAGTATAACTATAAAGTTAATTTACATGTACCTTGACAAAAAAAATATTTTCAAATGGGAAAATTTCACCTTTGACTAAAACGACAATCTAGACTTAAAAACTCACAGTATAAAGTTATCTTATACTTATGATATACTTACAATGAAGCAAATATGTCAATTTATCATATTCACATTATATGGCCTTTAACACATTGCTATAAAATCATAGTTACAAAAGACCTGTTCAGTTTATAGTTATAATGGTATTGTCATACTTTTATAAATCTAAGCTATTGTACTACCTGTACATCAATTAGAATATATACTATATTAAACATCAATAATAAATAATAAACAGAATCAAAGTACATCACGTAAAGTAACAATATACAGGTAATAAGGCAAACATAGGAAAAAATGTTATTCTTGTAATTAGTGGTCAAATTGATTTTAATATTTGAATGCCATTTAATTCAATTCAAATGATCTATTTTGGGCTTATTTATACCGGTAGTGCACCTTTATGTCTAGAAATTGTAAAGCTTTCAAGTTCATATAACATATTCGTTTTCTGTTAATTTATATTTTTTTTAATTTTAGCCCTTTATTATCAATATTATAAAAAAACAACTCTGATTCTTTATTTGTTTTAATTGACATTGAAATTAACAACAAATACCAAAAAATACATGAATATTTGAGTGAGCACTAGAAGAAATTGCATTTCTTTAGTAAAATTTTTAATTCAATGTACATTAATGATATAGAAAACTGCAATAATATATATTTTTTTTAATTCATCACCTGTGTACTGAAATATATTGTGTATCAAAAAACCATTTAGAAAATATATATAATAGTAACATTTATTGTAGCATAACAATAAATTTGTACTAAAGATTTCCATAAATCCAGGTCTGTTTTCAAAGCAGATCATTTAGCTTAACTGCACACCCTTCCGACCTATAGAAAATGGAAAATACTTTGGCAATATGAAATTATTCATGTAAATTGTTGACCTTTTGGTTAGAAACTATACTAAAAGCATTGTTACACTCATGAATTCCAGGAATGAGCACATTATTACTGGTACCCAACAAATACTAATTATTTACTGTTTTTAATGGAGGGCTTGGCAAAGACACTGTCACGTCATTCATGTGAGCTGAAAATCTGACATCCTGTGTACATTATTGTGCTTGTAAAAGAAAACATGACAGTTGTAATTCAATTGCTGTCTGGGCAAAATTTCCCTTATAGCACACTGTATGGCATAATGGAATGCCCTTCTTCATTCATTAGCCTGGTTGGTGCAAAAACGTAGGACCTTAAACCTCATTTCATTCATTCGTTTTTAATGGTTTCAAATTTTTATTGGTTATTTCATAATTCAATGGTCATAAATACACATGAAGGAGGAGTTTATTAGAAAGTGGAACAATGAATGTGTATTTCTATTAGTATCCGAGACCCTATTTGGTAAAAATGACTACATGTGATTTAAAAAAACATAAAAAAATGGATTGTACTTCTGGTTTAATTCCTGGTTTTACTGACCAATAACAGAAGATATAATCTAATCAGCCATTTGTATTACAAGATCGACTGATGGTATTATTAGTTGTCATAGCTGATAAATCCCACCTGAAATAACACATGAATTATGGCCCCTGATTGTACGAAAAATCACATTTTTAGCTTGTGGACTTTCTAGATTTCACTATTTTTGTCCGATTTTGATAAAACTTGCAAGTGTATGTTTATAACCCAAAGATCTCGGTTCTGGTTGATATTCGTGCATATCAGACTGTAATCATGTTTTTAGCTTGTGGTCCCTCTGGAGAACACAAGTGTTTGTGGACACTCTAAAAGTCACAATTTTTATCCCATTTAGACTAAACTTGAATTATAGGGTATATCCCAAAGATTTCTCCTTTTGATATTGGCTCCTGATTGTATGAAAAATTTTGTTTTTAGCTTTTGGACACTCTAAAGGTCACAAGCTAAAAATGTGATTTTTTTTTTCGTATACAATCAGAGGTCATAATTCCAGCAGTTATAGTCTGGTATGCATGATTTTTAAGTTTCATCAAAATCGGGCAAAAATTGTGACCTCTAGAGGGTCCACAACCTGGGTATTACATACTTTTACACTATCTGTGTACAAGGAGCGGCCATTTTGTCGGACAGTTTTACAAAATACGAACTCAACCGTCATTAAGGTGTAATGGCGATACATTTAAAAGTTATTTTGGTTTTTTTTATTTTAAATCGGATAAAAATTGTGACCTCTAGTAGGTTCACAAGCTAAAAACGTGATTTTTCAAACAATCAGGTGCCATAATCCATGATGCTATGTTCAGATCTACGCGATTATTGAAAGGAACCAAGATCTTTGTGATTTAAACATAAATTTAAAGTTTCATCAAACCTCGATATACCATATTTTTACACTATTTCCGTACGAGCGGCAGTCATTTTGTCAGGCAATTTTGGTCCGATTTTCACGATATTCAACTCAACCAACATTACGGTGTAACGGTGATATATTCAAACATTTTTTTAAATCAGGCAATAATTGTGCCCTCTAGAGGGACTACAAGCTAACAACGCGATTTTTCGTACAATCAGAGGTCATAATCCAGGATGTTACGGTCCAATATGTGTGAATATCAAAAGGAACAAGATATTTGGGTTATAAACATACGTTTCAAGTTTCATCAAAATCGGATAAAAATTGTGACCACTGGGGTGTCCACAAGCTACGTACATGATTTATAATGCAGTTACGGTCCGATACATGCCAATATCGAAAGGAACTGAGATCTTTTGAAAATAAATCTACATTTAAAGTTTCGTCAAAATCGGATAATAATTGTGATCTATAGGGTGTCCACAAACAAATTATGGACTGAAGTCATTTCGGGACTAACACATGGTTCAATTTTATTTCACTAATTCGCTTGCGCGTAGGGGTCTTTTAGCAGTGGGAGGAAACCGGAGGACCCGGAGAAAACCCACAAGGTTGGACAGGTTTGCATAACATTTCAGGCCTAAAGAAAGACCTGCAATAGGCAGATTTAGCTCTTGCATGATGTATATATTGTTTAATAAAAGTCTAATAATTTATATAGCATTTAAGGTCAAAAGAAAGACCTGCAATAGGCAGATTTAGCTCTTTAAATATTGTTTACCCTATATTTCAGTTATATCTAGAAGAAAACTTGTCATGGTTCAGACAGAACATTCTACAGGCCCCTCAAATTCTGTAGAATAATTTAGAAATTCATTCTATAGAATATGGAATCCCCTGCACCCCTCCATTCAACTCTATATCACTTCTATAATAAACTATGCTGGTATTCTATAGGACTTTTGGCTAAGGGGTATGCCAGTCTTCATTAGCCCAGGCAGTCTGGTACTTACCTCAAGCTCATAGGTAAGCATTTGGTATCTAATTTATATTCTAACACAGCTAAATTACATAATGTTTTCAAGGAAGGAGCTGAAAGCAAACAATAATAACAATAAAGAAAAGAACAAAACCATGAACTATCAAATGTGTTTTTTTTATTATTATTAGCTAAGATTTTAGGCTTTTAACACACTCTAGTAGGTGGAGACATGGTGGCTAAGTGAGTAAGATGCTGGCTCACTAGCCCAGGTTGCGGGTTCGCTCCGAGTGTTGGCCGAGAAAGTTCATCAGGGTTTTCTGGCATGGTTTTCCCATGTCAAAATAATATGGCCTCCGAATAAAAATTCAGACATATAATTGCTCAAACCATAGATGTCCTGATCACTAATTGATCATGTAATATGTTTATTATATTATACAAATATGTACTTTTAAAACATTGAAAATCAAATTGTCGTTAAATTTTTGAAAATGTTGCAATTTGTGATGTCCCTACATTGTTGAGTTACATTTTGCCCTTAACAACCGGACCATATTATATGGTAAATTGTGTGTGTGTGTCAAACACAATGATCCTCAAAACCCAGACCACTGATTGGTGTAAGGCTTGGTTATGTAAAACTGTTAATTATAGTTTTGACATAAGAGCCTTCTTAGAATGTAATGACCCCCCCCCCCCCCTCCCCAGGCCAGCCCAGGCCAGCCCAGCCCATCAAAATTTCAGATCTGTGCATCAGTGACTTTATATCTTTTGTGGTGAATTGTACTTCATGGACATTGCTCCTCAACACCCAAACCGGTGGCATATGGTACAGTGATGTAGAACTGTTGATCATGAAAATAAAACTTTATGATAAGAACACTTGGCAGGTTAAAGTGTGACTGCATGGTGCCTTGTATTATGTTCATGCTTCAGATGCACATTATTATGATGACTGCAAAATCAAATACATGGCACCCAACTCAGCAGGCCTACATATAAAATTTTATATATTCCAATTAAAATATATTGCGATTTTCTAAAAGTCAGATTTTTAATTTGAATAGCAATATTGTTATGAAAGAAGATCGGGCTATAAGACATAGAGGAAACAAGCCAACTGTGAGGCTGATGTGCCCCGTCGAAATCCTGAAATAAATAGATGACACATATTAATTAATTGCACATTTATCTTTTTCAAAAGTATGGAGCAATCATTCTAGTTATCAACTATACACTAAGTTCATCACTATACACTAAGTTTCATCACTCTCTATCAGATAGAATAAAAGTCAAAGAAATTGCTTAGCTTTGCTTAGCTTTATCGGGAAATGTTAATCATTGAACTCAGTCAAGACATTCACCTAATGAACATCAACATCAAGTTGTTGGGTTAGAGCAAAAACATTGTAAGTGACATTTTTTAATTGTGGAGAAAAATGACTTTAAAGGTTGAAACATTTCTGGTAAATCCAATTTTTTTACAATATATTTCAATTTTCTCCAGTTGACTTATGATATTAGTACAATTTTGGAATTACAATTATTTACACCCATTCTGTCCAAAATATCACTAACGATGTTTTTGCTCTGAATTAAATTTAATATTCACTCGATTCGTTTAGTGCAAAAACATTGTAAGTTTTCTTTTGGCTTTACTTTACCAGCACTGGTATTTGAGTATGGTGTGATTGGGGAGTGGGGAGGCGCTTTTAGTGATCTTCAAATCATCATTAAATACTTGCTTGTCATTTTTCATATATATATATATTAATGCAACTATAGAAGTATTACGAATGAGCTAATACAGTTTTTATCATAAGCTACTAAAGGTAGGCTATATTGATGCAAAAATCTAATGCAATTGTTAACATGCCTTGCTAACACTGTTATATAGATATCGGAAATACATTTCTAGAAATGTCGACAGTCACTTTGTAGATATTCTGCAAGTTTTAGCAGATCAGTTTTCTTATAGGCTTACTTATCAATGACTTAGTTTTTTCCGTATAATTGGCTCTATTAACATTTTCTGATGTTCACATTTCCTAGTTTTTTTTATAGGATTTGGGGTTTTAATATTTTATCACCTCCTGTTTTATCAGCACAATATACAACAATATCCCCATCTGAGATTGAAGGAAAGTAAGCCTAAAAACTGTTTATTTTAATCACCTCCAATCTGTTACCATGGAAACTTAGCTGTGATGTCATAAATTATGACATCATATCAGCTATGACATCATATTCAGAGAGATGGATTCCCTCACTTTCAATGTTCTTACTCTAAACAAGTCAGATACGATGATCTTGCTCTCACCAATATGATATTTATGCACATACGACATTTTGGGGGAAGCCATATCTCCGAGAAAAATTGATAAATTCATTCTTTCATACCCCAAAAAGGTGGATATAGGTATTCGTACTCCAAAACAATCAAAAAACAGTTTTCGTAAAATTTGTCACTTACGATGTTTTTGCTCTGACCCAGTGAAGTTTAAACATTCTACCTCAAAAGCAGAGTTGTTATATTCTAAAGTCTTGAACAAACCAATTTACTAATCGCTCTTGAGCCTAAGCAGAAAATTCTCATCAAACTTAGTCAAGATAATGATATAATGAATCTATACTCGGAGTTTCATAGCTCTCACTTAATTATAAATAACCAAAGTTATCATGCCCAAAAGCATCAACCAATCAAATTGCTTATCTCTGCTTACCGTTAGCAGACAATGTTTATCATCGAACTCCATCAAGGCATTCACCTAATGAACGCCTACACCAAGTGTGAACATTGTTGCTCAATTAGAAGGAGAGTTATTGTGTTTCAAAGTCTCAACCAATCAAATTGCTTATCACTCTGCTTACATGGAGCAGAAAATGTTCATCATCAAACTTAGTCAAGGTACTGACATAATGAAACTATACACCAGGTTTGATCACTCTTACTTAATCAGAACTAAAGTTACTGTGTCCCAAAGCATTAACCATTCAAATGGCTTATCTCTGCTTACTCTAAGCATCAACTTACTAAACACCTACACCAAGTTTGAACATTCTGGCTCAATTAGAAGGAGAGTTATTCCGTCACAAAAACTGTGACGGAAGGACGGACAGACAGACGAACCCATTTTAATAGTACCCTGCTTTCTTCGAAATGCGGGGGACAATAAATATATACCATGGGGTCTAACGAAAATTTATAATTAATTAACCCACTGTGGTGAATCGAAATCACTGAATTCTTTCTCACGAATCAAGTGAAAAGGGCGCAATGCCTATATCTCCAGTATCTGACAGTAGAACTCAATGTCTAAACTACTAGAACACCATTAAAAACAAAATCACCAAATTCTTCCACATGAATCAAGTGAAAAGACCGCAATGCCTATATCTCCAGTGTCTGACGACAGTAGAACACAATGTCTCAACTACTAGAACACCATCACCGAATTCATCTTCATAAATCAAGTGACCAAATTCTGATATGGTTAAGTACATGGATCGATTCAGCGCTCCCCACAGCGAAGCGACTATAAGATATATATTACACTGTTTTTCCCCAAATCCTGATCAGAACTATTTTCTAAGAGTAAGAAATGCGCTCAAACAATCTAGCACAAATATGAAAGAAAATGAAAATCTACACAATCTGGTTGATACAAGGCGATTATCAACTCTGACAACCAGTCTTTGTCTTACATATGATAAGGTTACATTACCTTGAAGAATGATACATGCATAGTTTTATAGTCAAAGCATGCAAGTGCACGATAGTTGAATGGCTCGCATACACCAAGCAAGTAGACAAATTGATGTGTTTGGGTGACTGGTTTGAAATTCTTTATGCACAATTCCAACACATTTATTCTTTTTCATAGCAATTTGAAAAATTGTTTTAGAATATAATTTACAGAAGAAAAAGAGTTAATATTGAGAGCTAATTAACTTGCCCATTTCATTTCCGTTCAGTGATCGTAGCGGCCAAGCTAATATTTACTGCTGATCAGTTTGCTCAGTGTGTAGGAATATGTCTTAGTGTCTTGATATTCAAGGCAAAATAGTAAATAAGCAAGATTGCTACCTTCCGTAAAGTTAAACTAAAAAGTCTGTAAATTAAAAAGTTATTGATCGAATCATCTGAAGTTTGGTGTGTGGTCATAACTTGTCACTGTGAACATCCCCACGGGAAGTACTAGATGTACAAAATAGCAGTAGCACTCCAATATTTACATTGTTTGACACGATCATGCGTTGAAAAATCAAAATAAAATAAATTGTTTCATTTTAATTTTACTGAGTGCTTGTTTATCTGAGAATAACATCAGAGAAAGATGTTAAGTTTATGGTCACATGCTAGACTTACTTGAAGCAGACAATCATCTGGCGAATGGATTTTTTCTGAATAAGTTTAGCATCCCTGTATTTACATTGTCAGTGTGATGCAAATTTATCTCCTGCATATGACTGATAAATATCTTGAAAAATTATGGGGTCTTAAACATTCATTTTTCTAGGGAAAAAATTTCAATGTTGGCATATAATTACCCTAGTCTTCCAGTAAGGAATACCCATGTATAAGAATTACTTCACCACATCGACACAAACCAATGATCTACGATTCTTAAATCAGATGATCGGTATTGTAAGCAAATCAGACGAGTCAAATAATCAATAATCAATAGTTTATTTGCAAAACTACTGCAAAATAAAACTGTTTTTTTATTAATTTTTCATTTGTTCAACTATTATTGCCGCATATTGTGATATTGTAGAAAAAAAAACTTACAAAAGTCTAGAACATATAAATCAGAATGATCAATAAGATCTATTTCATTACGGGCTGGCTGATCTTTTGGACTGAAAATAAAATGTAAATGTAAACAAATCAAGCAATCATCTCCTATTAACTCTATATCCTGATTTGAAACTTTCAGTCAGACAATTGAACTGGCTTCAAATTTTGGCATTTGATTTTGTATTTTTAAGTTGTTTTTATCAACAGATACTCTATGGAATCGGTAGAATACCATCTGCTACCTACCAGTATGTTATATCACCAAACAACAGATTTTAAAGTAGAAGTCCCAGATTTTACACAGCAGCCAGAAGTATACAAAATATATGCACTAGTGTGAATAAATAGCCAAATAGTCTGTTTGAAAGTTTCAGTACTAAGAGAGAGAGAGAGAGAGAGAGAGAGAGAGAGAGAGAGAGAGAGAGAGAGAGAGAAAAATGGGGTTTAACTCCACTCAACACAAACTAGGTCATTTCGGGACTAACACATGGTTCAATTTTATTTTAATAAATCGCTTGCGTGTAGGGGTCTTTAGCAGTGAGAGGAAACCCACAAGGTTAGACAGGCGACCCTACTGTTTCAGTACAAAATATTGAGCCATTCGTAAGTTATCATGTAACTCAATTAAGGAATTTATAGTATGACACAGGGATGATCATGATGATCACTTACACTATAAGTTAAGCAAGTATGTACACATGGGTCTCCAGGCACTTGGGAATATTTTAAGACTTGTCGTCTACCATATATGGAAATTGAAGTTTATATTTCTGTAAAATTACCACAGAGATAGTTGTAAAAGTCTCTGATGGTATTTTGCAGGATTTCTAAAAGGTATATCAGTCCGAAAATAGTTTAATTCCATTCAGTATATAAAAGAAGCCTGTGTCACCTATAATCTACGCTAACCAGCGGCTGCCAGGCAGGATACGCCCACATTTTCGAGAGATGGATAGAGAACAAGCTAAAAAGAAAGTGATTTTTCCTACAATCAAGGGCCATAATTCAGGAAATTACAATTCGATATGCGCAAATATCGAAAGGAACCGAGATCTTTGTGTTATAAACTTACATTTCAAGTTTCAAAAAAATTGGATAAAAATTGTGACCTCTATAGAGTCCACAACCTTGATATACCATATTTTTACGCTATTTGAGAACGAACGGAGGTCATTTTGTCTGTAAATTTAGGGCCGATTTTCACGATATTCGAACTCAACTGTCCTTAGGGTGTAACGGTGATATAATAATACGGTTTTTTAAATCGGATAAAAATTATGACCTCTATAGAGTCCACAAGCTAAAAACGCGATTTTTCGTACAATCTGGGGCCATAATTCAGGAAGTTACGGTCCGATATGCGTGAATATCGAAAGGAACCGAGATCTTTGGGTTATAAACTTACATTTCAAGTTTCACTAAAATTGGATAAAAATTGTGACCTCTATAGGGTCCACAAGCTAAAAACGTGATTTTTCGTACAATCAGGGGCCATAATCCATGAAGTTTCGATCCGATACATGCCAATATCTAAAGCAGCCGAGATCTTTTGGGGATAAACCTATATTTCAAGTTTCGTCAAAATCGGATAAGAATTGTGACCTGTAGAGAGTCCACAAACAATTGTGGACAGAGGGACGGACGTCCAGACGTTCAGACTAGGGCGACGGCATAATATGTCCACGTGAAAATGTGGGCGTATAAAAAATCATTTTCAGGGTCCTCTTTTTAATCCAATTGAATCCAAGCTCAAATATTATCTATCATTTATATTTTGATTTTGTTATCTTAATTTAGAGTGAATTAAGGTGTAAAAAGTGAAATATTGTCCTAAAAAAGACAATTTTTAAGTTTTTGTGTATTTGGGTGCAGATGTGGAATTAACAAGTTGTATTGTGGTTTCTTACCTGGTTCCACCAAATAGAAAGACACAGGATCCAATAACACAACAACACTGACGTCTACGTGGACATGGCTGATTACCTTTTATCTTAACTTCTCTCCATGCCATACGTACTACAAATTGTAATTCAAACGGTGTCTTTAATTAATAAGGGGATTAAACAAAGGACACATTAGAAACTTTTCCTTTAAAATAACTCTATAAATTCCACTGTTTTTCTAATATGTCAATTGTGGAAATATATACAAATAAAGTAACAAAGATATGATAAATACCCAGTCGCCTACCTGTAGTAATTTAAAGGGTGACTTACAAGTTTTCAAGGGTCAGGGGGAAAAAAGACCAGAAAGTGGATGGGCGGTTCAAATTCAACAAGTTTCGGCTATGTCAAACAAATTCTAAAATTAAAACCTTGCCATAAAACTAAAGTTCAAGTCTGACTTCCAGTTGTGTTCCTCCTCATGATTGATTATCTAGTAGGAGAAATTGTTCTGCACCTCTGTGTTTCATTAGGGTTCCTCTATAGAACAACCCAAACAATTCCGAAAAGTCTGAAAACAATTGGTTGCCATGCAAGATACGCCCACATTTTGCAAGAGATCAGCAGTGAGGCTGATATCCCCTGCTGAAATCCCGAAATAAACAGATGACACATATTAATTAATTGCACATTTATCTTTTTCAAAAGTATCAAACAATCAAACTGATTATCAACGATACACTAGTTTCATCAATCTCTATCAGATAGAATCAAAGTCAAAGAAATTGCTTAGCTCTGTTTAGCTTTAGTCTCTAGAGGGGCCATAATATAAAAAACATGTTTTTTTGTATAATCAGGGGCCATTATCCAAATAGTTACAGTCTGATATGCGTGAATATCAAAAGGAGATCTTTGGAACATAAACATGTCTTTTAAGGTGCATCAAAATTAGATAAAAATTGTGACCTCTAAGAGTGTTCACAACCTTGGTATTACATACTTTTACACTATTTGTGTACAGCGGCCAAAATTAAAAGGAACCCAGATCTTTGGGATATCAACTTATATTTCAAGTTTTGTCAAAATCGGATAAGAATTGTGATCTGTAGAGAGTCTAAATACTAATTGTGAACAGACGGACAAGGGTGAAGACAATATGCGTCCACATGAAAATGTGGGCGTATAAAAATATCAGAAAAACTCTGACCGCATTTACAAAGTGTTGATGACAGGGACAGTACTCAGAAAATTTAAAAGCAAATTTTAAAAACATTTTGAAATATACTATAACATAATTATGTTAGTTCTGAAATGACCTACTTTTCTGTTGATGGGACATTTCACTCTGTATTTAAAGGCTCAATACCACTCTTGTTGTAACTGAATAATATGTCCCAATCTTTATTCTGGTCAACAAATTGTACTATTTTAGAATATTTCAATTAATTGATGATACAAATTTCATCTTAACACACTTTATTTAAAAATTTTGAAAAATTCAACATAATAATGGTTTTAAACGTCTAACGTAAACCTTTTCAAATGAAACTTCGATTTAAAATATTTTCGAACCATCTGTACAAGTAAAATAGGATGTAATGGATAATTTACACAACAGGTAGGACACTTAAACATCTAGTACTTAGATAGAGATATTATTTATTTTCTGGAGCTTTCAAGCCAGCAAGAGTGTTATTGTCCCTTTAAACACATTTTTGAACATCTATCAATGAATAATTTAGGAAACTCACCAGGATCTAAGGCAAACACATCATTATAATGTTGATCATAGATACCATTATATCCTCCAAATATATACATTAAACCATCATAATAAACTGTAATTAAATACAAATACCATTATATACATTAAAGGAAAAGATCAACGATTTTCAACAAGGTTTCCATACATCTTAAATATATATTCATATATAATCCCCTAAGCAAAAATATTTTTGTAAGCGAGAAATTAATTTTGATTAAAACCGGAAGTGACGTAGTTGGTTCAACACACTCACTGGTCTCTATAGTAAGCATACAGATTTAGCATAAATTTATTGCTGTATTGACAAGGGGAATAATTCTGGAACAAAATGTCTTAGAACGCTGAAAGTCGATATGGATCATCCTCTAAAGGTTTGCAATCATAGTACCAAATTTCAAAATGACAGGAGTGGCAACTTTATACACCCAAACTATGTGTTGGCGTATAAAAATGCCATGTTCAGCACTAATACAATAAATACTGGCATTCGTCGATAACAATTTGAGATCAACATAGTACACAGTGTTTTCTTTATAAAACAATTCTTGATCACAGTTTGCTCAAATAATATCTTTGGCTTTTGTATGACAATAACAACAGGTAATTTGACGATCTTAAATACCTTTACTAAAATATCCCAAAACAGCCTTTTTCCAACTATTGTGATATTGAACATTAACCATATCAGAGAGCAGGCAACTACTTACATGCTGAATGACTGCGTCGTCCAGATGGTACAATACTATTTGTTATAGATAGTTCACTCCATGTACAAGTATTAGTATCCAACATATGTACTTTATTAGAGTATATCTCATGATTAGTAAATATATCTCCCCCTTCATCACTTCTACCACCAAATATATACATCTTACATCCAACATTTACTGCCGTATGAAAATCACGCCATCGTGCTGGAGTACCCTGTTAAATAAAATATCAAAAGTGTAAAAAATGTTCATCATCCACACAAGTCAAGCCATTGACATACCCGGTATACACCAAGTTCCAACATTCTACATCAATTAGAAGCAGATGTATGGTGTCCGAAATTCTTGAGAAATCAAATTGCTTACCTCTGCTTAGCCAATGCAGGAAATGCTCATTATCAAACTTAGTCAAGGTACTGATGTAATCAAACTACCATATACACCAAGCTATATCACGCCGACTCAATTAGAATCAAAGTTTTTGTGAGCATTGACAATTCTGCTTATCTCTTCAAGATATTCACCTTATAAACACCTACACCAATTTTGAACATTCTACCTCAATTAAAAAGCAGAGTAATTGTATACCAAGCAGTGTGACAGGCAAATTTACAAATCCATTTTAATAGTCCCATGTTTTCTTCGAAAGTCATGGGACAAAAAATAAAATTCTCCTTCCTTTCCTTTGACGTAGTGTCAATCAATATATGTTTGTCAAGCGAGCACAGACAATAAACACATTTTATACAATTGGCCTCAAAGGGAGACAACATTGAATAAACAAATCCTATGTATAAATCTGCATTTTTTTGTAAATAAAATTTGATACCATATTTACAAATCCATGTTTTGATTAAATAACAAAATAAAATGTAAAAGACGATAACAAGTCTAATTTTTACTTTAGTTACTAACTTACATATGTTTTGACATAGCTCCAAGTCATTGTGTTGAAATCAAGGACATACACTTCGTTAGAAAATCTGTCTATCTAAAAAGTTAAAGTAAAAAGAATTTCCATAAATTACTCATGAATCAAGAAACATTAGTCTATGTATGCTACCAATAGAATTTAAAATATTGTTATATTGTTATAAAAAAGACAACATATGTTTCCACATCACAAACTATTCTTATCACAGACGCATATAAATGAAGACAAAATTTTCAGTGATTTACTGATACGAATCTTAAGCAGGGACGAATGAACGAAAACTTGTACCGGTAAGTGTTTTGGAAGATTACTGACATAACTTGTGGTAGGCATTCATTTTCCATCATTTTTATAAATGAAAACAAATAATATTTTAGGAATATCAGTAGACATGAATTTTAATCTTGCACAGGAATTAAATTTGGAAAATAGTGAGGTGCACCTAAACTTTTGTATTCAGAACAAGACATGCTACGTAAGTTACATAACATAAAAAAATATTTGTAGTTGAAGTCTATATATGGAAGCTTATTGATTGATCGTATTCCCTGATAAATGACTTTTGGTGATTTAAATCTGGCCTCCATTAACCCCAACTAAAAATGTCTGATATGCAAATTTTCAAAAAACATCTCTGATTTGTTGTAATGAATAAGGCAGGGGATGCTTACAATTTCTAAACCAACCTATCGGGCATGGGGGAAAAATATAATTTTAAAAATACTTCATTATTTCATTTTCCTGCTGTATGTAACTTCATAAATCAATTGATAGTGGTGCCACAATAACAAATGGATTCAATTATTATTCTTAAAACTTTTGCTTTGTTCTTTCACGATAAGGTTGACACCATCTGCCGAGATTTGGATGGGTATCCAGTGTACGTTCCTCCATCTATAGATGTACACTCGTTTGCTTCATTCAGTGAAATAGACACTGAAACTGTTGAAAAGCTCATTCAAAATGCAAAACCAACTACGTGCAGTTTGGATCCGTTACCATCATGCCTGGTTAAAGAACATCGCGATATATTCGCACCAGTAATCCGTGATATTATCAATACCTCCCTCTCGTTGGGTGTGTTTCATTCAGACTGGAAAAGAGCTATCATAAAACCACTTCTAAAGAAGACAAATTTAGACCACATCAAAAAGAACTACCGTCCAGTTAGCAACCTTTCCTTTTTGTCCAAATTAGTCGAAAAGGCTTCTCTAATCAGCTTTACTAAGCACATGGACAGCCATCGTCTCCTACCATCATACCAGAGCGCATATCGTAAAAACTATAGTACAGAAACATTAATCCTTAAAATATACAACGACATCTTACACAATATGGAACATCAATTATTATCCCCTTTTGTTGCCATAGATCTTAGCGCCGCGTTTGATACCGTGAACCATGAACTGCGGCTTGAAATCCTCTCAAAGTGCTTTGGTGTTTGTGAAACCGCACACAAATGGGTAGCTTCCTATCTCTCTGGTAGAAGCTTTAATGTTAACATCAACCAAACTAACTCGACACCAGTCGATATAAATTTTTCTGTTCCTCAAGGTAGTATAAACGGTCCAGTTTTCTTCACATGTTATTCTAGCACATTGCAGTACAGTGTCAAGGATGACCTTAATCTCGTTGGGTATGCCGATGATCATAACATCTACGGTAGTTTTAAAGCTGGCGATAATACATCGGAATTGGAAACGATCTCGCGTTTATCTTCCACGATGGATGACATTAAACATTGGATGCTTAGCAACCGGCTTAAAATGAATGATGATAAATCAGAATTTATAGTTTTTGGTAGTAACAGAACTCTACAAAAATGTACAACAACAGAGATTAAAGTTGGAGATGTTTCTGTCACACGATCAAACCGTGTTAAGATTCTCGGTGTCTCAATGGATGAAAACCTCAGTCTCAAAAAACATATCGCAATAAAATCTCGTACCGCTGCAATATCACTATTCAATATCAAGAAAATAAACCGCTACCTTGATAGAAATTCTCGTTTAAAACTTGCTAATGCTCTGGTCTTTTCGCATCTGGATTACTGCAATAGCCTTTATGACAATTTGCCAAAAAATACCTTGTTACCGCTTCAAAGAATACAAAACCTCACAGCAAAAATGATCCTCAGACAGTCTAAATATTCAAGTTCAACAGATGCTCTGAAAGAACTTCATTTTTTGCCTATACATGCTCGTGCAGAATATAAACTATTGCTTCTAGTATATAACCCAGTACTTGATAGATTTACTTAAACCCAATCCCAACCGATATTCGACACGATTTTCCAACAGTCAGTCACTATACGTTCCACCCACAAAAAGAAAAACATTTGCGGACAGGTCATTCAGTGTTGCCGGACCTCGGCTATGGAATGAACTTCCCGACAGCTTAAAAAACTCTAACTCTCAGGATAGTTTTAAGAAATCACTTAAAACGTATCTTTTCCAAAGGACCTTCAAGAATTAATTAATTATTAATATACTATATTTTATATTCTTGTACTGTACAAGTTGTACATACTAAATTATTTATTTTAATTGTACAGTGCCATTGAATGCATGTATTGCAGTAATGAGCGCTATATTAAATGTAATAAACTTAAACTTATTATAATTTTACCTCTTCTTCAAAACCTCCAAATATAAACATTTTGTTTTCATTAAGACAGGCAGAATGTCCATCTCTTGCACCAGGCAAACATCCATGAACTTCTGGTTTAGACCATTCTAACGTAACTGTAATAATATAGGAAAAATCCTGAATGTTAATTGCAATCTTTCAAGATCAGATTATGGGGGTTGTGGTAGTCCAGTCAACGGGTGTTTATCATATAAACAACACTTCCCATTCACTACTTTCCAGCCATTCAAGAGGCGATGGTGGATTCTGGGGTCTGTAATGCAGCATAATGTAGGGTTTATAGTTAGCTCTTTTGACCTTTTGCATAAAACGATCAATATCAATATCCACGTGTGGTAAGTCGTTTCAAGGGTTGTGGGGGACGGGAAACACGAATATGCCATTTCCAAGCTTCCAGAACTAATTTGAAAGAGTTTGCATACAAAAATTAAGCATTGTCACGACTACAGACCTACATACAGCCATAATCTTTTCCAAATACCCATGAATCTTATCCGCCATATATTACAGCTATCATAATACATTATAATGCACTATATAATGCTGTATTCCGCAGTATGATAGTCTTGAGTATTTTGAGTCATCTATCGGACTTGCGCACTCAGTTTGAGAAGTAATGTTATTTTGGGAGTTATCAACTCAGAAGTTATTTAAACCCTTAGACATAGGGAATTGGGTGTGTAACATATACTTTCCAGTCATGCCCAAGAGGCAAATGGGGATTCTGGAGTCTGTAATTTAGCATAATGTCACCATCTTGTGGTAAATTCGTGGTACACAATAGAAATCATATGCTTCCAAGCTACTGAATAGTTTTTGTTCAAATATTAGAGACCGTTTCCGAATTGGGGCACTTTAGTCTTTTCAAAGGGTATGCATGTAGACACTCAAGTCCCATCACATTTAAGGGTCAAATAGAAGCTATATTACCAAATCTGCGTCTTTTTCATAATGGCTGAATAGATATCTCTAAAAACGCGGTAGTAATCACCCTGATAAAGTTAAGAGTTAGTGTGGAAGTAGTTGAAGAATTTTGATGAATAGTGGCATGAATGTTACTTAGCTTTCGGTTGTTGAGATTTAGTCTAATGAAATTGCTCGATCACATGGTTTTTGGCACAAAAGCACCTTGATTGAGCAACTTGTGGACCCCTCGTGGACCCCTCGTGAACCCTTTAATGGGTTTCAACAAAGTTTGGTAGGTCATGATTGAGTAGTGCTTGGCCAGATACGTCCAAGCGCCAGGCATCCATTTCATGGGGAATCCAATCAAAGAGTAAGATCAAAACTAAGTTTGTTGAAATTTGAAATTATCGCTGTTACCTTTGTTGTAAAAGGTTATTTCATCTGATTTTACAATTTTTGAAATGTTTCCTTTCTCAAATTTCTCTGTAGTAGACCTTATAATTGAGTACTGGATTGGCAGTCGGGACAAATGATGACCCCGATATCATTAAACCCTTCAAGCGGCAGACATTGGTACCGTGAAGGAACATATTTAGACATTGTCGCTTTCTTGATTCTCCTAAAACTCACGGTGAACTCTAGCTAAATTCAGAAACTATTGCCTGGATTATGAGGGAGCAGTTTTTAATGGAACTTTTCAATATAAATTTCTCTTTAAAGCTACTTCTGCATAATCCTGGCTTTATGTTATGAATTTATCTGCAATCCATCATAACTTTCAGAAGAGTCACAAGTAGTGTATAGGAAGTGTTTGTCTATATCATACACACCCGATGCTTTATGTCTAAGTGTTTAAAACTACTTTTCTCAGTCATTTTCTCCCAAAATAACAACACTTCTCAATTTGAGTGCGCAAGTCCGATAGATGACTCAAAATACCTAGACTCACTGCACATATTTTCTAAGATTTGAGAGTCATACTGCGGAATACATTATTATATATTGCATTATAATGTATTATGATAGCTAAAATATATGCAGGATAATATTCATGGATGTCTGGAACAATTTATGGTTGTTATTATTACATGTGTTGGTCTGTAGTCACGAAAATGCTTAATTTTTGTATGCTATCGCCTTTCAAATTAGTTCTATCAGCTTGGAAATGACATATTCGTGTTTCTCGTCCCCCATAATGACCATAACCCCTGAAACGACATATCACACGTGTATGTTGCTATTGGTATTGACAGAATACTTTCCGAGCCCATTTCTGTCGCCATTTTGGATTTTGGTGGCCATATTGGATCAACCAGTTGTGAAATGAATAGTAAACTGTCCAAAATGAGTCAGGTGACCAACAAAATCTATAAAATGAAATATTACACGGGTCATTTCTCCAATAATGTTTGTCATGGTCAATTTCAGACCATTTATGGCCACCATCTTGGATATTCGGCTCTCCTGAAGTTAGCCCGTAGATTTCAGAGGTAGCTAACTACATATATCTTCACTAGCGTCCCTTCTATCAGAAACCATCGTCAAACCTTGTTCCCCGAGAAATGGTCACGGATCTGGGGGTTGTGACCCGACTACAAGACACAATACGCAGAAATAACAAACATGCGTACATATCAAATTAAGTGAATGGATCCGGGGGCTAGCCATAAGCGTCCACTGCGCCGTACAGTCCTGGGCCTGTAGTGATACAGACTTCACTCAAAATTGAAAGACAAACAATCAGGAACATAACCCAGAGAAAAACATTGTGTAATACTAGTACGAGTCATGATCTGCTATATGCCACATGAAATATGAATGCAAGCATATTGAAGTAAAAAATATACAAGTAACCATATCGGTGAAATGTATAAAAAAAACAGGCAGTCTAAAACAAAATCAACAATGTCAAGTGAGAAACATTTTAAGTATTCAACAGAATTGAGGTATATTGACTATAAAGTTGGGGCATATTTCCATTTACCACAAAAAAAAGAGGTACCAGCAGTTGCCATGCAAGATCCGCCCACATTTTGCAAGAGATGGATAGAGAACAAGCTAAAAAAAAGTGATTTTTCGTAAAAAAAAAACCATGGGCCATAATCCAGTAAGTTATGGTCTGAAATGTGCGAATATCGAAATAGACTGAGATATTTGGGATATAAAGATATATTTTAAATTCTAACTCAACCGTCATTATGGTGTAACGGTGATACATTTAAATGCTTTTTAAAATTGGATAAAAATTGTGACCTCCAGAGGATCCACAAGCTAAAATTGTGATTTTTCCTACTATTAGGGGACATAATCCAGGAAGTTAGGGTCCGATATGTGCAAATATCGAAAGAAACCAAGATCTTTGGATTATAATCATACATTTCAAGTTCAATCAAAATCAGATAAAAATTGTAACTTCTATAGTGTCCACAACCTAGGTATTATATAGAACTTTTACACTATTTGCGTACAAGGAGCGGTCATTTTGTCCGGCAGTTTGGGTCAGATTTTTACGAAATTTGAATTCAACCTTCATTTATGTGCAACAATGATATCTAAACGTTTTTTTTAAAATTGAATACAAATTGTGACTTCTAGTGGGTCCACTAGCTAGAAATGCGATTTTTCAAACAATCGGGGGCCATAATCCAGAAAGTTACGTTTGGATATGCATTATTATTGAAATGAACCAAGATCATTGTGATATAAACACAAATTTAAAGTTTCATCAAAATCTAATCAAAATTGTGTGCTCTAGGCGGTCCACAGCCATAATATACCATATAATATTTACACTACAGTGTATTTGCATACGAGGGGTCTGATGTAACAATATATTCAAAGGTTTTTTTTAATTGCGTAAAAATTGTGACCTCTAGAGGGACGACAAGATAAAAACGTGATTTTTCTCCCCATCAAGAGCCATAATTTAGGAAGTTACGATCTGATATGCGTGAATGTCGAAAGGAACCAAGATCTTAGGGTTATAAACATGCACTTCAAGTTTCATCAAAATCAGATGAAAATTGTGACCTCTCTAGAGGGGGTTCACAACCTTGTTTTACCATATTTTTAAAGTAATTTATGTACAAGGGTCAGTCATTTTGTCCAGCAGTTTTGGTCTGATTTTCACGACATTTGAACTCAACCTACATTATGGTGTAACGGTGATATATTTAAACGTTTTTTAAAATCAGATAAAAATTATGACCTCTAGAGGAACCACAAGCTAAAAACGTGATTTTTCGTCCAATCAAAGGCCATAATCCAGGAAGTTACGATCCGATATGCACGAATATCAAAAGGAACCCAGATCATGTATATTAAGTTTCATCAAAATCAGATGAAAATTGTGACCTATAGAGTGTTCACAAGCTAAAAAACGTAATTTTGTGTACAATCGGGGGCCATAATCCATGAAGTTATGGTCCAATACATGCCAATATCGAAAGGAACTAAGATCTTTTGGAAATAGTCCTATATGGATAAAAATTGTGACGTAGAGTATCCACAAACAAATTGTGGCTGGCGGACATCGGCGATGGCATGATACGTCCAAATGAAAATGTGGGCATATTATGTCAAATAGGAAGTGAACAAACGATGGAAAGTCGTCTGTTTTTAAGAAGTAAATCATATTACGATATTAACGCTGTATTCAACTTACGACAATGTCGACTTTTGTCGACATGGCCCCTTAATGGTAACGTTTTAAGCATTGACAAAAGTCGACTGGAGTCATTTATGAGTTAAAGAAAAACATACCTCCATTAAAACAATACAGAATATTGCATGCTCCATCTTTGTCATTTCTTCCTCCCCATATATAAGCACAATCATCTACCGAGACAGCTGTATGTCCATACCGTTGATACGGTATGTCACCATTTTTATTATCATAGCTATCTGGAGCAGGCAGTAAACGCCAGCGTAATGATACTGAAGACATATTAAAATAAGTGTGCAAATGTAAATTAGCAAGTTGAAATTCAAAATAATTGCTCACTTTATTAATGAAATTCACTATTCACTTATTAATTTGTTACTCACTATTCACTTATGAATAAGTTCCTCACTATTCACTTAAACATGCATTATGCAAGAGCAAAATCTGCTTATTACAAGTCTTTCTTTAGGCCTGAAATGTTATCTAAATTATCAATTAGACATTAATTAACTTATCCAGACCATAATAAACTCTCGATGTCAAGGCTAGCCATCGATGTTGGCTTAATTAGATTCCTATATGCCGCTAACGGCCGTTGATAATTAAATCAATAAAAGTGGATAATCGAGACTAAGCTGTTTATAATAATGATTTTAGTAATGATGACCGAGACTATGCCAAAATTTCACCCGCTTCTTTCTCGGCTCATAGTGGATCAATTTGACTGAAATTTTCAGCAAATTACCTTTACACTATCTAGTTTTTAACTATTATAGCGAGAACTGCCATCTCGTTATCTTATCTCCCATAATGTATCTTTAATAATATATTAATATTAATGTCCTACATTTTTGCACTGACTGGGCAAATGAAGACGGGCATATACCATACAGTGTGCTACGGGGGAACCGGCACTATGTCCTACTCTCATTTCAAATTCCAACTGGTAAGGGTTCTAAAATGTTCACCTCAGCTTTTTGCCTCATTCAAACGACTAGATACTGTTTCTTGTCAGGCCTACGCACTGAGTCTACCTGGCTCTCATCCTAAGTGTTAAGGAGAAACGCCCATTATATGAAGTACCATTCGTTAATTATTGCTACGCTATATGTTTTTCAATTAGTCATCTCTCCCTGTCTGGTTCAAACATCAGCTTACATGTAGGCTAAATTTGGAAACAAATTACTGGTATATATGTGCAATAGAGAGAGAGAGAGAGAGAGAAATGGAGTTTAAAGTCCACTCGACACAAACTGGGTCATTTCGGGACTAACATATGGTTTAATTTTATTTCAATAATTTGCTTGTGCATAAGGGCCTTTAGCAGTGGGAGGAAACCGGAGGACCCAGAGAAAACCCACGAGGTTGGACAGGCAATCTTACTCCTTGTCACGTACAATCGGGGATTCAAAACCATGCCCGTTGACTCAGTGACAGGCTTTATGATACAGCACGCACGTGCTAACCATTCGGCCATCCATCCCCCCTAATTTTTTCATCCAAGATACTGATTAGCTTACAGGTATCCAAAATGTGTACATCCATCGGTCGTGTGGTCTCTTCATAATCTTCTCCAGTACAATATCCACCAAATGAAAAGATGTAATCACGGATAGCAACAGCTGCATGATTAACACGCCTGGGACCACCCTCTAAATGAATTGTCCACATAGGCATGTCAAAATTCTATGATCTTCAACACATGAATATCTGAAATAATAGCAAAACATCTTAAATATAATAATATTCCATCTCACATTTATCAGCTTAGACAATTTGGTTTGGGCAGAGATTCTTGAAGATCCCAAACCCATAATACTTTCAATATGTCAATATTTAAAGTTATTTCATCCATAATTTACTATCCTAATCCTAAATAAATAACAACTTTGGATTCGAAAGGATATTCACATACAACTTTTCACAGAGAGAGAAAAATTTAGTTTAACATCAACTCAACACAAATTAGGTCTTTTTGGGACGAACATATTGATTAATTCTATTTCAATAATTAGCAAGAGAAAACCCACGCAGTTGGGCAGGCCACTTGACTCAATGATAGACCTTAAGATCTAACTGGCATGTGTTAAATGATTCGGCCACCCAACCCCCTTACAACTTTTCAGTTTAAGATCAAACTGATCAAACATAGCTTGATTACTATTACTTATTTAAACGCATACTGACTTTACAAAAACAAAAAATATTATGTTTCCAAATTAAAGTCGCTGATTGTCATTTATTTTCTTCAGTATTACTTAATTCTTCATGGCTTAAAGATCACAGGAAAAGCTTCATAATTCTTTAAATGCAAATAATTATGTCAACATATCCATTCCATAAGTACAATACGATCCCGAATGTCAATGTTCCCTACCACAGGTAAATTTCAACATTGGCGATTTCTGACGATTTCTGTGAGTAGTCGTAACTTTCCGCCAATAAACAAGCCGTGACGTAACTTTAGTCCTTCTGCTCAAAGAAATGGCACAAAATGGGGTTTAATGTTCTACTTTTGTGCTACGGCTGCGCTAATGAAGATGGGCATAAGCCATACAGTGTGCTGTGGGAAATTTTGCCCGGGCAGCGGCACTATGGCCTACTCTTATATCAAATTCCAAATGCCAAGGGATGTTTTACATGCACGCCAATGTATACACGGGACCTTGGTTTTCTGTACCATATGAACGACTAGTTGACAGCTGTCCTTGTCAGGCCCTCTGTCCTGCACCACTGACAAGAGGAAACGTCAGAAAACTTCTGCTCATAGAAATATAGACCAGAAAATTAGCAGAAAGACTAAAATTACGTCATGACTTGTTGACTGGCCGAAAGTTACGACTACTCACGGAGAATGTCTGAAATCTACCGTCTGAAATTTACCTGTGGCATGTTCCGGTAACATTGACATTCGGGATAGTGTTATACTTATGGAATGGATACGTTAACATAATTATTTGCATTATTCAAAATAATTATGAAGCTTTTCCGGTGATCTTTAAGCCATAAAAAATTAGATGTCCAAAGAAGGGTTGTAGCTGAGATAAAACTTTCTAATTAATCAATTCAATTCTCAAGAATTTTGTATTGCATATAACATTGTATCAAGCATGTAATAACAGTCCATCTTGTCAAATATCATATTCTAATTCAGGGGTGGCCAATCTTTTACATACCATGCATCAATTTTTTCATACACGAATTCAGGGGCAAATAATTGCATAACAAAAGTCCTATTTTGATTTATATAAAGCATATCAATAATTGAGAACAGATTATTGTGAAAGAAGATAACATTCACTAATATTTATTATTATCAGAGGGATGCAATGCACAACTTCAAATCATCCAATGCCTCACATTTGGTGCATGTGCCGAATGTTGGTCATCCCATTCTTATACAGTCAAATGTATGATTTCTCAAGTTCTAGTTTCCTGCATACATAATAGTAAAGTTAAACTTTTACAATAGCATTAAAATTAATCCACACTAAATAGAGCTATCTTTCAAAATTTTATCATTCACAAATGAAAATGTAGTTTAATATCCTAATCCCACTTTACTGCCTTTAAAAAAAAATAAAAGGTAAATTTTATGTCCAATATGTAGGCCATTGAAAAAACTGACTTGTTCAAATATAACAAGTGTGACTTTGCTTGAGACTTTTCAAGCCACTTTTTGTATAATAAGGTACATAAGCATTCTTTGAAATATATTGGTGTGGGTGTGTGTGTGTGTGTGTATGTGTGGTCAAATGGCTAAGTTGTTATCTGTAATGACACTATTTTAAGTATTTACTTAGCCAGAATGATCGTATCAAATGCAGAATGCCATGCAATTCAAATGATCAATTTTTGGACCATCTTGATTCAATTGCAATTTCACAATTCTAAAAAATGTAAATCTTTCAAATCAATATATTTTTGAATATTAATTGATTCCAATGAATGAATACGATCATAAAAATAGTTCTAACATGATGAGACAGAAAACTGATTACTTTTAATTGATATTTTTCTAAATATGGAAGTACATGATAACATGCATTGTCTGTAGACCCCAAACCTATCCAACATTTGGTGTGTGTATTTGCGCGGATAGGATCTGGTCATAAAACTAATGTAAATTTGTCTTTACATCCGAAAACACATATATTCAAATCAAAGTATTGTTTTTATTAAAGGGGCATTATAGGAGATTAGATAAAGAGTTGACAGTCCTGGATAATGCCCCCTGATTATACGAAAAATCACGTTTTTAGCTATAATAGTTTAAAGATAGGTTGCCTGGCAACAAAACATACGCCCACTACAGCTGAATCGTCAGTGCGGTTGACAAGGGTTGTCGCATATTTATTCTGTGGTAGGTAATATGAGGCATTTACATGACAGTTTCATGCAGATCAGATGATAATTTCTGTCGTTTGAGGGTTTCACAAGGTTCTACAAACTGAAACAAGGGCCTTAACTCTGGAAGTAATTTACAATTTTGAAATTTGACAGGCTTTTTCGTTTTACTAATTTAAATAATGCATATAAATTTCATACAGATCGGACGTCGACGATAATTTTTGTCATTTGAACATTCACATGGTTCACAAAGTAAAACAATGTCCATAACTCTAGAAATTGCTGAAATTCAACAGACCTCCATTTCACAAATTTAAATGATGTATATAAATTTCATGCTTATTGGATGATAACTTTCATTAATCGAGCATTAATAAGTTAAACAAAGTCAAACAAGGGCCATAACTCTAGAAGTAATTAATGTAAATTGCTGAAATTCAATAGACTTCATGGTTTCACTAATCTAAATGATGCATATAAATTTCATACAGATCGGATGGTAACTTTTGGCGTTAAAGCTTTCATAAGGTTCAACAAAGTGAAACAAGGGTCATAACTCCAGAAGTAATAAACAGAAATTGTTGAAATTCAACAGGATTCTCTGTTTCACTAATTTAAATAATGCATATAAATTTCACAAAGATCGGATGATAACTTTTGGCGTTAGAGCGTTCACAAGGTTCAACAAAGTGAAACAAGGGCCATAACTCCTGGCATAATAAACATAAATTATTGAAATTAAATAGGCTTCTTCATCTCACTAATGTAAACAGCATATATCAATTCTAAAACAATTGGATGATAACAAATTGTGGATGATGGACGGATGGGTGCGACGACAATATACGTCCACATTTTCATGTGGGCGTATAAAAACACTGACTTCCTTACACAAACAATAAAGAGAACATAGCTAATCATACTACATTTATGTCCTCAGACATAAAACGAAAATTTCCTTGTATTACTCTTCTCATTCTATTGAACTGCCAAGTTATTTTGGTTAAAGTAAATCACTGCACATTTTGGGAACACTGTAGTATTATACACTACTTACACTACAGTACAGTGGTAAAATAAAAAATGTAAACATACGGTGCCTAATGCAGGACTCCGGTCATAAAATGTAGAAATATATGTAATATACTCTTCAAAAAAAGTTGGGGACTGGGACATTCAGAAACAATACAAAACTGTGGAAATGCACTGCTGTTTTTATTAGAGGTAACCAGTGTATGTTAATAACAGGCCAATTGCCTACACATGTACATAAACAGTTCATATGGGCGGCTTATCTGACGGTCCATTTCACTCGCAAAGAGATACAGCGTCAAAAGTGAAAATGGACGTTTTTGATTTTTGTCTTAATAATGAGTAATTGCTCTACCAATCCTCAGACATTCAGCAATTCGTCGTGACATGCTCCTAATCAACCATCCAATCACGATTTGGGGCAATCTGACCCACTCCTTTTGAAGTGCCACGGCCAATTCTTGCAGTGTTGTCGGTTGACATTGACGAACACGTCTCCCGATCAAATCAAACATAATACACTAAAGTAAAGATACCCTAAACAGTAAATCTTAAGCAAGAACCAATAGGAAAGCAAACATGGATAGATAAACCAGCACGTGGCAGTTTTCATCAACCCTTCCATGAAGTGTCAAATTTGACAACGAACCCCTCCCACGTGTATGGCGCTATTGCGTGTCGCATGTGCAGCTCAGTTGTTCTGTTTGGGCGATAAGTTCTTCATCTGTGAACATACTCTCAAAGCATGTCAAGTGTCCATGCATAGGTATTTGCATTTCAATATCCCCTCCTTTTTTTGAAGAGTATATATGTGTGGCCGAAACTGAAAAGAGTTATAGCATGCAGCAAAAACAATAACCAGCAGCTGCCAGGCAAGAGACGTCCACATTTTCAAACAGATGGATAGAGAACAAGCTAAAAACAAAAGCAATTTTTTGTACAATCAGGGGCCATAATTCAGAAAGTTATAGTCTGAAATGTGCAAATATCAAAAGGGACTGAGATCTTTGGGATATAAAGATATGTTTTAAGCTTCAGCAAAATGGATAAAAATTGTGACCTCTAGAGGGTCCACAAACTTCGTATTACATACTTTTACACAATTTGCCATTTTGTTGGGCAGTTTCTATTCGATTTACCCGAAATTTGAATTCAACCTTCATTCAACAATCAGGGGCCATAATCTAGTAAGTTACGCTCAGATATGCATGATTATCAAAAGGAACCAAGATCCTAGTGTGTAACGGTGATATATTCGAAGCTAAAAATGTGATTTTCGTACAATCAGGAGGTTGCAATCCAATATGCGTGAATATCGAAAGGAACCGAGACCTTTGGGATATAAACATGCATTTCAAGTTTCATCAAAATTGTATCAAAACTGTGACCTCTACAGGATCCAAAATCTTGATATACAAGATGTTTACACTATTTGCGTACGAGGGCGACCATTTTGTCCGGCAGATTTGATCTGATTTTCACAAAACTTGAACTCAACCGACATTATGGTGTAACAGTGATACATACGAACGTTTTTTAAATCGGATAATAATTGTGAGCTCTATAATCAACTCATATTTTTTACTTGAACCGAATAGTAGAAGCCTATAGTGGCTATATGTAAGCCTACTGAGTCTCCCCAACCCTCTGTCAAGAGAGAGAGGGAAAAGGGTCATTTCGGAACTATAATGCATATTTCAATTTATTTCAATAATTTGTTTGCTCATAGGGCCTTTAGCAGTTGGAGGAAAATGGAGGACCCGGTGAAAATCCAGGAGGTTGGACAGGTGACCCTAGGCCCACTCCTTATCACGTTCAAGAGGTCGGGAAACAAAACCACGACACTCGCAACTCAATGACAGACCTTATTATTTCACATGCACGCATTAAACCACTAGACCCCCCCACCCACTCCCTCAGTCAAATTAGCCATAGCAACTTAAATTATATTATATATATAATTATATAGATCTAATAAATAAATATAGAAGCTTTTTGGATTAATATTTACTATTTGTATTTTAATACATTGACATTCCATGTGTCCCCTGGACCCTGACATATTTGGCGCTATTGCACTTTCGCACCTCTACCACCTCTACCAGTTCCCGTTGTCGTAGAGACTTGAAATTTTCAGGGGATGTTAAGGGTGACTAGCAATGACCACATATTATTTATAACACTTAACACATCTATGCTGATGCCTACTAATATTTCTGAAATTTATTTATTTTTAGATAATCCTAAATCATTTACATTAATTCATTAATAATGATTAACATTCAATTCTTCTATTACAGTATTAGTTCTAGTTGCTATTTCCATGAAGTAAAAGACTAGGCCTAAACCTAATCCAAATCCAATCCAATCTATACATCTCATCAAAATGTACTAGTCTAGTGACATTGACACTTAAATGATGGACGTAAAAAATGAATTAGCAGGAAATACATTAAGGTTCACAATCTGAATAATAACACACAAAATTTATGTCTGTTATTGACAAACTTTCTTCTATGTTATCAGTATTAGCCATTCCAAACACACAAAACAAAAATGAAAACAGATAATACACGATTATTTAGTCTTTTTGATATTGAGACTATTAATTTTGATGCTATATCGTATCTAGCGAAATACCAAAAAGGGGAGGAGCTACCAATAGCTAGTTGAGCAGAAATTCTAACCTATTTGTAGGCGGGAATTAAAAAGCATAACCACGCCTTGACCACACTGATTCGCAGTGAATATTTGCTTGGCCGATTATACGAGACTCGTAATTCTCTGTGAAACAGATTGCGCCTTGACATGATCGGTGAAGGTCGCCGTCTCCACATGACAATGATCACAATACGTATCAGCGAAATGGCGATCCGATAGATGTTTAATTCGATTAGGAAACCGAGAAATTATATATATTAAAGCGACAGAAGTACACGCGACGACACAAATAATATATCACGAAAGATCAGGAATTTCAATGCATCAGTAGGAAGCGTCTTTTGATATCGATAAGTAGGCCTATAATTTATGTTTTGCCAAAATTACGCATTGTTCATTGGACGAGAAAGTTCATCGGATTTTTCCGACGTGGTTTCCCTTTGTCAGTGGTGGTGGAAGGAGGGTCTGACAAGGACAGCTGTCTAGTCTTTCGGAACGGACGGAAATCCTAGGTCCCGACTATACATTGGCGTGCACATTTAAAGGATCCCTTGGCAGTTGGAATTCGATATAATAGCCTAAGAGTATAGGCCATAGTGCCGCTGCTCGGGCAAAATTTCCCTCATTGCATACTGTAGGATGCCCATCTTCATTAGCCCAGTCTGAGAAGAACAGTAGGACGTTAAACCCTATTTCACTTCATTTTGCCAAATTACATTTTTCATTTGTCAAAATGTGATTTCCATTTAGTTGCAACTACCAAACTTGTAGTCCAT